GCTAAACTTGAACGTGTTTATTGTATTGGTTAGAAGCGGCGCTGTCTTTCACACAATTTTCTTGCCTTGCCTATCTGGATCTTATGGTTTGGGTCAAGGGTTCTATGCGGCGTTGGGGTCAGAGTAAAACTATGTTCGACAACAGCATGAGAGCAACACGAAGAGAGAGAAAATGAATATTAACAAAGTCGACAAAGCAAAAAAAAGCTCCAAAAAAAAAGAAAAGGGAAATCCTTGTATAAATACTTTGTGCGCATAGCTACTCCTTCACTTCCATTTCTGGACGCTATTCATTTTGGTGCGATTGTATAGGTTCTTTTACGACACGGAACAATGAAAAATATTCATCATACCTTTCCCTCGTTGTGATACTGCGCATACACAATGTATTAGAAGTTGGGGCATCGAATAGACTGCCAATTACATAGATACTTGACTTTCTAACTGACTCTGAGGACTAGATCCGACATCCATGACCCAAAAAGTGATGAAACCGTCGCGGGCTGGAAAGAAGGAGGGAGGAACCAAAACATCGGCGTTGTTTCAATACGCCACCTTTTTCCAGGACACCTAAGTCCGTAAATAGTTGGGGAAAAATATATACAACATACATGTGGTCTGAAGTCATGGAACATGGTGTCTATCTCGCATCTTTCTAGATCTGAAGGTCTCATTCTCTTCTCTTTCCTTGGTGGCTTGATTCTTTGGATGAATTAGACAGTGAAGAGCATCCGAGACAGAAAAGATGACGATATTCTCGGATATCTGGTTAAAGCCACTCGTTGAACCTCTTCTACTGTGTTCTTCTGTTGGACAAATCGGACAGAACATGCTGTTCTTTTCGGTCCCAAGATACACAAAAAGTAAAATATGATTCTTGCATGCATGGCATTCACAATCCAGCAACGATCAGAGACCATGGGAGGCTCTGTGTGATCTTCTTCTACGTTTTTTTTTTATTTTTTTTTTATACACACGCATACATATATACGCCTACATAGTGGACCTTGGTCTAAAACCGAAGCGAAGTCGAAGCAAAAGCTGGAATTCGATCTGGAGTAGGGATGGAGGCCGAGACGGAACGGGAAGGGCTTATGCTTCTGCTCACTGCATCTGCTACGGTGCATTTTTTGCCTTATTGGTTTGTGCTTTCTGCTTTAAAACATCACGTCTGTTTCGATAGCTCGGCTACCTATATATAGTTCGCCAGTTCGCGTCATGTTGATCTGCTGCCTTGGATCCAACCAAGGAATGTGCGTACCAAAACGTCTAATTCTAACCGTTTGAAGTCTGTGTACTATGTATACAGCCTATGGAAGGCCAAGGACAGCCAAACACACGTGGGGACATCCATCTTTCAATGTTTCAACATTTGGTATAGCCTCGGTGCTCGTCCGAGCATGTGGAGTGAAGAAATTGTTTTGGCGGACGAAATTAGTCCAGCTGCCCAGGCCGGAGTTTTGTTTCCAGAAGCTGTAGTGTAGTGTATAGCTGAGGCTCATATACACGTACTAGGTCTGACAAGCCAAGCGCATGTTGTCAATCAATGACCAAGGAGCAACCCAGGTCTGGCCAGGGCCGGTTTGAGTGGTCAGGTACCAAATCGGTCCCATCCCGTCCACATGATCCATGATTAGACCACCGATTTACACTAGACGGGTACCCCCCCGGGGGAAATAGCGTTTATAATTGAACGTCAAGAAGACACTTCTCATATGGAAAAGAAGAAAAACCAACAAAAACAAGTAACGGATTAAAATGAAGTGAAATCGAGATTGTGGGAAATGCCGGATTTGCGAGCACTTGTCCTCGACATGTTGTCGTGATCGTAGTTAGATGATCTCCCAGCAGCAAGTATCAGCCCGTGTCCCCCAATCAAAGTCCAGGAATTAATTTTTGGGGCAGGGAAGCGACTCATGCAAGGTCAGAAACCCTCTCGTCATTCATTTTTTCTTTTTCCCATGAGTGTCTAAAAACCCCATGGGTAATGTCAACTGGAATGGCAAGATTGAATGAATGAAAGTGGCCCAAACTCGATTACCGGAATGGAGTCGTGCACGTCGTGCTAAGATTTTCGCCATTTCGCTACTATTGGGATGTGACTTGTGTAGGTGTGGGAGAGTTTGTGTGTGTGAAATCGGCGAAGATCGACTTGGCCCCCGGGGAGTTGGGTTTTGGAGGGAAAAGAGAAGGAGGGGGAGAAGGGGGGGGGCTTGTCGGTTGGGGGTTTGGGGTGTTCAAAGTGGGTAGAATTGGGCAGCGAGAAAATCAAACAAATCTGCTTTCTCATCTCGAGATCTTCACATGGTTTTTACGAAAAAAGTCCGTCCAGAGTCCAGAACTTGAGGGGTGTTGAACTTGGGTGAAAAGATCACACGATGGAAGATGCGCAATTCCTGAATCCTGACAGCTGACACCCAGCGGTACCTCTACGGCACAAGACGGACGAAACGGACAGGACCCGGAGAACAGATGGACCGTTCGCTGCTGCCGCCGTGCCCGTGCCGTGGCTGGGATGGCCCCACTCAATAAGCTTCTGGCCAGGAAGGAACTCTTGCGTTGTTCTCCTTTTTCCTGTCTTTCCATTTGAATTCCATTCGTTTTCTCTGTGCCGGCTTCCCTTCTCCTTGTGAAAAGACTCCACAGCGGATCGAAAGTGAAGCTGGCTACCTACCATGGGCCGCTTCGCCGGAGTTGTTGCTGACGTGAAGTCGGGCGTCTTGTTCCTGAATTGATGGCCATTCATACTTGTTGAATTGACGAGCCCCTGGAGGCCGAGTGAGATGCCGCGAGTTCAACGCAGCCGCAAAGAGGGCACCAAATGCAAGATCATGTCGGGTCTGCTGTCAGGAACAAGTTGCAGGCGGTGTGCCCTGTTGTTGTTCCTTTCTAACCTTCCACTTCTGCAGCCTTGATATCTGCAGGCTGGCCGTACACTGCACTGATTGAATTCAATGTGTTAGTTGTTGAGCAACCCAATCTGCAACTCCTCGCTCAAACTGGTTGATCGTCCTGACCTCGACGTTCCTTTTTCTTCTCAACAGTACCTCTACAGAACACTTCCCTCTGTCCTTCAGCCCAAGCCCAGTCGGGAAGGAGCTGTCACAGGCGATCACCTCTCGGAACCAGCCGCGATGGCACCGGACGCACCGAACTGTTCAACTGTTGGCTACGTACTTCTACATGGTAGCCCCCACTCGGCACTGCTGAGAGCTTCAGAGCTTCAGAGATAAAGGCGCGATATCCGAACTCATTGTCAATGTCTTCGTCTCACTGCAATGCACTTCTTTATCAGCCTGCTAGACTTGGACACTACAAGACCGACTTTCGGCCCGGCCCTTGCGGTGGTAAAAGGAGAGCTCCGCATCTTCACACAGTCGATACACATCGACCGTTGTCTGCCAGGCACACGTTTTCATCGAATGGGGATGCGCGGCTTGTTCACTTGCATGCCAAGACCACAAGGGAGCAGCCGGCAAAATGCTCATGTTCCTTCCGCCTTCACCGCCGAGGGCCGGGACATCGTGTGGTGTCGTTGTTGTTGTTGTCCTCGTCACCGTCGTCCTTCTTTCGCCGTTTCTACCCGTCCCCGGTGTTGTTGCAACATGTTAGACCGCGCCAACCGTGCGTCTCTATGTCATTGTTGAGGTTCAATAGACGCCTTTGAACGAAACCGATACAATGACCATTGACTGGGCAATCCCGAGTGCACAATTCTAAGGGAGAAAGCAAATCCAACACCACCACCCTCCCAGATCGGACCAACCGAGCACACCCGTCCACAGCCATCCATCCATCCACCCACTGGTTGCCATTCAGCCATTCTGGACCGGCGGCGCTTGAGAATGGATTGCATGCCGTTACAGGGTTGCATTGGCCTGCAGGCTGGGATATGGGTCCCGCTATGGGGTACATACACAAGCGGCTTAGTCTGCTGCAAAGGAGTTGATGTATCGCCATAGCCTTCATTCGGATCCGTCGCCAGAGTCACGACTGATGCCGACGCATTGTCACCTTCAATTTTGGGGTGACCGAGCAACTGACAGTCTTGAGACGATTGCGACATGAATAATCTCATAGAATGTTCATTGGTTCCTTGAATTGGCGAAATGCAGAGCGTATGACCACCAGTAACACAAACCAGTTTAGCATCTGATTGTTTGGTTGCATTGTCTCGTTCACGCATGTCTTGAAAACGGCGCAGCCTCGAGGTGCAAAACCAACAGGTTTACAGGAAAGCACAGACCAGGGAGGAGTCCCTGCATAGGCCGTTCTCCTCCATAGCCCCCTGGCGACAGAAAATATTGGATAGAGCTAGGACGATGCGAACCAATCGTATTCACAGAACTAAAATGGGGCCCCTTCGCCAGTGCCCCTTGGCGCGGGCTGCTTGCTGATTTTGGTTTGCTGTGCCCGCAACAACTCTTTTTTTTCTGGTCCGTCAGAAAGTCCTGCTCAATCTCACACTCCGTCAACCTCCAAGGCGACGGCGGGTTTCCCCATCTGGGAATGGCAGTGTTGGCGCGCAGTCTGTTGACACCAACCTTCAATAGAATTACCTACACAATCAATTCGTGCCTTTTTTTGTTGTACATAGTGAATTGTTGTGTGTGTCCTCAAGTGAAAAGGCTGGCGTGAAGAGGTACTGTACCCACTTGTTGGTACGGGTTGTCCACGCACACTGACTGACGGGAGTGGGCTGGCTGGCTGGCTGGAACCCGGACCTGGATGGCCGCAACGGTGCTCCCGCCCTTCCACTTTGCTTCTCAGGGTACCACTCGTGTACGTAGAGTCAGCACACCGGGCAGCCCAGTCCAGTTTCGTCCCGCGGCGCAGACTTTCGTCGCAGTGCAGGTGGACGGTGCAGCATTTTGCAGAAGTGGTCAGAAAGGCCGTCGTTCGTTGGCCGGGGCTTGGGGCTGGTGCCCGGTGCCTGTGCACCTGATCACCTCGATCAATCAGCGATCCGACCCGCGCTCCCTCCCTAGAGGTAGGTACCCAAGGTGGTAGAGGTCGGTAGCACTGCACTCACTCTCTGGCACTCTCGTCCTGGGCCCTGCCTGACTTGTGGTTCTGAAGGGAAAGACTGGACGACCGGACGAGAAAGAGTCAATGAAAGGCCTGAAATTCAAGCCATGCCGCTTTCCAGGATTCTCCACTGCCCTGGACGTCTTGGACCACCCCCCAGCCCGCCTTCCGTTTGCGCTAGCAGGTTGTTGCAGTGCTCTGCTCCGTTCCCGACCCCTCTGGCCGCCGCCCTCTCCTCGCTCTCTTTCGCTGACTGCCGTCCTGCCTCCTTTCGAGTCCGTTCCATTTTCTCTCCTTCTCACCACCTTCGGCAGCCCGCCACCCCCCAAAACCCGATCCATCGTCATTTATCCGCGTCCGTCTGCTGCCCGCCCCCTTTCACCACTCACTTCTGCCCCGACACAGCAGACGCTGCAGACGACAGACGTCTTTTTATTTGTTCCTTTTTTTTTTTTCCTTTCGGGGGTTTGTTATCGAGAAGGCGGTTCGCATTCAAGTTGTCCACCACCAAATAGACGGATTCTTCGTCCCCCATCCCAATCCACCCAGCTTTCTCTCTTCGCGCGCGACCCTCTGAGCCTCCTTCGATCCGTTCGCATACCACTCACTCCTCGCTTGCGCAAAGAAGCAACAGCCGACTGGGGAAGCCTCTCGTAATCACCACGGCACTCCACCCAAGGAATCGACCCAATTTCAGCAACCCATCTGTGCCCCCCGTATCCCGGTCGTCCAGTACCTATACTTGGTCAATTTCGAAGAAGCTGAATTGCAGAAAGTGCAAAGCAATTCAGCCACCATCGTCGTCGTCGTCGTTGTTCGTCGTTCGCATCTTCGAATAGGACCTCCTGTCCGTTTCCCGACTTTGGTCGCTGCATCCCGGCCAGCAGTCCTTCACTTCCGGCATCCGCCAACCCCAGCCCCGTCCGTCTCACCGACTAGACCGAGAACGCAAGAGGACCCAGCGTGTTTACCGAAGCCAGGGTGAGTGTTGGTTCGTTTGTCGCTTGTCTCTCTTACTGTGGGCGTGGCCTGGAGTGGCCCGCTTCTGAATGATCTCTTGCCGTCATGGCCTGGTCTCCAGGCACAACCATGCTTCCTTCCCTGGATCCCTATTGCACACAGAACAGCCTTGCCTTGGCACACCTGTAGGAACCATCCATCGTCTGCCAATTCATGGTTTCCACACACCACTGCACTTTTTCCTCCTTTTCCACCTCCTTCCTGTCAATCCCTTCCACCCAGTTACGCAATACACACATGGGCCCCTAGGTCTCCTGTCTGGGGACGTTATCCGTCATCGTTGTTATCGGCACCACGCACGCACACACTTTCCTGTCATCGATACGGTCATTATCCTCAACAATCACTGACCGCCGATTTCAATTGCCTAGACGTGCGACGACATCCTGATTGACGACCATCACCTCTAGTCACGACCCCGTCGACTCTCAACCTCAACTAGAACACACGATAATTTGAGTGACGACAATCCGACACTATGGCTTCGTCGACGTCCTCCAACGTCGTCGGTGTACACTACCGAGTGGGAAAGAAAATTGGAGAGGGTTCATTTGGTGTCATTTTTGAGGGTACCAACCTCCTCAACAACCAGCAGGTTGCCATCAAATTCGTATGTCCTATTTTTCGGACCTTGGCTCGTCGCGCCTTCCCCATACGCGACGTGGGATGAACTGGATTGACAAGTGATGTGATTATAGGAGCCGCGCAAGAGCGATGCTCCCCAGCTTCGCGATGAGTACAGGACATACAAGATCCTAGTGGGATGCCGTGAGTACAGGCCTTTCTTGAGTCGTCATGGTTGCTTGCTAACATCGTATCTACAGCCGGGATCCCCAATGTCTACTACTTTGGCCAAGAAGGTCTTCACAACATCTTGGTTATTGATCTCCTCGGTCCCTCTTTAGAAGATCTCTTTGACCACTGCAATCGCCGGTTCAGTCTCAAGACGGTCGTTATGGTTGCCAAGCAAATGGTAGGTCGGCCGGTCGTCTTCCCCGTGTCCCCTGAAACGAGGTAATCTAACCTTTATGTAGCTGTCCCGTGTCCAAACTATCCACGAGAAGAACTTAATCTACCGTGATATCAAGCCCGACAACTTCTTGATCGGAAGGCAGGGAACCAAGACCGCCAATGTCATTCACGTAGTTGATTTCGGTATGGCCAAGCAGTACCGTGACCCCAAGACCAAGCAGCACATTCCCTACCGCGAAAGGAAATCGCTTTCGGGAACTGCCCGTTACATGTCCATCAACACCCATCTTGGCCGCGAACAATCCCGACGAGATGATCTCGAGGCCTTGGGTCACGTTTTCATGTACTTCCTCCGCGGTGGCTTGCCGTGGCAAGGCCTCAAGGCTGCTACTAACAAGCAAAAGTACGAGAAGATTGGCGAAAAGAAGCAGACCACTGCCATCAAAGATCTCTGCGAAGGATTCCCCGAACAATTTGCCCAATACCTTACATACGTCCGCAACCTTGGCTTCGAGGACCAACCCGATTACGACTACCTCCGCGAACTTTTCTCTCAGGCGCTCAAGGATGCCGGTGGTGTTGAGGACGGCGAATATGACTGGATGAAGGTTAACAAGTCCGACAAGAAGGGGGACTGGGATCGGCCTGGGGCTTTGCACAACCCAAACGCGAGACCTGGGCCCTCAGCTATGGAAATCCACAACTCGAGGGGGCCCACGACCCATCACGCAAGCGACCCCCGAGCTCAATTGACGGCCGCTCGTTTAAACGCCCCGCAGCCCTCGCCTCCAGCTCAGCCGGGGCAGCGGGCGAAAGAGCAACCAAACGCCAACGCGCAGAATAACCGGGCTTATAAGTCCCAACCCACACCCACCCAGTCGGCGGGAAATGGGGCGCAACCATACAACATGCAGCAGCCTCCGCAACGGACAATGACCCACACTGCCACATCGAACACGAACCCACCACCTTCTAACCAGCCACAACAACAGCAAGGCGGCATCAAGGGCATTTGGAAGGCCCTGTGCTGCAGCTGAAAAGGCTGGTGCTGATTTTGTGTCCGTTTGTTTTAATAATATCCTTCAGTGAGCAACAACCAAAGACGGTGGCAGCTGTGTTGATGATCCTAACCGCTAACAGTGCGGCTAGCTTCAAAAGGAGAAAATGTGAGGAGCAAGTCTTCGTCCCATCTATACAGAGGGAATCCCGGGGGGACGAGTCCTGTTGTATGAATTTGCCGAAACATGGGGTTCTCAAATGTTTTTGCATGGGGACTATAGAGGATACCTTCCTTTGTTTTTCATAGCGGTCTTACTCGGCTACGCGCATCTGGCGTCTTTTACTTGCTTGATCTACCTGGGGCACATCATTACGACCATACGATTAGTATTCCAGACTCAGTCTTCTGTCTTTCTCGCTATCTTCGCTTCCCCTCCCTCGACCTCCCCGGGAACCCTTTCTTCTTTTACCATTTCTTGTTCCCTCCCTTCTTGGCTGGCCTTCGTTTGGCGAGAGGATGCTAGGATTTATGACGCCGGGCCGCTATGGAAGGCCGAGCCGACTCACGTGGAGGACAGTGGTTTCGGATGATCCAGTCTTTAATGACAGCTATTTCTTTCCCGACGAACCCGTGCAAACGGTCAAGCCTCCCTGATCTTGCCGCTGGAAGACGCGGTTCTGAGTGGGACGAAAGGGGAAGGAGGGGGAAACACGTGAGAAGAGGGAGGGGAAGTGACAGGGAAAGGTTGGGAGAGAAAGTTTGAAAAGATCTCGGGAAAACGAAAAAAGGGGAAAAGAGGAAAGAGTATTCATATTTGATTGGAACGGAACGCCTCGGTGTTTTAGTGTTGCTGTTTGCGGGTGTGGTTCTGAGCTTGTTACTGTCTGTCTATTGTCATTGTCTACCTTGTCTGTTGTTGCGCGCTATTGCTGTCTAATCAGCATCTTATACATCTCCGAACTACGTATAATAATCATTATATCCACTCACTCACTGATCCTGTATGGTATTGATCATGTCATCCTCTTCCGTTGTTCTTTCACGACATGATATGATCGAGGATGAGGTGGCGTAATAGGATTTCTTCTTCGATAATAGCTGTCTGGTGCCCTCTAAGCATTGTTTTATTCGTTCCTTCATTTCACATTGCCACATCTACGGTTATCACTTACCTTTCAAGCTTGCACTGAGGCCGGACCTCCGGACCTATTGCATATACTCGCATTATCTTTCAAGGCTGAGGTTTGGGAATGTAGGGTTAAAGTATCGGTCAACTACATACGTACTCTTCGACAACTGCCAAACGCATCTGGCAGACATTTAACCCTACGTCTTCTACACAACTCTGAACGTCAACTCCCCGGCGATGATCTGGTAACTGCGCCATGACCTAGCGGGAAAAAGTGAGGTCTCTTGCGAGTTGCTGGAAGAACAGCGTATCGTGGAAATGCGACGGCGTCAAATCTGAGCCGTACTTTGTCCTATAAGTTTCTCTAACTCTTCACTCTTCTCCATATTCACCACTACTTGTCGACACTAATATCGGGAACTTCAACCATCGTTCATTGGTAGTTGCCGTGGCAGAGAAATTCCCATCAGCGAGAAACAAATATGGAAAATCAAGTCAAACCATCTAACCCTGATTCACGGTCTAGGTTGAGCATATCGATCACCATCGTAAATCCCACATCCTTAGTCTAGAACATCTTGCCAACCACCATAACCGTTACCTCGGGCGTCATCACTGTAAGCTCTTATATTCCCTTCGACCTCGTTAGGCGGCACTCAACAGGCAGCAACCACCACCTATTCTACCGAGTAATCATCGTTGGGGACGCCACGTAACCTCAGCCTGGTCTGGCCAGGGATCAGCTGGTACATGACGATGGAGGCGGAGTATATCTGAAACTGGATGGTGGGCAGTCTAATCCCCGACCGTTCCGGGAATACGTTATCGCAGTTCGGTTCGGGCCATCCAGACAGCGTGAGTTTTATGTTTTGCTTTGGCCCCTTTTCGTTGTATCATAGAACATGTTTGTCTTTTGCTGGCCCATCTGTCTGGTACAATCTCTCTATGGCATCATCAATTGGGCGGCAAGCTGCTGTACTTCGTCGCTGAAGATGCCGCCGACCTCCACCGCCACTGCAACTGCCAAACCCTAAACCAGTATGATGCGCCTGATGGAGAGGACAAACTGCTTGGTGAAGCCCTCACTTCATTCAACTCGGAAGGCTATCAAGCGGCGTCTCGAGAAGAACACAAGACATTCCAGATGCTCGGCCAGCAATTTGAGGCTCATTGAAAATTCGGGACAAAGGGGGAGGGGACGGGGACGGGGACGGGGCCTCCTATTACTTTGGGAGTTTTGTTTTCCTTTTTATTTATTTTTTTCTAATTTTTTTGTATCTTTGGTTTTTGGTTCCCTTTCTTCGTCGGGTCTTTTCTTCTTACTAGGACACCGACGAGAGTTCTCTTTGGCGCTGCCGCCACCACTCGTTTAGATTTCTATTTGGGCGCTAGGCATACATATAGCGTTCCATGTTTTTCCTTAAATACAATACGTCCCCTGCTGAGATAGCTCTTTAGCTGCCCACAGATGCTTACTTGAGGTAAACAAAGGGTTTTGTTCTTTTCAGTTTGCATTCCAGTGTTTGTGTCAGGAGGTACAAGAACACTCGGCTTGGGATCGGAGAGTTGATCAGGTACCTGGCTTAGGTTAGGTAGACAAGAACCGGAAGGACTGTCTTGTGTTTATTATTGATGAGACCTCCCTCCTGTCGGGCAGCTTCCATAAAACATACCATCTAGATCTTGTTTTTTTGACTGGTGTGATACAGAATAGCCAAAGCTTTTGGCTTTCTATCTGGTGAACGCCGTGAAACTGATACCTCCTAGTGTCAAGGGTCCTGATTGAGACGGAGAGAGGCATGATAGTCCACGCTATATCAGAGACGAGAGATGGAGGTATATGTGGCAACTACACTACGTTTGGCAGCTTGGCATATTCATATCATAATCGTCAGCGTTCATGTGTTAAAACGTCTCTTTCGAGGTTGACGTATGTGTGAGAGGGGCGTGTGAAAAGTTGATTGTGTATTATATATCATCAAGGGCATGGCGTGAAGTTTAATGTTGTATAGGACCATGTAAATCAATTTTCATCGGATAATTATTCTTTGGTGTTGTCTACGGGTCTCGCCGCTCGTTATGTGTGAGGGATATTCGAGTAGGTCATTGTATTACATTTTATCAAGGCGTGCCAGCTTATAGAGGAGCAAGTAAAGCAACCAAGGTCAGTTAGTATCTTATGCGCGCACTATTCGGTTTGTGCTTGATTAGTGGTATTCGCCCGATGTGTGGTGCGTGAGCGTTGGTTGTATGAAGTATGTGCATTATATCATCAAGGCATGGCCACTCATGCTGTATAGAAGCATGCATAATACATGTTAAAACGTTTCGTTAGAGTTTCTCGTCACTCTGTCGCTGAGGACGGCCCACCCGCCTATGGCAACTTTTTCTCTCCTTGATCATAGCTCTTCCTCTCTGGCATGGTATGGCGTGAACACCTCATGCCACCCATGACACCCGTGGCCCGTCTATTTGGCCAAAGGAAAAAGTAGACCCAACCATATCAATTATGCCTCCCCGTCCCTCATAGCCCGTCCGCTCCCACAATTACATATGTGCCTTTTCTTTTAATATATATTGCAAGCGAGACTTCCTCCCGTATGACCCATGGTTGGGTGTAGTGGTAGAAGCTCTTTACGTGAGCTTCTGCTTGATGAAGAAGGAGCGGAGATGAGAGAGCTGCCAGGCGCAAGTGACGCCGAGGACGACGAGCTGGATCAAGACCCAGCGAACGATGCGAGCGTTGGTGGATTCGGATTGATCACGGAATTCGGCTTCGCGCTCCTGTTTTGGTTGAAGATTGTATGTTAGCTTCTGTCCCTCCCGGGTTCAAACAATCCCCCATCCCCGCCAATTCGGCTGAAAGAGATGACTTACTCTCTGGAAAACCTGCTCCCTCCTGATATCCTGCAGCCGGTTGTTCAGATCCTTGGCCCGCGTCGCCAGATCCTGCAGCTTGCCCTTGTCGGCACTCTCAATCGCGCTCGACTCGCCGATGGCCATATCCAGCGTCAGCTTGATCCCGCCATTCGGGTTGTTAACCGACATCCAGCTCGACCGGCCTGAGGTCGACGTGGGCGTGAAGCAGATGCGGTGGTCGCCCGCCTCGGCGGCGGTGAAGGTGAACTTGCCGCCGGGGCCACCGCGCTGGGAGACGACACGGTGGTCGTTGTCGAAGAGTTCCTGGAAGGTAAGGTGTGTAAGCGATTGTGGGAACAAGCAATAATGGGTTTGGTATGGGAGGTCTTGGTAGGTGGTGGGTGGTTGGAATAGGTGGGATGGATAGGGGTCAGGGGTAGCTTTGGTAGCTCAAAAGAGGTAACAAAACATACATCTACAGAGATGAAGATGTTGATGCCATCATGCTTCTGCCACGAATGCCTCTGGTCGTCCCATTCCTCTGCCGTGTAGTGGCCAACCACCAGTGTGTCCTTGGGCAATTCCTCGTAGAAGCACTTGGGGCTGGTGCCGTCGATGAAGAAGTGGAGCGCTTGAGCAACGGCGCCCAGCGAGAGCAGCGGGAGGAACGACCTCATGGTTGTGGTGTGTCTGTGTTGTCTCTCTATATATAACGCCGGACGGGGCAGTTGAGTGATGGTCGTCGAGAAGAGGCGGCCGTGATCGTTTCTGTTGTATGTACCCGGCTGGTGGTTGTTGCGCCAATGCTGTGTACAGATTCACTGACGGAGGGAGGCGGGAATGTTGGTGATGCGCTATGGTGGATAAAGCACACTGCACTTGAAAGTCGCGACCACAATGAGACCTGGAAACTGCCACGTTCAGAAAATCGAGCCGGGGCCATCCAAGGTCCCCAGGGGCTCCGCTTCCACCTGCCTGGGTCTGGCCTTTTCTTCTGTGAGCGGCAGGCAATAAGCAGTCACGTGCAGTCATACCTTCTTGAGATTGACCCTAACCCTTTCAGGTGATTGTGAAAGCGTGAATGATGGTCTCCACCAAGAATCTTTTCCAGCGACAACCAACATTCCACAGACCGCGTCGTTTCCACATCTCCAGCTTGCAGGTCATCCAGATCCGATCGATATCTTTCATTACGGGCCACAAGCTGAAACCCAGATTTGTGATGTGCTCTGCCTAATATCGCGAGTTGATATTATCTCTGGCTTTTTCTTGATGAATTTTGGGAGTGGGGCGTTTCGAGGCAGTTGGACCCGACGTTCAACTGAAGTTATAGGCTCGTTTGCGCATTAAATCTTCTAGTTACCTTATCTCCGGTTCCTGGCTGCGGGTTGCGGCGTCCTTCTCTTTTGTTTTTCGACTCCTCCCCCTAACCCCCTCCTTCCGGCGCCCCACATCATGACATCCCACGACGTCCGTGACGTCCTCAACCTCCCATCAGACCACGCCGGGCCGAGGCCGTCCAAAAAGGCGAGGACTGCGACACCACGTCCAAACCTAAAGGGCCTCGCTCGTGAAGTACAGAACCTCGGCGGCGACAATCCTATCGCCATAGTCCCGGAGGTCTCCATCTTCAAGAAGCGAAGGACCGTCAGTCGCAAACCTGCTGCCAAATGGGAACTGAAGGCATTCACCAACTCGGCTAGAGGGGATGATGGCGCCCTTGTTTTGAGGCATTGGAAGAGGAAACCAGATGGAACCGTGCAAAATGGCTCAGCTGAAGGGCAAGACAGTGCGGCGACTGCAGACAACTCGGCTGACAAGCCCGAGGACTCGTCGTTTGCAAAGTTCAACGTCCGCGTGTCTGTACCGCAGTACAGCGAGGATCAATATAACACCAACCTGAAGCACCCCGATTGGACCAAGGAGGAAACAGATTATCTGCTGGAGTTGGCAAAGGATTTTGATCTACGATGGCCTATCATCTGGGACAGGTACGAGTACGCTCCTCAACAGCCCGAGGGTGAGACACCCGATGGCATGGCTGTGGTGCCGGCATCCAAGCCCAGGACCATGGAAGACTTGAAGGCGCGATACTACGAGGTTGCTGCCAAGATGATGGCCGTTCAGAAGCCTGCTCAGTACATGACCAGGCCAGAGTTCGAGCTGTATGAGATGATGCTACACTTTGACCCTAAACAGGAACAGAACCGCAAACGTTTCGCCGAAAACACCTTGAAACGCTCCAGCGATGAGGCTCGTGAGGAGGAGGCTTTGCTCCTCGAAATCAAACGTATCATGGCCCGTACGGAGCGCTTCAACGAGGAGCGACGTGAGCTGTACAACCGTCTCGATTACCCTGCAAGCGAGTCGGACATCAACTCCTTCAAGACCTCCGCCGGCCTACAGTCTCTCCTGCAGACCCTTCTCAACGTGGACAAATCCAAGAAGCGCAAGAGCATCATGGGTCCCGAGAATGGCGTCCCCCCAGCTGCTGCCGCGGCTGCTGCTGCTACTGCCGCTCTGCCCGCCGCCGCTGCCGCCGTCGCAGCCGCACCCGAAGTGCCTCCGGCCGCTAGCCGGAGGGAAAGCCTCGCAGCCTCATCCACTGCCGGGGCCAATGACCATCATGAGCCCCCCGTCCGCGAGCCTCCTGTGCGTCATGAGCGCCAGGAGTCCCGTTCTCACCACCGCAACGAAAGCCGCAGCGAACGCGCCGACCGCCACGGTGCTCACGGCCACCACCACCGCGACTCCGTCTCTCAAACCCCCGCCACCCCTGCCGAGGCGCCCACCCCCGCTCCTGCTCCCGCTCCGGCCGCCAACAAGAAGAAGGGCCCTCAACAGCCCGAACGTCGCAAGCTGTCGGAGCACGAGGAGCAGGTGTATGGCGTGTCGCATCATGACCGGCTTGGCAGCGGCCCGACGTTCCGCTACGAGAAGATCAACAAGCTGTATAGCCACAAGTCTGGTCAGCAGCAGATGCGTATTACGAACCTGCTCCTTGAACTTGACATCCCTGCCCGTCTTATTATGCCTACGGCGGCGGTGACGGCGCAATTCGAGGTTCTCTGGGGCGCGGTCACAACGCTGGTGGATTTGAGAAAGATGAGTGATAAGGTCGATGCGGAGATCAAGCTGGAGGAGGCCAAGAAGGCCGAGAGGGAGAGGGCTGCGAGGGAAGCCGCGGAGGCGAGAGGAGAGACGGTGGAGAAGAAGGATGGTGAGGAGGAGGGAGAAGGAGGAGGAGGAGGAGCAGACGACAAGCAGAAGGACGGTGGTGGTGCTGATGGTGACGACGCCAAGGACAAGTCGGGCGAGTCTGCACAGGCTGATGAGCAGAAGAATGATCAGAAGGCAGAGGACGCCAAGGCACAGAAGGAGCAACAGGGCGAAGGTCAAGATCAGCAGAAGAAAGGGGAAGAAGGTCTTGTGGTTCCAATAAAGGAGGGTGGAGGCGAAAAGGGCCAAGGAGATGCAGCAGCAGCAGCAGCGACAGCGGCCGAGAAAGAAGCTGAAAAGAGCAGCAATCAGCCCAAGATTAAGGAAGAGGCGGATGAGAATGGTAGTAGCAGTGGAGCAGGGGCAAGTGCAGGGGCGCGACAGCACAAGCGGAGTGCCAGCGTGCTCAGCAATGCTAGTGATAGGAGTACGAAGAAGCAGAAGAAGTAAGCTTGTGAGCGAGCTGGTAGTCAATTAGTCAGTCCCTCGGTGCCGGTGGCCCGGGGGATGGGCGCTACCAGGTTGATGTCCGCTGCGGTAATATAGTGGATGGCATATACAGAGTGGTTGTATTATTAGTTCAGTTTCTTGTGAATAGGTTTAAAATTGTCGTTTATCTCAGTGTGTTTACTTCTTCGATTGGTGACACTTCGAGAACTTGGAGCATACCCCAAGGTTCTTTACGCCCTGTGTTTTAGTTTCGATACATGACCAAAACGGTACAAACGACGATGCGACGAAGACGAAGAAAGACAAAACGTCCCAGTACTCAAGGGCCAAGCGAAGTGAAGTCTGAACCGAGAAGTGCAAAAGAGAGTGAAGAAACAAGTGATAGGGATGAAAAGGATAGGGGAAGTACACTATCAGTACAAGGTGAGAGGCCTTATCCAAGGAGGTTAATTCAACGGTTCACCCCTTATACAAGCAATGGTATACTTTTGCGAACTCCTGGTTCCCTCTTTCGAAACAAAATCGAATAAAACCAGTTCAGGACCCAAGAACAGTGACCAGATACGTGAATTTCTGACATGTCTTTTCACCCTCTCTTCACTACCAACGTCTCGTTTGTAGTGACTCGACTACAACACCAGCACCTTTTATGTTAGCTCAAAACCTTCAACACAGTTCTTCACTGAGCTATTTTCCCATCCCCGCAGTATTCAATTCAGTGTATCCCGCTTGAGGTCCAAGTGGCCGCCGATATTGGCCTGTGAACATGGGGCAAAGAAACACGTGTAACACGTGTGAGGCTACCTCGACAATCATCGAAACTCTTTCATAACTTTGCGTTCTTCAACAAGTGTTGGGGTTCCAATCAAGCTTATCAACCATGTGTTTTACGCTTTCGTAAGGCACAGCACGCGCGTGTGAGGACAAGGATCTCGGCAAAACACTCCCCTGTTGAAGCCACATGGCAAGTTGTCACTTTAGTCCTGATAGTACTGTACTACCTGCTCACCGTCCGACTATATACCGACACCAATCTCTTGTTTTTTTGAGGGGGGGGGGGGGGGGGGGGGGGGGCAAAACAAGCGGTGACGATACTCTCTCCCGATTGATACATAGTCACTTCGACATGCCACCTCCCTGTTCCTACCTAGGTACCCACTAGCGGATTTGGAGCCGGCACATGGACCTGGCGATAGATCTTTCAGCTTTTGGTGATCAGGAATGATTATCACAATTTCATATGTGTTCTTTCATGCTTCCATGAGGCACAGAACCACGTGTTGGCATCCAAGACATGTAAGCTGGAGTATAGAAAGCTGTTGGTTGATATTTGAGCTCTGACGATCATGACCCTCTCGTGCAAACCTCTCGTTATCAATGATGCTACCATATGCATTCTTGAACAGTTGTTGCTGGGGCTCTAGTCCTACAAGCCATGCCAAAAGCTTTGCCACCATGTGCTTTGTGAGTGGTATGCTCGAATGAGGCACAGAACCACGTGTTGGTGATATAGATCTTCAGCCGCAATACCTGTACAGCTGAAATACAAGTAGATAACTGGGTAGTAGCTATCGGGTTGGGGGCTAATCAAAACGAATCACGCTATCCATTGATCTTGTCTTTTTTTCTTCCATTTCCCGAAATGCAATGAGACTTTAGCTCATGGTTTTGTATAGTATGTCCAGACTTTGGCTATTTTTTTTTCTTTTTCGAATTATGCAAGGGAAGTCAACTTCCCACCTCCACACGCAATCGTCATCTGGAATGAACTAGATATAGCAAGCAAGAGGTAGTTGGGGGCTAAACTGGCATTGATTGCCCTTGGCGAACTTGTAAATTGCCTCGTAAACTATTCACTACATCTCTATGCAGTAGTTTACAACTGGACGAACACGCGTGGTATGAGAGGGAAAATAAAAAAAAATAAAAAATAAAAAACTCTTCATACGCCGGTACATATGTGTAAACATGTCAAAGAATCTCAAACCGCTATACATGCACTTCTCTAGCCAAAGACTGCCAGTAACTAAGCAACCATCTACCTACCGTATACTATGAGTTTCGTTTACGTAGTTACTCCCTCCTACTATGTATATACTTCACGCTATGTAAGATTCGCGAAACCTCTCTCTCCCACCTCCTCTTTACCTCTCAGCCACGGGCAGGCATTGTACAGCCGCGCGCACGGCTCTACCTACCTACCTTACTTACCATACCTCGCTTGCGTACCGAGCATACCAAGCCTACCCACCGGTTCAGTGAGCCGGTGTTGTTTGTTTGTTGAACTTCGCCCGACGCAAGCACATATAGCGCGCACAGTATTATTGATCTCGCAACCGCTATGTAGGTAAGTACCTACCTACCTACCTAGGCAGGCCATAGCCGACTGATACCGACCTAGTCCGATACCTACGTAGGTATGTAGGTACGTATGCACTCGGCCACCACTGCTGCTGCGTCCGGCGCGGTTCAAAGCGGCTTGTTACATGTACATATTACCATAGTAGGTAGCCCTTGAAGGCCACGAGTGGTCACTTACAGTGCCTACCAATTGTGTACCTATGTATGTAGTGTCTATACATTACGAGTTGGCCATGTAACCTGTTGCGGGACTTAGTACCTATTGCCGATTTCTTAAAATGTTCACCGTGTGTATGTATTCATGCAGCCAGGAAGAGCCGCCCCCATATGCCATGCATGGGACTTAACGAAATACATTGTTCCATCCGAGATAGGTAGCTCGGATGGGATCGACAGACGAGCGGCATGCTTTGACGAGGTGACCAACGGCATGCGAGGTACCACCGGATAATAGACACTTGGAAGCTCTTACTTGAAACCTCAAGTGATCCTGGGTAAGGTGATCTGGTCCCGCAGAGTTTGACCAACGTCCGAAGAGACACACCCACTGGTATCAACTTAGTTACTAGCTAACCAACTACCCGTACGCACTCACTACCCAGCCTAACTACTGCCGATAACTGCCAGAGTTATATCAGCCTTCGTTCCTTACTGCCTCCTTTTACGCTTTCTAATCCAACCTTCCAACCACCCTATCCCAATAAGAAGCAAAGGGGTATATAGTGCTATTAAAGTCGCAGATAGCCGAAACCGCATGATAAAAGCCACCTCCCCTCCTTCGTAGACAACCGTATTGCCCTATCCAAGATCGCTCGCTCGCTGGGAGATTTTCTTCGTAGGCATGTGACATGATGTAAATGATCGTGGTGAAAGCTGGCGATGACGACGCTTCTTCGATTCTCGAACGACAACCTGGCAATTTAATCGTAGCGGCGTGTCTTTCTCTTCCATCTTGCCTTTTCCTGTCCCATTCATTCATTCTTCCTGAACCAGATCCGTGTTTTGTTTCGAGCCACCCTCCCACCGATCGATCCATTCGCCCCACACAGACAAATGTGACAAATAAGTAATTAGAGGAAATAGAGAGGAGTAAGGAGATACTGAAAATAGAGATAACGGGAAACATATGCGAGAATATACAGAAATGGGTTTCATCCGGTCGTTGCAAAGACCAGTACAGATGTAGATTGAGGTCTGGTGATGGCGATCGCGGTGTGACACCAGACAGTAACAACATCAAGTTGGAATGCCTCGGTGCATGCTTGCTTTCCGTCCAATGTAGATGCTGTAGGGAGCAACGTCCTAAACATAGTCTCTTCAGTATGCACACTCCTGGAGGTTGACTAGGGATTGACACTTACCCTCGAAACAATTGACCCAGCCCCAACCGTTGACCCCCTTCCGATTTTTACACCGGGCAAGATGACCACGTTTGCCGCAATCCAGACATCGTCGTCGATGATGACTGGCTTGCCAAATTGCGCACCCCTGTGCCCATCACGGCGCCTCCAGTCTGTGTAGCAGCTGTTTGTGTAGATGTTGACATTCGGGCTGATAATCACATTGTGGCCAATGCGTACCTCGCAAGAGTCGGTAATCAGGCAGTTCCGGCCGATAGACACGTTATTGCCAATGGAGATGTTGTACCCATAGTCACAGTTGAACGGGGCCTCGACCGAAACGTTATCACCAACATGACCAATACGGCCTATGGGTGATAGCTGGTTGGGCGTCAACTGAACACCTTCGCGTGGGTGCAAGATCTCTTTGAAAAGTCGTGCGCGTTCAGCAGGTGATACGCCAATGTTAGGATTGGTCGAGTTGTTGAATCTCCAACAAGCTGCATTGCATCTCTCGCGTTCTAGCACAAGCTCCTTGTCGAACGGATAAAAGGCTCGTCCACTGATCATCTCGTCTTTCTCCCTTCGCACGGGGGGCACGATAGCGCTGGATGGAGTATGCGACTGCGCATGGGATAGTGCTAGCTGCGCAGTCGCCTGTACGGCATTTGAAGGTGGCTGAGATGTGATTAGAGGCTGGACCGCTGATGTTGGCGTGTCCGTTCGGCTGCCATGGAGGTTGTATGGAGGATGTGCGGAAATGGCGCTTTGAGGAGGCGGTGGTGGCGGCGGTGGTTGGTGGTCAGGGTCTGTCCTCGTCAAATCGTGGAGCGGGGGCACTCTCGCATACTCTCTAAGGGGCGTCCGGGCACTGATGGGCGTGGGGAAGACGTTTGAAGAATAAGCTGAGAGGGCGGACAGTTTGTTGTCTGGGCTAATAACCGATGCACTAGGAAGAGTTGATGCCGTGAGCCGGTCGTCGTCGCTTTGAAGAGGCCGTCCTTGAGGCGGTGTGATGCGGAGAGTGGGTTGCTGCCCACGCGCCATCGGGAAAGGCTCGCGCTGCTTTGGTTGGCTCAGTATCGGAGCAGTGTTGCTGGTGTAAGGAGGGATCGGTTGCTGCGGCATCCCATATGCTCCAAGAGGGACATAGTTGGGATCCTTGGACTCGATGTTGACTTGGGCTGGCTTGCTCTCAGGCTTCTGCCAGTTACCCCTCTGTGGTGGGTAACCAGCACATTGGAATGAACCCTTGATGCAGTTGGTACCTTGATAACTGTTAGATGACCCAAAGGCGAATGCATGGTCAAATTCAAAACTCACACTGAGGCTTTGTCTCATCACACTTCTTTTTGCGCCTCCTGCACGTCAGGCAACCGGTTTTCGTCCGATTACTGAAATTGCGTTTCCGCTTCTTGGGGTCGGACTGAACGGTGCCATCTCTGCGCTGCTCAGGGGTGTACTGATCCGAGTAGCGGTTGTCGTCGCCATCGGGGCTCTGATTTTCGTAGTCACCGCTGTCTGCTTGACTGGTCGCTCTGCGCATATGTTCGCCCATCGGCTCCTCGGACTGGCCAGATACTGGCCCGGCCGAGTAAGCTGCATCGTAGCTTGCGTTCCTCTCACTTCTGGGCTGCTGAGAGCGCCATCGGTCATCGCTCTCACGATTTTCGTAACCACGATATCCTTCCTTTTGGGGAGACGGATAGCGGTCATGGGGGTTGGACGGAGGCCGTGGGGGTTCATATTGCTCCGCCTTCTCTGTTACTTCAGGCCTCTCCACTCTGTCCATTCTTTCCGTTCTTTCCAACCGTTCGGTCCGTTCAATGGGAGTTCTCTCTGTTCTTTCGAACTTGTCGGGCCGCTCAGTGGAAATGGGTGAAGGCCTGTGCTCTCGCCTGGGAGAGTGAGAATCGGAATCTGTCCGCATCCGTTTTGGGGCAGGTTCAGCATCGTGGTAATTTGCCACAGGAAACGGATGCCTTTCACGGGTTGAAGTGCCCCAGTTTTCCCGGTCCCGTTCTCTCTGGCTGACTGCAATATCACTAGCGGATCTTGGGTCTGGACCAGCAGACTGTCCGTTTCCGCGTTCAAGCTCCCGAGCACCATTGGAGATCTCAGTTGGCCTGGGTGATGACCCATTTAGAGCTGTGAAAGTCGTCATGTGTGACCGTGATGCCGATATATTTTGGATCTCAGCAAATGTTCCCTGCTGGCGTCCTTTACGCCCAAACCCCAATGATCGTGCGCAGAGGCGTAGCTACTTCCTGGGCTGAAGGCTAGTGATCGAAACGTTGGATTATGGACCAATGATGGAAACGCAACGCGTAAGATGAAGGACGACGTCCCTGGAGTTGATGCCGTTCAGTGTATGTGAGAGGTCGAATTCGGTACGGCTGATGTAGGCAATAGGCGCTGTTTAGACAAAGTAGGAGTTGGTGATGGATGAAAAATGGAAATGGTGACCTCTGGGGTTCAACTGTGAGAATGCAGACGGGGAGCTATGTGAGTGGAAGATGCCCAATACCAAGTCTCCGTCAGTCGGAGACGGCGGACAGAGGTGCAGAACACGACGGCCCGGCGTTGATATAAGGTAGCACGCAGGGCAAACAGAACCCCTCAACCTGTACCCAAAGAAGGTGGATGGACTCTTTGCGTGCAGGAGGATCGTGAGGTTCCTGATGAATCAGCGTTAGAAAAGTGTGACCAGCCTGCAGGATTTCTCGGATGCGATGCGTGCGTGTAGGTAGGTAGTGGAGGCGGGGGGGTGACGGAGTGACGGGGGGGGGGGGGGGGGGGGTTGGCCGTGTGCCTTTCTCTAGATGTGAGGTGAGGTGAGGAGCAGATAGGTATGTAGACTAAGGTATGTATGATGGTTGCTGCAGGGGCGCTACCTATGTGAGATGCTTTTCCCCAGGCCGGGTTGAGTGGTGGCCGCCAACAAAGGCAACAAGCAACGGAGGATGGAGGTTGTGGGTGGAGGGGAGAAGACGATGAGTGATGAGCAGCAACAGCAACAGCAACAGCGACGGCAGCAACAGCAGCAGCAGCAGCAGCCGCCTTTCTTCGGAGGTTGCGATTCTGGACTGGAGACTGCCCTCTGCGCAACTCGGCGTGGGAGGAGCTCCCTGGCCGGGCTCGCCTGGCTACACTACAGTCAGTAGTAGGTGGCTCCGGGCTGGAAGCACTATCCTCGTCTCGACGCTAGCTGGCTGGAGCTGCTCCGCTCTTTCTCTTGACTGACACTGGCCAGCTGCCGATGACCCCTTCTGGGGTAGCTATGGGTGTGGACTCGAGAATGTTGGGTTGTGTTGCAGGGCCACGACCCACCAAACCGAATGCTCAGAAGCTCCAAGGCCCAAATGGGCCCAGTCGCAGCTTGGTAGGCTTGGCAGCGCCGCGGTGCCCAGGCGAGGTACCTTGCCGCGGCAGCAGCAGTGGAGGTAGGTTGAGCGTGGCTGCGTGCGTGGGTCGGTGGATGGGCGGAATACCTCTGCCAATGAATGGCTGCAGTCTCAATCAAGGTCCCAATGGTCCCAATCGATGGAACCCCGGATTACGGGTGTGGTATGGGACTGAGTGCTTCAAGTGCCCGGTCTTGTGAAATGGGATGTGTGTGTGTGTGTGTGTGTGTGTGTGCTGTGGAGGATACAAACAAACAGGACGGAACCTGAACGCTGTACAGTGTACTTGCAAGACTTGGTACGAGACCCGAGCAGAAAACAAAACAAAACAAAAAAAAAAAAAAAAAAAAAAAAAGTGACAGAGCGACCCGACACGGGGCACAGCGTACAGAGAAACAATGTGACGAGATGGACCGACAGGAACCGAGTCTTGTTGTCAACGGAAAGGAACAAAAGAAACACCGACCGACCTCTCTCAGCAACGCGTTTTACCACGGACCCAGATCTATACTGCCAAGACTGGCTGCGTCCTGAATGCCAGCAACGAAACGTCCTTCAAGTACGAGACGGATGCTTGCTAACTCGAATGACCAACCAGCCCACTGATCCGCGCTTGATGATACTGGAAAGTGCTAAGGTTTGATGCATGTATCAGGTATCTATTTGACCGTTGGCGGCTCTTCCCTCCGGGCCGGTTCGTCGCAGAGTTTCCGTCGGTAGTAGTGTAGAGGTGCTAACAAACAAAGTCGCGAGTAATGGGTCGAATTCTCGGCGTGTGTGCGAGAGAGATTGCGTGTGAGCCTGTGTTTCCTTTTGTGTCTTCCTTTTCGGAGCAGCAAGGGTATGACACGTCAGAGAGCAAGACCCATGGAATAAAGACTGGATGGCGATAGCCGGGATGATGCACATGTAAGACTCGGGCTGTTTGGCGCGCCTTTTCCTCGGCCTTTGCGACCTTGAAAAACACCCCCGCAACTGATGGAATCCAGAGACGCGGCCAGCATGCAGCAACTCGGATATAGGTAGAGCTACCCATTCAGCTCAACCAATGCCGACCGCGCTGTTCACCTTTTTAACGCTTGGTAAGCAGGAAGCGCACGAGGGAGCAGATGGTCGGAGCTTTCATCAACAAGTACTAGGTACGTGGTGAGCATCTGGATGATAAGTGTAGAGTTGCTGGTGCTGGAGCCTGGTAGACGCACACCTCCTCTTTGTATGTAATTGCGGAGCGCTTGGTGTCCATTTAACGCGCGATTATGCGTCTGTTCGACCGCTGCCGGGAACACATAACCGAAATGGGCCTCGTGTATCGCTAGCAAGTGGCCGGTATCCGCGCAGCTTGTATGACCGAAAACATCCATCCACTTCGAGCCCAGCCTGCCTGCTTCTTCTTCTCAACATGGTGCAAATCAATAAATGTCCTTTGTTGCCATGGTTTTGGTTGATTAGAAGAGTCCATGTACCTTCTTGCAAGTGGAATGTGCCTCTGGCCACAGCCAGCTCTAGGCAATGACGGAGAAGCCCGGAGTGACGAGACCAAGTAAGTACATATGGAGGGGCGCACCGCGCCAGCCTGATCAATGATGCCCTGATCACTGGTGTCCGTGAGCGGGAAGCGAGCGGGAAGCGGCCGCACTGGGAGGCAGCACCACCAACTCCCTAGATCTCCGGCCAAACCGTGCACCGCTGGGATGGTAGTGTACATCAAAGACCGTATGAGGTCATGAGAAGAAGAAAAACAGATGACGACGTTTCTGAATGGTTCCTCCCGGTTGATGGGAGTGGTAAAAGTGACGGAAAGTGAGGCCTCATTGTCAAATCTACTGTGCGCAACATCGCTTTCACTACGGTACGCCGTACGCCGTAGATCCGTCAACGATTCAATTTCTCCACCATCCCCTACTACATAGGGAGAAGCGAAAGGGCAAACGAGCGTCGCTAGAACGGTATGGGGTGTGTCGAGAACACCACCAGTCTATTGGGTGACATGGCGCCTGTTCAGGGGTGAATTGGTGGACTGCTGGCCTTCGACCTCGGTCGTCCCTGTATCGGTACCTTGTCCGATGGCCAACACACACTGGCATTGGTTCGCCCGACTCTGAAGGCTTGGTAACCGCATCGGACTGACGGTTCGGGTTTACCAAGGAGCAGCCTGACCAGGGACATTTGAAGTCTTGCTGCTAGTGTCAATACCCTGGGCAACGACAACCGCGACCGCTTCAGATGTGCAAATTGCTGACGAGTCGCCGTTGTTAACCACCGTTTTCAATACCATGCTCGACTCCCACCCCCTGATCCTCCTTCGGCACATGGTTCTTGCACAAGGATCCTGCACTTACAATCGAGCCTCTGATGGGCAGGACCTATAGTCTTCCCAAAGCGCAAGCGGCATGTCTCATCCAACTTGACGGGGCATATTACGTGACATTGCCAGACTCGCAGTGGCTTACGGTAGAGAGGACCACGGGCTGTTCGCCACTTTGCGTCTTAGCGGACTGGTTTCTACACTAAATATCAGCATCAGATATGATGGCCACGCTATGGATGATTATAGGGTTTGGAATAAACTTGCCTTGGCCCACATCTGCTCTGCTGCGCCTGTTAAATTTTGAAAACGAGGCTGGCCAGGCAGTCAGAAGTTCACTGTGTAGGATTGAACCCCCAGTCTTCGCCATGATCCAATTCGTACTTACCATCAAACAGCATGGATGGACTCGCTGTTGGTTCTTGGTTACTGGCTAGTCGATCACCGAGCAGATGACGAGCATCAATTACCGTTGCATTCGCCCTGCTCGGCGAACTCGTGGGCGAATGTACCACTGTGCCAGACATTTTTTTCTGTTAATTTTTTTTCTTTTTGTTCTTCGTTTTTATACGTGATTGGCATGCTCGTGTAGAGTAATCTAATCCTCTGCAATCAGTACGAGCCATCCTGCTCAAGCATCACTGCCGCCCAAAAGACTTGAATTAACTCCATCTTTGGCGAACGAATCGAACCTTCTTCTTTCATCTTGGGTGCTCCAAAGCCTCCTCGTGCCCTTAAGACTGACGCCTCGCCTTGCCCGCAAACCATAGGCATTAGGCTGCATCATCGATACCGAGACGAATGGAGAGTGAGAGCGTGAAGGGAAGTCAAGTCTCACAGGAATGCAACCAATAGGAGGTACACGACAGGGGATGTAGTTCCATTTAATATGGCGCGACATGTTATTCTCTGTCCTCTCATGCCCCTGCGTTGGGTGCGTACAGGACGCTATAGGAGCGGCGATGACTTGTGGCAGCTAACGCAGGCAGGCTTGGTAGGGTAACACCGATAAAATGCGTTCTGATGAATGCCGCATCGCCAGCTAGCAAAGCCCAATGTGTGGACATGAAGTGAAACTGGTAAAGCGTTGTTAAACGCCGTTTCTTACACCAGTAGTGACGGCGGCTGGCTTGTACAGGGATGGGCGGACAACAGCCCGTATTGAGTAGGCGGAAGAGGGCAGTGTATATCGGTAAAACCGTTCAGGTCAAAGTGCCGAACGTCACAGCCGGAACGGTGATCTTGGTCAGGTCTTTTTAGCCATCAGAGTTCATGATAACTGTACAATTCGGCATGAGGTCCTCCAGCTTAGAGTCTTCCACCTGGAGATGCCCTCCGGCAGCCAGATTAGGCCGATTGTCCAAAAGTAGCATGCTGTTGAGAGGGTTGAACCACCTGCCAGAATGCAACCATAACGGCGTACTGAAAGTTGCCTCATAACTTGATTGTGGTACTCTCATGGCAACGCTTCATCCTGTCACTGTTCCCGGGTGTCTCCTTTGGGGTTTCTTATGTATGTTATACGTAGCAGATACGGTGGGAGATGGTGTCCAGCATGCCATTACAGCCAGGGGAGTTCCTTGTGTTGGCAAGTTTAGCGTTAAATATAGAAACGCGCGGACCTGCTCATAGGAGACCAAGGTGCGGAGTTCTTTGGTTCCATACGGGAAGATTGTCGAAGTAAAAGTCAAGTAGATGTATTTTATAGTCGCATTCCGCCCGGTTCGAAAATTTCCGTGTCAGCAAGTGTGGGAGTTGCGGCGGCTGTCACTATCAAGGACTGTCGTCGCGCGTGCTATGTAATCAATACCGGGCTCGTTGTTACTAGCGCATCTTCTCGGGATGTTTACCGCCAAAGGTTGAGGTGCGATTGGTTACTTTGACCAGGACATGATTGGATGAAAGCTGAATACGTGCGGCCTATGAAGGTCAGATGAAGGCCCATTCTTAGAAACAAGTCGTGACTGGTACCCGACCATGCCCTTTACAGACAAGAAGACTCGAAGGGGATGATGTGTGTCCGGAGCTTTCAAGGTTGTGGTTTTCGAGATTTACAGCTGCGACGGGCTGCTAGCAGATCACACAGTTTACCAGCTGTCCACTGGTACATGCGTGCTGTTCGACACACACTGGCCGATATGTATGGTCCCTGGTAGGATTTGGCATATCAGATCCAGCCAGGTGGATCTTTTGATTCTGAGCCTGCAAAAAAGCATTTTGGAACTCATTGTCCACAGTCCCGTGTTGTGCAGAGAGCAGGTTCACCACTTGTGATGTGGTGAAGGAGCTGCATATGTAGCGGCTCAAGCACCCAACGAGAGTGCCTTGGAGTTCTATTATGGAAATCAGTATACATGATCCAAGGCGATGTTGGGTGGATTGATCCTGGTGTCGACGACTCACATTGCCCTCAATCAGCCATCCTGGTCCTATAACATGAATGACACCCAAGCGTCCCACATAGGGACTACATAACTACAGACACTTTGCGTGACGAAACAAAAGTCTGAGCGATTGCCTATCCTAGACTTAGTACATAGCCTGTCTGCTGTCTCCCCACCTTGCGTACGTACCATCGAGAATTTGGAGATTCAGGGGTCATCGCCTGTCGAGGACGGCTTGATTCCGCCATGGTCAGTGCTGCCCTGACAATGTTGCGATGAACCATCGACGACCCCGTCTGAGACTTGGGGCCTTGGGGTTCATGGGGCGACAGGGTGTGTAGAGATAGTGGCCAGTGGCCTGCCTGCCTGTCGTCACAGTTGTTTCCTCGTTTCTTCGTTTTCGACGACGCTTTTGGCGCCTCCGCAGGGACTGTCTTGGGCTCTCAGGCAGGTTAGAAAAATAAAAGCTCGCGAATTGACGGTCATGTTGAAACATGCAAAAGTGTCTGGCACATGATGAAGGCCCAAGCGGACCGGGACCCGGATGTGGGAGAAGGGAGGAGGCAGGAGAGGAGATGGAAATCTTTGATTTGCAAAGTGCAAGACCATGCAGGTGCCTGCTGTGCTGTTGTTGGTTCAGTTCCTTTGGGAAGCAGTTGGAAAGAGGTACCGACAATTTTTGACGAGCGAGGCAACAGCAAAGGACTGGAACGGAAGGTCAACAGAAAACGTAAGAGGTACGCACCTGCCCCGATTCAACATTTCGAAGATCTCACTCACCGCCATGGCCTCCATTAATTCTTCAGCAGGAAAAGGACGGACATTGTTTAAAGCAGGCAACAGCAGGAATCCATGTTGTCATGTTGCCATTCCGTTCCTACCAAAAACAAAAATGTCACAGGTGGTGCCGGCTGGGCGAGGGGTTGAGGTTGCGACTGCCCTGGTGTACATATCAACCGGGCCTGGTTTGCTTGTTAGCGCGGAACTTTCCTACGCACTTTTTGCAACTCTGTCGCAGGGACCACGTTAACAATCAGACCAGGGTTGAACTGTAAAAAAATCCGAGACCAGTAGTAAAATCTCCACGTCACACCAAGGTCGCCTCGTGTGCACTCGCAACTACTATGTAACTATGTACATAGTGTACACTCATAGTACACTGCACCTACCATTCGGTTGTCGCGACGGTTGCCCCCATTCGTAGCGTTAGGCCCGAGCATAGGTCACCGTAGGGTGGTGGCAGGCCTGGCCCGCTCCAGATGTGGGCAGATGGCCCGGCTTTTTCAGGCACATCTCTCCATCATCCCACGATTTATTTTCTTTCTTTTCTTGACATCTCGTGTCCCATATCACCACTAAAAAAGCACGACGTCAACCACGAAAACACAGTCAAAGCCAGTCAGTACTCGACGATAAAACAAGCCCTTCTAAAACACGACGAGGGTCTCAATACACGCAGCCAAGTCCTCTCCCTGTCCTGTGATTGGCTGAGGTCGGTACTTTTGAAGACTCCAGCCGCTTCGCGATTCGCTGGAGCCGCCGCGGCCTCGGTTCTTAGCCGCCCTCGACTGTTTCGATGCCCCTGCCAAGGCTTCGATGTTTACTCCACGAACCCACGTCAATGCTCCTAAGCGCCCTATGAACTATTTTGGTGTCAACAGCACGACTTCGTTCTATTGCCCGTTGTCAACCACCGTTCCCGTCTTCAGCACTTCTAGAACTCTTCCAACTGCCACCCGTAAGTTGAGATAAGCCAGTCACCTGTAGAATATCGGGCGCCTAACAGTTTCTCCAGTGTCTTGTCAGCCAAACACAGCCGTCTATCAGCCATCCCTCGACTCCATGCTCGCATATGCCATCTCTTACAGTCACCACTACACTGTGACTTCTACTAGCCACACTTGACGTGCACGGTGACACGCTGTGCTTTATCCCTTGTCAACACTACTGTCAACATTGGATCGATGCTATGCATACAGTATCAAGTCAAGCGCTGGGCTATGTCTACCTACGGTCTATCTATGCGCCGAGCGCCTACATTCACAAAACGGCTTCGAACAACTGCTCCCTTGATCCTTCTGTATCAGGGAGCAAATGTCGAGGGTATTGGACTAGCCTGGCTAGTTCATGATGGACATGCAACGCAGCCAGAGTCACGGCGCTTCCCTGGGCGGCTCAAAAGGCTTCTAATGCAGCGTTGGCGGTTGTGGCTGGCTTGTCTCAACACCATCGGGTATCTGCTTGGGTCATCGCCGTTACGTCAAGCCGGATCATCGGTATCGTCGCTTGGCTGGCCAAATATAGAACACCAAACCCGACCCTTCTCTTTGTTCTGTTTCCCTACCTCCCCAGTGCCAGGGTACCCAGCGTTCCGTCACATCTACCCGTTCTCCGCATCCCAAGATGGGCATCTGCGTCAACGGTTCCTTCATCACACTTAGCCGAAGCCATGCTGGTAAGTGGTTTCCAAATGCCATGCCTCGTGGTCGTGCCGGTCTGGGGTCCAGGGCATGACGAAGAGCCGCACATAGGTACCAGTACCTAAGTGGTCATCTGTGCCAGATTTCGACACCGTATCTGCGCGAAATCGGCTCCACATTTAACGTCACTGCTTCCAGCATCACGACCTATTTATGTATCCCCAAGCCTTGCCGCCCACCCATAATACAAATACAGACGAACCCTCGGATATATATGCATCCCTGGCAGTCCAGCGGCCTTCAGTTAACCTCGATAACTACTTGCAGACATTAGCGTCGTCACAAAATACTCATCTCGCAGCCCATCCCTTCTTCTCGAAGCCAAGTGTCCTACCCTTCGGCATCACGCTTTCCCTCCCTGCTTTCTCCCCTCATCTCCACCGACACATCATATTTATAGCCAAGCGGCTACAATCATGACGACTTATAGGACAACACACACATGTGGTAATCAAACTGGAGTCAAATTCTCTTGCTGTTCCGAAGACATTTGATACCGTTGATCTTTCGTCCTCTTTCTGTGCCTATTTCTGGAAACAACAACATAGCAAGATGACGATTTTTTTTTTTTTTTTTTTTTTTTTTTTTTTGGAATATTGTCTTTCGCATCGGTTTCGCCAGGTAGCATAGGCGGCTAGTTTTCCACTCGGTCGAGCGGGTGAAAGCCTTTAATCTTGGATATTCGAAGTCCAGAGCTGGAACTATTCTCTTGCAATCGGTTACCTCTGACTGAACACAGTAACACAATCCACTGCGATAACATGCCAGCAGCGTTTGACTTGTCCTAGGACGAACGGCAGAAACAACCCTCCTTGGCGATCAAACGTCCTTTGAGTGTGATGGCCTGGATTCGCAGCTATCATGCTGACCTCACGACTATGAATTGCCAAGAGGGAATCGTTGTTAAACGTATCGAAGGACGTAGAAGATGACATACGCGTTGTCAAACTTTAGCTGTGGCTGTTACACTAGGCAAATATGCCAGCCAGATGAGAGAATACGGGTTTTCCCATTCTATGGGAGTTTGAAGTTGGTGCCACATAGTCAATGTAGTCTGATTTTGAATGGCAATTTTCCTTTTTTTTTTTCTTTTTTTCTTTTTTTTTTCTTTTTTTTTTTTTTTTTTCAACAAACAGATGAAAAACAAAAATGAAACCAACAGCGGAACAATCATATTCATGACATCTTTAACTCGACTCATTGGTAATTGTCGTTGTTGCAGAGTTGTGATACTAGCACGTGTCCGTAGGCTGACATGCGATAGGATTGCCCGTTGCGTAATATGATGCATAATCATACCTACCAAAAGAAAGAAAAAAAATGTCTGGCCATGTAGTCTCCATTCTCGCCTATGTAACCTGTAAAAAATAGCATTGTGCTTCCAGCGGGTGGATTGTCAGTGTATAGTATCTAAGTCACTAACAAGAAGCAGACGGCGAAGAAAAGGAGAGGAATATCAAAAGAAAGACGACGGACCGTTAGAACTCGCAGCAAAAGCAAGAGCAGATGAATTATGATGAGGTTTAAGGGTCACGATCACTCATTCTGACTTTTGCCGGCTTGTGCCTGATGTTCTGTTGATGAGTTACCATTCAAACTGATGATTGCGATTGTAAGCGAGGTTGAATCAATGAAACTACAAAAGAAGGGGTGGATACAACATGTAGGTATAGTCTGACGATCGCAGGATGTGGTTGTTAGAGATGCGAAGTCCTCATGCAGATAGCTTCTATGAACATACTCGAAGACATCCCATGTTAACTATTGACTCTACGCCATCATCCATCATCTCTGAAGTAGGCTGGTCAATATAACTCGATCGCCACACTTCCATTACTCCTCCACTCACTCTGCATCCATTCATCCCTCAGCACCTAATTTCCACGCCCCCCTTACTAACAGTCAAATACTTGACCCCCTTGAACGGCCTCACCGTCTCCGCCAGCCCTTTACTCCTCCTCGGATCCAGCATGATGCTCTCCACCTTGATCCCGCTCGCCGTCCACCCCTTGACGGCAAAGCTCACGCTCGCCGAGCTGGGCATCAGGATCTTGTTCTGCTGCGCCAGTTTCCCGTCCCTCCGCTCTTTTTCCTCTTTTTCTTGCTCGGCTGTTAGTTTCTTGTCGCCGCCAGATAAGAGATCGCTCGCGCTCTGGTAAGGTGCTGGTTCACCGGCGTCGTAGGACCAGTCGCGGCCTCCAGCGGAGGAGGTGTTGAAGCCGAAACCGGTGGGGTCGTCATTGTCGTCTTCGTCTTCGCCGGAAATAGACTGGCCAACGACGGTGCAGCGGAGAGCAAAGTGCGAAGCAAAGCCGGCGGCGACGTCCTTGTTAGGAATAGTCCACTCGAGAAAACGGTCGCCGGGGTTGTACGTGGCGTCACCCTTGGCGGTGCGGATCTCGGCGAGGTTGCGCACGTCTGCCGGCAAGGGGACGGTGACTTTGAGGTCTTGAAGCGTGGGGGAGGCGGGCGTGCCGGGTTGGGGACCGCCTCCCATGCCCCGACCGACGCCGCTGGCTGAGGATAGCGGGTAGTTTGATGATGAGCCACTACCGCCACCTCCGCCGCCACTAGTACCGGGGATCCTGTTCACGGTGAGGCGGACTTCAAAGTCAGAGCCAGTGGGACCAAGACAGGTCTTGATCTCCAGACTGACAGGGAGCTTAAGGTTGTTTGCTGAGGCGCTCATGTTGCCTAGGTTCCGGGCGCCCAGCGGGAGAAGGTCGACTTCGTAACCAGCTAGGGTGAAGCGGCCATCGGGAGGGATGAAGCTGAGAACGCCGGGTTGCTCGCGCCATTTTGCGAGACGCACGCAGGGATGGAAGACAGGTAGGTCAATGATGCTGCCGAGGTTGTGCTTGCCGGTTGGACCCGTTAGAGTAACGACTATGTCGGGCACTCCAGAGACCTTGGAGGTGAAGGCGATTGTGCCGTTTGCGAAGGCGGCGAGAGGCCGGCCGGATGGAGCGAGGGTGACAGAGAGGGTTTCGATTACGTCGGCATAGAGCTCGTTTTGGGTGTGTCGTACATTGTTTCGACGCCAGGGGAGGGCTAGAGTGCTCTGCTGGGCAAGGAGAGAAGCTGGGCTGGGGTTGGAGAAGGTTGGTTTTCTGGCGGGATGCGCAAGTCAGTCAGGGGGGTTGTTTTCTTTTGTCCAAAACGGGTAATGGATGCGCATACGTGGGGAGGTTCAAGTTGCCGAGGAGCTTGCCCATAAAGCCTTCCACCTCCACCAAGTCGCGCAGTGCATTGGGTTCTGTTGTGTTGATGGTGCCGGCATCGCACATCTCTGTGAGAAGCTGAGCTACGACATCGTAGTTGCTCTCAATCTTGTGGGCCAGTAATGGGGTGCCCAGGAACTCCTCGAAGGAATCGACGATACGGTGGAGGAACTCGAGAACGAGCAGTGGCTCAACCTCGGAGGAGGTTGTTAGAAGAAAGAGAAGGTTGGCATGTTTGAGGCTGAAGACGAGAGTGGGTGGGTTGGTATTAGGGAGGTAAATCAGGTTCGGTCTCGGGGCGGGATGTTCGAGGTAGAGGGGCAGCAAGTACGACGGCGACAGCGGACGCGATGTGTATGTGTGCGACAAGATGGGGCTGCTGGAGTTGGGAATTAGCTTTTGTGTTTTTCATTGCTCTGGATCAAGGGTGCAGCTTTACTTGTGCTCGTCGAAAATGTGGAGGGCCTCGATGACACCGTTCATGGTGAAAGAAAAAAGAGAGAGACAACGGGATTGAGGGGTTCGGTGATGGCGGTCCTCTGGCTTGTGGGTTGCTGTTGGGCAATCACGCAGCGATGGGCCAGGGACAGTGCCAGACCGGGCACTGTTGCTAGGAAGCACTGACGCAATGGGAACCCGCACAACAACATCGATGTGGATGTGGCCCATGCTCTCTGCCTCGCCAAGGCTCGATCGGCCAGAAAGTCAACGGCGTGGGCGGTGGACAACGGCAGATCTGTCTCCAACAAGCTCCACTGTTCACTCCATGTCAACAATAACACACAAAAGGAGCCAATTGGGGGATCATTAGACGACGGAGTCAGCACGCTCGCTCAACTCTCACCGGAGTCATTAGCCATGGCCAAAGACAACATTCCTCCGCTTCATACTCTGGAGAGGCCTGAGAAGCTCCAGGACATTCTCAAGCAGGACCGCGGTGATGACTGCCTTCCCTGCCGGGTCATTGGTGAGGACTCGTGCATTCATAGGTACTTAAACACCCTAGATGCTAACACTCTTACCAGGCGGAGGGGCTTTCCTTGGTCTTGCCGCATACAGCTATTATTCCGGCCACTCCCAGCTCACCAAAGCCCAAGCCGAGATCCTAGCCAGCAAGTCCTTCTTTGGTATGAGAAGCAGGAGGTGGGCCATCACTGGTCTCTCATGCGGCATGGCCTATCTGGGCTTGTACAGACTGTTCAAGTGAGGCGATTGGAAAAGAAAAAGACCAGCACCCGCCCCCGAAACGGGCAATGCGGCGCAGCTCATCGTGGTGCTTTCGACAAAAGAGTCGATGAGGGCAATCCACACAGTTTAGTCGAGAAGGGACGTAGGCGACAGGCTCAGTCAACCGTCGAGACACAGCCGAGATTTGCCGCGAATTAACTACAGTGGATGACGAGAAATGTCTAGCAAATGATATCATGATGGCCACACTCGCTCTGCTGAGCCGTTGTTTCGTTAGTGCAACATCAGTATCATCACTCGCTCGCGACCGTTTCGACCGTCGGAAAGGGAGATCTTGACAGAGCACGCGGTAGCCCGTTTGGAAACGGCCGCTGCCTGGGTTCCGCGCCATAGTCAAAGACGGAACGGCCGAGGGGGTACCTTGTAAGTATTAGTCTTCGAGTCTGTTTGTCAACAGGGTGGTGGCTGGCCGAGTGGGACTTGGTGATGCGCACAGCTCAATTCAACCTGCTCGAAAGACCATGGATTCGATGCCCATGGTGGCGGCTGTATACTCGATATTTGCCCAGGCACGTACACACCTTAGGGTGCACGAGGAATCCCTCCACCCACTCGTCTCGCTGAGCTCACCGTTGTAACAGTGAGCCTCTGGGTTGATTGGTGTTAGTGAGGTGGTCCCTGTGGTTACCAGCTCTTGGTGAGCCCCGTTTTTGCGATCTACGCGCGTCCCTTCTTCCCAGTTAACATGTTGACAATGCGCTTTACAAGCGCGTAGAATCCTGCGCACATCGTCATGTTCATCTGCTAATTCCTTTCCTTTCCCAACCCGTCACTTTACACGTACCCTTTGCAAGATTTTCTCTTCTGCCTCCAACACGTTATCAACATTTTGCCTCCATTCTGGCACGAAAGAAAACTCAACGGGTAAGTATTCGGGAAGTGAGACGAAGGTAATATCTCCTCCACGACTTCCGCGCTTGCAGTGTAGATGACAACATGACAACAGGGACCAGGCTTCATCGACACAAACTTGGCTTGAAATCACACGTGGAAAGCGGGCCTGTGAGTGGAGATGTATCCAGCAAACGACTCCCGGGGATCCTGAACATCATTCTCATATCGACAACAAGCAATCATGGCTGGAAGAACACTCGGGGAGTTTGCCACATACAGAAGGAGATGTCTGCTTACAACCCAGCACGAGGTTGTGAAATACTCATGGAGCAAGGGGCAGTTGTTATGCACGTAATGACTAGCTGGACATTGCCTCTCTAGTCTTGACTATGAGAGGGAACAAAAAGCAATCCTAGGAAAAACCGGTACGGTACACAAACATTGTGCTATTGAAGTTGCTTCTCCTTTACAAGGACAAACCTAGCTCCCTTTCTCCCAATTCCTGCCACTCTCCTTTCAAACCCCTATCCAGACCTCTTCTTCCTCTCTGCCTCCCTTTTAGAAAGAAGGCTTAGCATTTTTCACAAGCATCTCAAAGTAATCCTGGTTCCACGATCCCGCCTCTGGACTAGGTTGATACGCATCGCTCTTCCCGCAGAAGCTATCGTACCTAGTGGCACTGCTATCGCTAGTACCATCGGACTCACCACCCGGCTTGACCCAGACGAAAGCGTCAGCGAGGTCGTGACCCGTGGAAGAAGTCGGGCGAACGCCAAAGCCGGCGCCGTTGACGTTGCACCAGTTGCCCCACTCCTGGCGCAGACCGGAGACGCCGTTGCGGCCCGTGTCGACGATGGCGTGGTTGGGCATGCCGGCGGACTTGAGGGCGGGGCCAAAGTTGTCGAGGTAGAGCTTTTCGTTTTGGCACTTGTTGTACTTGGCGTCCGAGGCTTTGGAGAATTCGCCGGGGGTGAGGTCCCTGTTTTCACAAGGTTATTATTAGCAATCTTTCGTCGTTTTTCTCTCTCTCTTCTTTACTCTCTTTTTTTTTTTTTTTTTTTTTTTTTTTTTGGTAAGTCCTACGAGATGTGGCAAACATACCATTGATTCCACCCAGCAACGTTGGTAGCGATGCCGCGGACCTGCTTGGGGGATCCCGCGGCCTTGTAGGCCTTGGCCAACTCCTGCGCTCCGGGCTTGAGGTTTGCGTCCCACCCGAGCCAGCCGCCGTGGCCCGCGTCAATGTACATGACGACGTTGGGAAGGTTGAGGTTCCTGAGGGCATAGGCGACGCCGTCGCGGTAGCCGGACGCGGAGTCCTTGCAGGTCTGCAGGTCCGAGTTGGTGACGAGGTTGGGGAGTGAGTCGGGCTCGATGACGAGCGCGAAGGCGGTCTTGGGATGCGCCTTGAGGATCTTGACGATGGCTGCATTGGCAAAGGTCACTTTGTTAGACGCATTCTTTGTCCTTTGTGGCATAAATGGGCAGGCCATGGAGCAAAGAAGGACTCACCATCGATATACTCAGTCTTATACCTACTAAGCTCGCCAACCGCCAACTCGCCGTTGGAGGCCTTGGCAGCGCAGTCACGGCCGGGCAAGTCGTAAATGACCAAGCCCAGGATGTGGTCGCAGGGGACGTCCTCGAGCGCCGGCTCCAGCTTGCCAATGTTTTCGATTGAGTCCAGCCAGAGGAAGCTGCCGACGTTGGCCACCTTGGCGGCCTTTGCTGCCAGGCTCGAGTCCGAAATGGCCGCGACGGCCGCCTCAACCTCGGTCCGGTAGAACTTGTTGGCGTGGAGCGTGTACTTCTTCCACACGTTGGTGCTGGCGTCGAGGGTGACAGCTGAAGCGCAGCCGGCCTGGACCGCACGCGGCTTCTCCTGCAAGGTAGGAGTGGAAGGGGCGGCAATGGTGGTGGCAGCAAAAGCCAAGGCGGCGGAGTTGGAGAACTTCATCGTGAAATAGGGGAGGAGAGACACGAACCAGAGACCTACTGCTTGGGTGTGATGATGGTAGGGTGATGAAGAAATTGGAAATGGCAGGACTAGAAGCGGAGAGGTGCTTTATGGTCTTTATACTGATGAGTTCGCTTCCTCGTTTGGCGTACTGTCCCGGTTGTCTGCCTTCTGGTTAACCAGGTTGAGCCATACACACTCTCACACTTTATCTTTCTTTTACCTAATCGTGCCAATTCTGCCTCACCTCCCATTCTCCTGAGAGCGGTTCGAGATGAACAATAACACAACATGGCAATCAGGAAGACAGGCCCGCCACACGCGATAGCTTCTCGGCCAGGAACTTCCGAGGTTGTCACTATAGGAAGTCCACCTTGACCAAGCACATTCGCATGGATACATCTTATGCATGGTTTTGAGAATCGCCTCAACTGTTCACAGCTCTTCAGTGGACGGAAGAAGCTACACCTTTCAGGTCCCATGGCCACCTTTGTTCCTACAGCACTTTATTTCAATCTCTTGCCTTCCCAGTCGAACCATTGCTCGGGCCGAGCATGGGATTGGCGATTGGTTCCTGAGAAAGTGTGGGGAAGTTGAGTGTCTTGGGATAAAGGAGGAGGCGGCGGCGATCTTGGAAAAGGAAACTTAATTTGAAGAGGCAGTCTACTTTACGCACGTCTTATGGTGGTGTCTAGTTTCTCTCGAATGATGGCCCCTTGGTCTGGGGTGTCTTGATGATCTCGCGCAATTTGCAAGCGGATCCCTCCAGTGTAGTCACACAACCTAACCTTCCTGGGATTTACGGAGAAAAGCTAGATATTGCGAGCCAGCTGAGACTCCGTAAATCTCAAACTTTTGTATTGGAGAGGCTATTTCTTTGAACTTAAAGGCTTCTTCATTCGTGCATTGAGTGGGAGACGGGAAGCCTTGTTGGTCGTGTTATGGTACAAGATCAACACGTATAGCTATGTGACCAACATTTGAGGGCAAAAGCTAAAGTGGCATCAGAGTTGTACCCTACCTCTTGAAGAAGCACCGTGGTTTTGCCATCGGTAATTGTCTACGGTTCTTTGATAAATGCCGGACTTGATGGTCCGGGGATGTACCACCCCCCTTTTGAGTAGCATAATGGTTAGAAGTGGCGGTTCTCTGCTAATATTCTCGCAATTTCTCAATTATAGATAGTTCAAAATTACTCAAATTCTTATGTCAGGCTTCGCTATGATGGGAATTACTGTTTTACCCTGAAGATGTAAGATGGTAGGTGGTACGAAAAAAGGGTCCGGACACTCGCTGGGTCTGGTTTGGTATAAGCATGTCCGGACTTTTCTCATGCCACCTGGATGACCACCGAAGGGTCCTCCGGATTGAACTGGTCAAGTAGCGAAGCGTTAGTCGTTGGCTCAATCGCCCTCGATATGGATGATCCGCAATCCCATGATCTGAAGACGAGATACGTTGCCTGCCATTCGCTGTTGGGTATCAAGTTCCGGTCATTAAGCTGCGGCTTATTAGCCGGCATAGTCGCCAGTCGTGAGGTGTGACAAATCTACGAGTTGAAAAGTTGGGGTGCGTTGCGTCCAAAGTATAATATTTGCTCTCTTCCTCCCGCGCCGGTTCGGCTAAAACAGCTGAACGCATCATCAGCATATTGTTTTGTTTTGTCACATCCTAACTTTCCCCTTGCTTGAAGCACTACGTGATCACTGTTAAGGGGGGGCTGAGTTTCAGGCACGTAGCGAGACTTAGCTGTTGATTGTATTGTCAGATATGAACGACGGTGGGCCGGAGAAAGAACGAGATATTGCTGCCAGTTGCATCTCTCAACCCGTTCGCAGGCACAGGATCCAACAGGGGCTTTGTGAAATCTTCAGAAACAGCGTCAATATTTTTGTGAAACCCTCAATTGACTTGAGTAGCTCTATTCCTTTTGTTTTCCTATTTCTCTCAGAAGCAACAGCTCTATTTTACAACAAACAATGACCGTTTAAACAAAACCCGCCTAAAAATGTGTACTTGGCTTTCAAAGATTTGGTGTGCAAGCCTGGCGATAAAGATCTTGGCAGGATGGATCGTTGATCTTGCCTTGTCACTCGCTGCTGCCTTACATAAATGGTGGCAGGTAAAATGGGTAGCCAGCGTTCTTGAGACGGAAGATGCTCAGAAGGAAGCTGTACACAACCAAGAGAACGCCGCTCCAAGCCCAGACTGCGATAGTCTGGGACTTGGGGTCGGCAATCCTGGGCACCTTGACGGCCAAGGAGATGACCGCAAAGGAGAGGATACCATCTGATAGATCGTCCCAAGTCAGCGATTTCGAAGAGGTAGACGAATAGAGAGCTCACAAGAACTTACACAAAGCAGCAATAATTTGTGTCTCCAAACCGTATTGGTTCTGAAAGCCAGCAGCGAAGTAGCTCACGCCACCGCGCGGGTTGTTGGCAACGTAGGGGACCTTGCGAATCTGGTTGTACATGTGGCCACTGGTGAACAGCAGGATAGCAATCAAAGTGAAGGCAGCCCAGACATTGCGGTTCTGGATTACGGGCACGACGTAAGGCCAGGCGACGTAGACGCCAGTCAAGCTACCAGTAATCATGGTGAAGCTCACAGCCCACTTGAGGTAGTCGACAGGGCGCTTGACGGGAGGATGAGGGCGGCCATCAAGGTGGCGAACAAGCCAAGAGTGCACTATTTCGGCGGGAACGGGTCCATTGGTGAAGTCATAGCGGATGGGCTCGGGGCTAGCAGCAGCGTGGGGACCGATGGTGGGAGGGAAGAAGAAGAGGACGGGAGCAGTTTGGAGGCCGAACTATTACAAGTTGTCAGCTTCTTACTAGAACCCAATCGAGAGAGTGGACCTGAACACATACACCCATAAAGGTCTCTCTGCCTTCACTGAAATCCAAAGACCCAAAGATAACACGAGACTCGCCAGACTTGTCGCCCTTGACCCAGCTCTTGGAGAGCAGCTCCCACTCAGGCTGGAATTCGCGGCAGAGCTGGCAGCCGTAGCGGGGATCGAGGGCTGTCAGGACAACAGCGACGCTGTAATCGCGAGGAGGGGCGGTAAGAGACTTGAAGGAGGAATCTTTGAGCTTGATGGGGGCGTGGGATGTCTGTTTGGCGTGGAATTCTGCGAATCGTTCCTCGGAGGACTTCCTAGCAGCAAAGGATCCGGCCGCGAATAGCGACGCCGACAGGAAGGCGGGCAGCCAGCGCATCTTGTCGAGCTTTGTCTTTCAACCAGAGCAGACGAGTGTTGTCCTACGCAATTGTGACCGGCCAATTGCTTCTAATTATCTCGATGTGGCCTTGTTGTCGTCCGTCGGCGTCGTCGAGGTTGGGTGATGCCCGGTGGTGATGGTTGTCGCTTGAGATTAAGCTTGGCGAACCCACAGGTAGTAGTACAGCTAGCTGACGGGATACAGTGGACACAGCTCACTGGACAGACAGCACAGGCAGCTCCCAAACACATCGAGCGAGGTGTCCAAGGTGTCCTCAATGGAATGACGGGGCAGGATGCGTGTCCCGGTACGTACCTACCTCTAGGTACCTACCCCCAGCTAAGGTACTTACCTCTCACACCTGCGGAGCTCAAGCTGCCGGCTGGCAACAGCAAGGGTCTGGCTCCATTCTTCCACCCCATTTCTTCAGTGGGGCCGTACCAATAGGGCCACTATCCCTCTTCCGGAACATTGTTTACTTCAAGGTTTGGCGGGCGAGCTGACCGTTGTTTGGTTGCTCTCGCCCTCTTGGACCTTCGTCATTTTCGATATCAACCCAACAACCACACCATTACCACCACCACCACCAACCCTGAATCCATACCAAAGCACGACATCAAAGTCTACCAGTTTCCAATCACAGAACGGTGACCGTCAACATTACATTGCGCTCGGCTTTACACATTATTCTATTGCAGTACATCACTGCGCGCGTCTGCATTTCTATGCCTGCCACACGCGTGTCGCCATGTGTAAACATGGATCCCGAACAGGTCAATTCTCGTCCACCCTCGACGCTCGGCCCGCGCACCCCGTTCGTTGGCTGACCACCTGTCGCGATACAGAAAACAGAGAGGATGTTTGAGCTGGAGATGCGATACAAACAGGCTGTCCATCAGACAGACCTGTTGGTCAGGGAGGAAGATGGGCGCCGGATGAAGCTGCGCAGCATGGTCCTTCGCGATGATAACTCGTCGCTAAAAGACCAGATTGCGCACAGAGACAATCGCATCAAGATCCTCATACAGCGAGCCGATGACGCTCGCCACCTAATAGAGTCCATTCGGCAACAATGCGCCCGGCAGGAGAAGCAGATCCAGGCCCAAATGCGCGAGATCGCTCACCTTAAGGTAGGGCGGTGTGCATATATGCTAGCGCGGAAAAGTCGGACCAATGCTGACACCATGCCATAGGAGGAAATCGCAGCTTTCAGCACAGTATCACAGGATTCCGCAAAGATCCTATCCGAGAAACTTGCCCTAACACGCGAGGTCGCCGTCCTCAAGCCCGAAGTCGAGCACCTGAAATCCCAATTGTCACACCAAAAAGATGTCCTCGCCGAAAAGTTGGCACTAGAACGCCAACTAAACACGCTGGAAGTCGAACTCGCCAATGAGAAGCGCGCTGCGGAAAAGGCGGCTCAAAAGCAGGAGCGATATACCAAGGAAGAAGAGGAACTCCGAAAACAGGTCCGCGAACTCGAAAAGGAACTCAACAAGGAGAGAAAGGCAGCACAAAGGAGTGGCGATTCACAACAACAGGTCAAGGCTCTTAGAGAACAACTAGCGACGGTGGAAAAGAAGTTTGCTTCGGAAAAGTCCAAGATGGAACAAGCGACCAGGGCTCAAGTGGAGAAGTCTACGGTGATGGAGGAGGAGCTCGGACAGCTTAGAGAGAAGCTTGCCGAAACAGAAAAGGCATTGGCAGCTGAAAAGCGGGCAGCTCAGCGCAAGGCTAAAAACCAGGAGAACAAGGCATCTGTATCGGAGGACGAACTCGCGGCATTACAGAAACAGATCGACGACTTGAAGCAGGCTCTGACAGAGGAAAAGAAGGATAAGGAGAGGCTGCGAAAAGAGAATCAGCAAGCGATCACCGAGGCCGAAGTACGACAAGCAGCGACGGACGAAAAGCTGGATAAGTTCAGGACCAAACTGCATGAGGCCAAGGAGGAACTCAAAAAGTCCAAAGCCGATCTGGAAAAGGCCCGAGAGAAGGCAGCAAAAGCGGCGCTGGTAACGACAACCACGATACCGACTAAGAAGGCGGCAGCGAAGGTTGCGGGCAAAAAAAGACGCGCGGATGAGGTGTTGCTCGAGGAAACGGCCCTTGGTACACCGGGCGCAGCCGACAGACCGAAGCGTCCTCTTAAGAAGAGGGGATTCGACCCATCAGACATGGTCCAAAAGTCCACATTTTCCATCACGCCTTTCCTCAACAAGACGCTGAACCCAGACGGAACGACCAACGAGGATGCACCGGCACCGGGTGAGGGCGCGGCTGAGAGCGAAGCTGCGCCAAAGCCTACGCCCGCGCCAGCGGAGGATTCCCTTATGGAGCTTGGCGACGACTCCGTCCTAGCACATCTTCGCCCAACAGGAAATACACCAACCGAGGTAAAGGTTACTGAGCAGATAGAGAAGGCCGGCGGCGGTGCTCTGGAAACCGAGGCAGGGGAGGAGAACAACGGCAAGCCCGAGGAAAAGGCAAAGAAGGGCCGTGGCAAGGTCAAGGCCCTCAAACCGCTCGCAGCTTCGGTAGCGTCAAAGAAGGGTCCTATCAAGGTACCGAAACTCAAGATCAACAAAGTAGCACGCGCTGCGGAAGCTGTGTCAGAAAAGCCAACAGAAGAAAACGGCGAATCTTCGACGCAGCCACAGCCAGAAACCAGCAAACCGGCCCCCAAGAAACCCGAACTCAAGCCCAAAACCAAGCCCTCATCAGCACCCACATCCGAGTCCGAGCAGCAGCAGCAGCCCACGACCTCTCAACAAGCAGCACCACTTCAAAAGAAGAAGAAACGCAAACTGCTTGGTAATACCAGCAAGACTACGCTCTTCGATAACGACGATGAAGGCGAACGAGTCGACACCAGCATCCTTCCTGGGAAGGGCAAAGTGGCCGCCGCAGTCACCGGGAAGGCGACAGCGAAGAGGGTGGTTGCCCCTCTTGGGAAGACCATGGTGGGCAAGGTGCATATTGCTGGAGGGAGTAAGAATCCTTTTGGGAAGGTGGATAAGTTCAGCCCACTCAAGAAGGATCGTAGGGGAGTTAACGCTAGCTTTTTGCATTAATCTGGTTGGTTGAAGACCCGCCCATCGTTCGTTGTGTCTTTGAAGCGAAGAGATAGGTTTCATGGGCTCATCATAGGGTTGTTTAGCTATATAGTGTGCATATGGCATTTGGGAGGCAAAGCATTTCTAGCGTCTAGCTGGCGGTCTAGTGTAGGACTCGGTGTTAATGGAGTTCAAATAGTCGATGGTATGGTATGGCATGACGACTAAGAGTACGATTACGTGCATAGTTCCGGATTCTTCCTGTAGGGCATACACAGACATCAATAGATAGGCGGTTTACGAAATCACATCACGATTTATATCAAATTCAAACATGTCAGGTCGGGCATGATAACGTGGAATGACTTTATTGATTCATAACCGAGGCTGCCCTTATTTCTATAAGCCCCTTTTTTTTGTCTTCACCCAAACTTTTATCTTGACCGTAGACCCCTTTTCGATACACAACGCCGAAAACTTCTCATCCAAATCCTTCATGACGTCGCTTTCTCTCTTCTCTGTCTCCCCTACCACACCCTTCTTCCTTAATCAAACAATCCCCCAACCGCCATCTCCGCCCACCGTCCCCCAACCTCCCCACAGACCTCCTTAACACTCCGTCCCCTCTCATCCCTAACCCACCTCACATCCTCCTCCGCACCCACCTCCGCTCTCCTCTCGCCCACCCCAACCCCGTTGGCAACCTCCACCACCTCAGCCGGGAACACCTCGGTCGGCAATCCGCTACCCAGCCAAAGCAACAACCAAAACACTTCTTCTCTTCCATTCTCGACAGCAAGATGCAACGCCGTCTTGCCCTCGTTCAGCGGGTCGCGGAAGGTGAGCAGTTCGCTGGGGGTGATGGTGGTTTCCTCATCTTCCGAAGCGGCCACATCCGTTAGGAGCTCGATGATACCCGCAAAGTCGCCCTCGGCAGCCATGGTGTGCATAGCGCGTGCAGGGCGCGCCGAAGGGTTGGAAGAGAGGTAGGCTTCTTCAGTGAGGGCAGGTAGGATGTCGAGGGAGGACTGGACACCGCCTTCGTTGTGGTATTGGGTGAGGATGGCGAGGCCCTGGGAGGTGGGGAGGACGGGGTTTGTGGCGCTCACGGGCACCGGGTTCGATGACCCTGAGAACCCCGAAGAGGAGGAAGAGGAAGAATTGGTGGGCAGGTAGGTGTTGCAAGAGGGACAGCGGAGAGAGAGGGCCACGGAGGAGGAGAGGTCCATTAGGCATTGCCAGTGATAGTGGCAGTTGCAGGGAAGGAGGAGGTCATCGGGGACTTGTTGGGGGTGGGAGGAGGAGGAGGAGGGGCCGCCGTTGTCATGATCCTGGTCCATTCCATCGTCTGAGGCGTTGGAGTCCTGGTCTAGGTCGTAGTCGGGGTCGACTTCGAGGTAGAGAGGTTCTGAGCAGGCTTTGCAGAGGGACATTTTGTGGCGTGGGTTTGGTGGTAGTATCTGGTTGGGGATTAGCTCAGTGATCACTGGATGGATGAGGCACAGTAAGTATGAGATATGGTGCGGTGACTTACCTGGGATAAAAAGTGAGGTAGTGACTTTGTGTCTCTTACTTGGTTGAAACAACGCGCGTATAGAGGCGTCGTAATCCCAAGTTGGAAATTCTTGCAGAACCTCGTTGATTTGCTGAATAATGTTTGGGGTCGTTGTGGCTTAGACAGATGTGAGGTTATCCCGACGATGCGAATGGAATCAAAGGAAGGTAAAATTCTCTACTTGCTGTTAGTGAGGTACAGCGAGGGTCCTGACGCTCAGGGGGGTCACCATGAATGACCCAGTCGTATGTGGAGCCGAGGTATCATTGCGAGACTAGCACAGGTCCATGCTTAACAGAACCCCCGTCCTAACCCAAACGGAAGCCTGGCGGTGGTTCACGGTTCCCACTGCACCTATGCAAGTGGAAAAAGCCACCAGGGGCAGGGTTGTCGCCGGGCTGGCTGCCTGAAGGATGGCTGATTGGGCCGCGACGGCGTTACGAAGCTGGGCGATTACATCAGACTGCTTCTGGGACCTGCCGTGCTGTGTTAGTTAGTGCTTGTCTCGATTGCGATGGATGGCGTCCCCGCCCCCGCCAGCCGTACGTACCTTGACGCCTGTAATGGCCATGCTCTTTTGAGCTTCGCTTCCCATCTTCGGCCGGCGACGCATGGAACGGGAGCAGGAATAAGGCACTTCATTGATCATTAGCAGCAGGAACCAGGACTCGTACAAATACCTAACATCCAACTCCGCTTTTCCGCCAGAACATAGATCCAGTCATCATCATCACTCAGCACCGCCTAGGTACACTACACCCACTAGGAAAATAATCTAATAAACGACGACCGCATTGGGCGTCTTCATTACTTTTGTTAATAGAGGGGCTATCTCTTTTCCACGGTTCCCGCCGGATCACTTTGCGAGCGCCCTTCATCCATCACTACGACGAGTGGTTCCCGACCGACCCCTTTTCAACACCACCATCCGCAACCATGAATGTCCTCAAGATCCAGAGGTAAGCAGACCAAGACGAGCCTTCAAACGCCAAGGACGACATGGGCAACAGCAGAACACAGCTAATGGAACTAGGAAATTCCCTCAACTACAGCAGAGCGACATCTTCGGATTGGCCGATGCCTTCCGCAAGCTCGACGTAGACGACAAGGGGTACATTGACGAGACTACTGCCATCAAGGCCACCCAGGCCAGCGAGCGCCAGCCCTACGATGCCGTCCGCGCAGCCCTCAAAGAAGTCGGTCTCGATGCCTCGCGCCGTGTAGAACTCGAAGATTACGTTGGGGTAAGTCGAAGCCTTCCTCTCCACTGTTGCAAGCACCACCACATACATCTCACTTCTTGAAGGCCACCCAGGTCGCATTCCGTATACTAGGTACCATTCATCAAAAGATCTGGCTGACACTTTCCACCCTGTAGCTCGTCGCGAAGCTCCGCGAAGGTCCCGGCAGCGCCCCTGCCGCTCCGTCAACTCCCGCTTCTGTCATCGCCCAGCGGACGGGAGGCGCTACTCCTAGCCACGCATCGAAGCCCTCCGTCGGTGGCAGCGGCAAGATCTTCGTCCAAGGCTCAAACGCTAACATCACCCACACCATCAACGAAGATGAACGTACCGAATTCACGCGCCACATCAACGCTGTTCTTGCGGGCGACCGCGACATCGGCAGCCGCCTGCCTTTCCCGACCGACACCTTCGAGATGTTCGACGAGTGCAAGGATGGTTTGGTTTTGGCCAAGCTCATCAACGATAGCGTTCCCGATACCATCGATGAGCGTGTACTGAACATGCCCGGCAAGAAGACCAAGACCCTCAACGCGTTCCAGATGACAGAAAACAACAACATTGTTATCGACTCGGCAAAGGGTATTGGCTGCTCCGTCGTCAACATTGGTAGCTCGGATATCATTGAGGTCAGGGAGCATCTTATCCTGGGTCTTATTTGGCAGATCATCCGCAGGGGCTTGCTCAGCAAGATCGATATCAAGCTCCACCCCGAGCTCTACCGCCTTCTCGAGGAGGACGAGACCCTCGAGCAGTTCCTCAGACTCCCTCCTGAGCAGATTCTCCTGCGCTGGTTCAACTACCATCTCAAGGCCGCCAACTGGCCCAGGAGGGTAGCCAACTTCTCCTCTGACGTCAAGGATGCCGAGAACTACACCGTCCTCCTCGCCCAGATCGGTTCCGAGTACGGCTGCACGAGGGCGCCTCTGCAAACGCGCGACCTTCATCAGCGGGCTGAGGAGGTTCTTCAGAACGCCGACAAGCTCGGTTGCCGCAAGTTCCTCTCTCCCTCTTCCCTCGTGGCCGGTAACCCCAAGCTCAACCTCGCTTTCGTTGCCAACCTCTTCAACACACACCCCGCGCTTGACCCCATCACTGAAGAGGAGAAGCTTGAGGTCGAGGACTTTGACGCTGAAGGCGAGCGTGAGGCCCGTGTGTTCACCCTGTGGCTCAACAGCTTGGATGTCAACCCCGCAGTTCAGTCCTTCTTCGACGACCTCCGCGATGGTACCGTCCTTCTACAAGCATATGACAAGGTTATCAAGGGTTCCGTCAACTGGCGCCACGTCAACAAGGCTCCCGCGCATGGCGGTGAGATGCTGCGTTTCAAGGCCGTCGAGAACACCAATTACGCGATCGAGCTGGGCAAGCAGAACGGGTTTTCCCTGGTTGGTATCCAGGGTGCCGATATCACGGATGGTCAGCGCACCTTGACCCTGGGTCTCGTCTGGCAGCTGATGCGCAAGGACATTACCCTTACCCTGCACGGTCTAGCCCAACGCCTCGGCAAGCGCGAGATTACGGATGCGGAAATGGTCAGATGGGCCAACGAGATGAGCCGCAAGGGCGGCCGCAACTCGAGCATCCGCTCGTTCAAGGACCCTGTCATTGGCTCGGGTATTTTCTTGTTGGATGTGCTTAACGGCATGCAGAGCAACTATGTCGATTATGACTTGGTTACTCCCGGCAAGACTGATGAAGATGCTTACCTCAATGCCAAACTCAGTATCAGCATTGCCAGAAAAATGGGTGCCACTATTTGGCTGGTGCCAGAGGATATCTGCCAGGTGCGCAGCCGCTTGGTCACGACCTTTATCGGTAAGTTACTCCTTTTAACTATTGGGCTTTCATTTGACTGGCCGGGCTAACACATGCGCTAGGTTCGTTGATGGCTACCTATGACAAGATGCAGTAAATATTAAGTATGACGAGAAATGATGAAGTGGTCTTGCTTGATAACTGGAGATGAATATAAAGATACAGCCTTGTTAGGGTGATGGACTTAAAAAGTTGAACAGGCGAATTGCGTTTTACGAGTGTTTATTCTCTCTTGGTGCCAACCCCTCGCCTTCCCAAGCCATCTGACATTGAATGTTCAATTACCCGCTGGTTGCACCGGGAATCCCAAAGGCTCGGTCGGTCATTTGACGCCAAACAATCCAAGCTGTCAGCTGCATCATTACACAACCTCCAAAACCCAAGCCAATAAAGCCTGACCAAATGAGGCGCGGTGGCAACTTCAGCCCTATAGTGTTGACTTGAAGCGACATCTCCGGTTCATCCGACGTCCAGGGCCCTGCATATGTCATTCCTCCACTCCACAGGACCCTTGTCTCCATTTGCGAGCTTCTATGCACCGAACGAGCGGGACTTGGCCTAAATCATTGACAGCGTCATAGCGTCTTGGATGTTCGGATCAAAAGAAGAAAGTCTACACTAAATTTTGAACATCACCGCCAGTCATCTGAACACCGTAGAGGTACCTAGTTTTGTCTTTGTTTCGTTCGGGTTAAATCAGACAGCAGGGTACACAACCCGCTTTTAGAAGGGGAAGGATGGATAGTGGTAAGCTCGTCGGCATCTCGCAACTCGGCTCTCCTCGATGCAAAGTCGCGCGGAGAGAGGCGAGGAGGTCTGGATCTATACTTTGATTGAATCAGGAGATCTGTTTCGATTTATGAAAGTTCCAGTTTCCCTTTTTTTCCCGCACAATACAGAACCAAGTGACGTCCATCGTAGGCCTTCTGTCCCCCCGATCATCAACGAAACCCCGGACTTTCCGCATCCTTTGCCTTCGCCCGTCTTCGCGTCCCTGTCATTCACCAAGTTAGGTCCTTTTGCTTACGCCGCGCCGCAAATAGTAAAAAGTATTACTCTAAGTAAGCACCTATACCCCTATTTGGCCTACGTAAAGACTGAACCCGTTCATCTCTTCTTCCACAGAAAATCCGTCGATCCTATCCCGATCGTCCCGCAATTGATCCCGATAAAAGGCATGTGTACACTACACTTGCCCGCTCGTCCAAGATCCGCTTTATCCGGAGTTGGGAGGGATCTGGGGCCTCGGGTTCTCTAAATGGGCAAATCTTGTTTTCTTCTTCTTTTTTTCCAATATGATTGACGTCTATCCTCGAAGAACTGCTCTGTCTCTTGTACTATATCTATAAGAAACTTCTCAAAAGAGCTTGGTTTCGCTCACCTTGCTCTTTTCATTTAGTATTTGTTCAAAGTTAAGAACAGACTGCATCAACGTGTCTAACTTGACGGCCGGCTCACTACCCAACATACAAATCGGGATAAGAGTACCGGACCATCATCGAGATTAGCATTGCCCTGCAACGAAAACTATCAACATCACGCGGCTATCCGTGCGACTTCGATCCACCACCGAAAGATCCACCATTTCAAGGGCTGTCTTCCTTTGAAGTTTGGCCGTATTCGCACCTCTTTGGAGAGCTAAGACCTACCGATACTACAAAATCGCCTCACCATTTTTAGTCCTTCAAAAAAGGGCGGCACGAAAGCGACTGACGACGAGAGGCCATACATAACTTTGGACTAAAACCCACACAACAGTTCCCCAAACCCACGGGAACCATGACATTCATATCCAATCACCCAGCGCCAGCGCCAGTACCAATGCCAAACGGCCACCTCAAAGCACGAACAAGACGCTCATCTTTCAAGCCACCATTATCAGCTACATCGACATCAACACCAAACGGTATTCTTACCACCAACGGCAAACTCGAAAACCTAGTATTCGACCGGCCCTTTTTCTCCCTGCCAACGCCAGACCAGAGTCCCCGTTTATCTCGAGAAGAGGAGAGTGATGGCGATGGAGGTAGAATATCACCATTAGACAGCAGCAGCCGGGCTGAGACACCCAGCGAGCCAGGAGCAATGTCAAGATCCTCACCATCATCTTCCGGAACGAACAGCCCAGCCATCGAAGACTACGATGACCTCACCACTTCTCCCGAAGCGATGGTGCAGCGGGATGAGAGGGAGGAGGTGAATGAGAGAAGTTTACCAGCCGCGAGGCAAGGGCCGGCGGCGTTTCCGCTTACCATGATGATGAATACGCAACAGTTGTCTGTTGGTGACAAGGACGTTGCTGTCTCAGCAGAGAGGAAGGCGAAGGAAAGCAGCTATGGAGCGTTGAAAGCAGTCCGACCTGACATCCACGTCGGAACCAACACCCTTTCAACAGCCGACATCCACAACTCGCTTCTGACAGCTATCGAGAAGCAATGCCATAAGATAGAGGGAATGTCGTCCGATTATTCTTCTTCCTCTCCCACCACGTCCCTACACCACTTAGCAGCAGCAGCAGCAGCAGCATCAACGGAATCAACCGGCCATGCTGCCAAACGATCAAAAAGAAGAGGCAAATTCTCCGACTTGGTCTTCACCCGCAACTTCTCCACCTTTGACCGGCAAAACGCCCTAGCAGCGTCGTCGCCTTTCCATGGCTTCTTCACCCTCTTCTGGCTCGGCATCTCCCTCTTCGTCATCAAGATCGGCGCCGAGAACTGGCGGCAGCACGGCAACCCGCTGGGGCGGAACGAGATTTTTCGAATCATGTTCCATCGGGACCTGGTGGTCTTGCTCATCGCCGACGGTGTAATGTGCCTATCCACCGGCGTTTCCTGGGTCTTGCAGCGCCATCTTGTCCGTCGAGGCGTGGTCGATTGGGATAAGGAAGGGTGGGTGTGGCAGAATATCTGGCAGTGTTTGTTCGTGGCTGGTGTGGTGGGTTTCCCACTGTTGAGGGACTGGCCGTGGACACATACCGTTTTCTTCGTCATGCACGGCATGGTGATGCTGATGAAGATGCATTCGTACGCGTTCTACAACGGGTATCTGGCGTCGGTGTGGAAGAAGCGGCAGCTGTTGCTGGGAAAACTGAAGGAGCTTGAGCATGTACAGGTTGTTACCAAGCATGACCCGAACAGAAGCTGGACGGAGCCGTTCCCGCTGCTGCCGAGAGACCTATCGACCGAGCATCTATCGAGAGTGCCGTCGGCGCAGGAGTATAAGGAGAGGAGAAAGATGTCGATTGCTGCGCAGCAAGGGGCTGATGGCCAGGAAGGAGAGAATGATGTGGCCAAGATCGTTGCGGCGATTGACTCGCACGAGCCGTTGAATGAGGAGCAGGTCCATGTTTTTGAAAGGGCGCTCAAGTGGGAGGTGGACGCCATGACGGATGAGCTCAGGGGCAAGGCGACGGACGACAAGAGGGTGTATCCGAATAACCTGACGCTGGCGAACCATTACGAGTTCATCGTGCTGCCGACACTGGTGTACGAGCTCGAGTATCCGCGATCCGAGTCCATCAACTGGTACTATGCTGCCGAGAAGATGGTGGCCTGTTTCGGAGTCATCTTCGTCATGATCATGATCTCGCAAGCCTTCATATACCCCGTGGTCATGGAGACGGTCAGGATGAAGGAGATGGGGATGCCGTTGAGCGAGCGGTTCCAGTATTTCCCCTGGATGCTGGCCGACTTGATTTTCCCCTTCATGATGGAGTATCTGCTGTCGTGGTATCTCATCTGGGAGACGATCCTCAATTTTGTAGCGGAGCTGACCAAGTTCGCTGACCGGAACTTCTATGGTGCCTGGTGGAACAGCGTGTCGTGGGATCAGTTCGCGAGAGACTGGAACCGACCGGTGCATAACTTTCTGCTCAGACACGTGTACCACAGCTCCATATCGGCCATGAAGGTGAACAAGCACACGGCCACACTGATCACCTTTTTCTTGTCGGCATGTGTTCATGAGCTCGTCATGTGGTGCATCTTCAAGAAGCTGAGAGGCTATTTGCTGTTCCTCCAAATGTTCCAGTTGCCGGTAAGTTCAGATATCCCCTAACCTACGTGTTGACTGACATGATGCTGACGTTTCTGGACAGCTTGTGAGCTTGAGCAGGACAAAGTGGATGCGGAATAGGAAGACATTGGGGAATGTTTTCTTTTGGCTGGGTATATTCACGGGCCCGAGTATCCTGTGCAGCTTGTATCTGATTCTGTAGAATGTAGCAACGGGGAGGAACTGACGGCATCGGCGTTCATGGAGGACGGCGTGGTATACATTGTTGACAGACGGACTTATATAATGCGTATTCGAGAGTAGTACTATTCCTGTTTTCAATCTCCTTTCAATTTGATTGCACTGCGATTATGGCCTTGGTAGTTGTTGGTACAGTGTTGGTGTTGGTGTTGGTGTTGTTGTTAACGTTAACGGCAGTGACGGGGGGGTTGAAGATCGTCAAAAGGGAGAGACGGGAGCCGAGACGGGAGACGGGAAGGCATGTGGAGGAAATCCATCTTGGACCCTGCCCGCCCTGAGGAAATTGTTAGTGTCAAAGGCTGAGTCAGTTTGTTGGTGCGTGCTAACTGTCGCGACGGCTGCCAATCACACAGGCGATACACCAATCATACGTCATTTACATGTGGGCCCATTACCTTTCAAACTTACCGCCTTCTCAATTCCTCACCCATCCGGATTCCGTCCATGCCCCTGCCTGCCTGCCTGGGCCCCAGCGTTCCCGGGCGTCGAGTGAAGGTATTTTCAGCAGGTGCGTGGGTGCCTGTGCCCGTGTCGGCTGCAGTGGCCGGGCTCGACGATTCGACCAGAAACGGACCATTTTCCACTGTGCTCCAGCGACATCCAAGGAAATTTCCAACTCCGGGCATTCTCACAAGGTTCGAGGTTCCCCTTCCGCTTCCCGCTGCTTCGCTTCCTTTCTCACCTAATCAGTTCTCCCCTTCACCTCGCCAAACCTAACGGTGTGTCCCGTCTCCTCTTTCCACTCACCACCACCCCATCCCTCTCCCAGCTCCTACCTAGTAGTATAGTGTACCCTTTCCCCCCATCCCACTTCCATCGATTGCTGCTTATCCATTCGTCGCCCTTTTCCATTTGCAACTCCCGTCTACCTACCTACCTACTTTACCTATCTTGTTTCCGCCCCAGTCGGCCTCTCCTTTGCCCGAGAGCAGCACACTCATCTAGCATTTACTCTTAGGCCTGCCATATATCTGTCATCATCATCGACCGCGACCGCGACTCGCGCACGCCATCGATTCTCACCATGTCTCGCAACGGCACCACTCTCTACGTGACCGGGTTCAGCCACGGCACCCGCGCACGCGACCTTGCCTACGAGTTCGAGCGGTACGTTATCTAGCAAGCAAGCAAGCAATCACTACAACGGCGATGACTCGATCACCACCTTCGAGTACGGTTCCTGTCCTCGATCCGCCCTCGCCCTCCCCATCCCGCCCCGTCCTCTCCTCCATCTCTCCCGCCCCCGTCGTCGAACCCCCCTCCGAACCCTCTCCGTCTCCGTCTTCGCCCTTCTTGCGACAGTCTCCTATCTCCTGTCCGTCTCTCCCGCCGCTTTTCGCTATGTCCACTGCGCTTCATGATCCGCTCGAGGTAACCTCGCTGTCATTCCGACGCCCGCGCCCTCGAACCATTCCCTTCTCTCACCGAGCGGTTGGCGCCTACACGTATCCTTCCTCCCACGTCGGGCGAGTCGCCCGTCCATTTTGGCGGAATTTCTCGAGCTCGATCGCGCGCCTCTGCGAAACGGCATCCTCATCTTTACGAAACGAATCAATCTACGTTGGTCCCCGAGTACTGACGCATATCATAGCTACGGCCGTCTTGTTCGCTGCGACATTCCTGCTCCTCGTAGTGCCAGCAGCAGACTGTATGTTACCTTGCTTATCCCCCCCCAAGTGATGGAAACGAGTTGGCGCTAACGGCAAGCTTCAAAGTTTTGCTTTCGTTGAGTACGAGGATCGTCGAGATGCCGACGACGCGTACCATGATATGCACAACAAGCGCATTGGCCGTGATGACATCCTGAAGATCGAGGTCAGTTCACCTTTTCCTGCCACGACAGACCCAAGCTCATAACTAAGCTGGTTGCTAATTCCAACTATAGTGGGCTCGCACTCCTCCCTCTGCTTCTTGGCGCTTTGACCGCAGCGATCGTGAGCGTGGTCCTCGTGGCCGCGACCGCTCACCCCGCCGCCGCTCTCCTAGCCCCAGGCGCAGCACTAGAGACTACTCCCCTAGGAAGGATGATCGTCGTGACCGCGACCGCGACCGTGACTACGACCGCGACCGCCGCGATACTCGTGACCGGTCTCGCAGTCCTGAGCGGTAGGTGGCCCATAACCTTTTGCAACGTGTTTTCTGCCCGATGCTGACGTTTCTCCAGTGAGCGTGAGCGCGATGTTAAGGACGATCGCGACCGCGAGGACCGTGATCGTCGCGAGAACGGCACCAACGGTGACGACAGAAAGGGTACGTACACCCTTTGAGCGAGCAACCCCACCGTGCACGACCGTGATCTGACGACCTATCCTTCTGCAGCCATCGATAGCCCGGAGAGACCTGCCCACGATGACCTCGACGTTGCCGAGTAAACGGATCAACATACTCACGGCGCGGGGTCACTCCGGTTTTGGCGCCAGTCACTCAAGCCCCGCCTTTGGTGTTGGCATGTTGTAAGAAACGCCAATTGTTACCATGGTTTTGTGATTTTCTCTGTTTCTGTGTCTGGTGGGCATGCTGATGTCTGCACCTCTTTCCTGGGCAGCTGCATATGGCGTGCTGGCTATATGGCGCCTCCTGCCTGATTTTTTCCAATTCTAGAATCCAGACGAAGCGGTCGATCGGGTCCTCTTGAAAACCACACTCGCCATTTCGACCATTCGGGAGCTACAAAATCTGCAAGGTTAATCCTTTTGTACGATGGCACACTGCTGGTTTGGATCCATTATTCAATGACCTATCAAAAGACGAAACAAACGGCCGTTGTATACCGATGTAAAGGTCATGACTCCGAAGGCTTTTGCTTCATTGCCTTGGCAAGTCCGGAAAGGAGAGCACACAAAATAAACATATCGAATGATCCCTCAAGGGGCGGGTGGAAAGGGGCTCTTGGTCTTGGTGACCGGCGGCCTGGTTCTTTTTATTTCCTTAGTCGTCTGTCGTCATTTTTTTTTTATCTCTCAACAGAAAAGTAGCTAGAACAGCTGTTTAGGTAGTAAATGGTAGGGGCTACTGAGGTGAACCCGGTTCGGCGAGCAGACTTAAGTGACGAGGCGGACTGTATAACACCAGTGCCGATTTTGCTTTTTGTCCTTTCATTGTTGGGGGTGTACAGATACTCGGACCCTTTTGCCCCGATGGCCGTTATGACGCTAGGTGTTTCTGTGTGTTCAGAGTCAATTGGTTCACATATCGACAATCTAAGATGTTCTAGCGTGTGTCGTGATACTTTCCCAACCGAAGCAATCGCAAAGGCACTTCTAGTATGCAGAACTTATATTAAGTTGAGAAGTCGTCCCGAAATGTTAACCGTTATGGAATAGTGATTCGAGTTCAATGAGGTTGAAGGAAGCTGTGGTTGGTACCGCACCTATGAAAATCAGATTGGTTACATCCTGCATCTCCGTTGAAAGCCGAGCAAAAGCGCTACAAAGTAGATTGGCTAACTAGTGAATTGGGAATATTGGCATGTGCAATCATAATCCTGGTCCCAGGAAGCTCAGATGTATCACTAAAGTGCTGGCAAAATCCGACAAGTACAGAGTTGTACCGGCCTGCCTGAAAGGCTTTGCCATATCATCCTCAACCAGGTGTTTGTGAGCTTCATGTTAAATTGTTGATATAAACGACATCAACCTCAACCTGTTGAGTGAACAAGTACTTGATAACCTCTGTAGTTCATAGCCAAGCCATCAATCAAAGTCGAAATGGTACCATGCAAAGGCAGGCCAGCCGGATGGTCATGCCTTCTCCCTTTCTGTCTGATCTACACTACGGTTACATCACATGAGCTGCCCGGGAGGTGCGCGAGTTGTATGTGTGTTGTGCGTACTTAGCTCCTTAGTTACAAGCCCAAGACTCATAATGCCGCTGTCCGCCTGTGGCCTGCCTCGTAAGCTGTTATTGTATTCTTGATGTGCCGAGTAGCAAGTGACGCGCAAGTTGTCGGCTTCTTCTAGACTCTGTCTCCCACATGGGACATATATCCCAGTACGTTGAAGAACGTCAAGGATAGGTAAAGCAGCAGTAAGGGTTAGGTTAGCGTAGCCAACGTAGGGCTAGAAAGCATAACCGAACGGATGATCCTCGATTTTGTCCCCTTGTAGCGTAGTCTCTCGTAACACTGGACCCTTGGCGACTTAGTCAAGGCGGTCAGGTGACCCTCAAAAACGGACAAGCCAAAGGTTTGTGGAAATCAGCTGGATCTATCCGGATAGGTACAAGGTTGCTCTCATTTGGCGTTTGTGGAAATTGTAAATGGGGTGACAGAAACTTGAAATCGAAGAAACAAGCGTCAGCTGGTCAGCAAATCACAAGAGGAAACAAACTATGGTAAGCATTGAAGTTCGAGAACTTTGAAAACACGGCATGCTTAGACATTGGCAGCAAGACAAGACGATACATGGGGGACGACGACATGGCAACCATTCACTGCTGGATTTGGGACGGGAAGGAATGACTTTGTGCCTGCCTGATCACGTTGCTGTGGTGGTTAAGTAGTCGGCTGCTGAATCTCCCAATATTGGACTTTTCAGTTGCATTGAATTGCTGGGGATTTTTCGTTCGGAACCTGGCAACCCCACAACCTAACGAAGCCATGAACACTCGGCCGGGGTCCCGCCCAGCGCGCCCTGGATTTACTCATTCACTTCTTCTTCCAGAAGGAACAGTCCACAAAGCTCCGCATCAGATCTCTCACTGCCCTGGGCCCTGGAACCCGACCGGTTTTGTTCCTGTCGACAACTTTCCGACTCTCCTTTAAATACCCTTTCCCTTCCGAGCTTCCCTTCCTTTTTGCCCGTGTCCAGTCACGGAGCTTGGTTAGGTTGTGCCTCTTACCGTATATACCTTTTTGCGTTACGTGTAACGAACAACTTGTAATGCGCATTCGTCTGTTTAATTCTTTTACGCACACTGTCTACTAGCCTTCCCGCCGACATAAGATAATCAATTCCCGGTGCGACGGGAACCCCTAGATTGGCTTTACCGAGAACACGCTCAACCCCCAGTCCATATTCAACAAAAGCCGACAAAACTTCCGTCCTGCGATATTTCACTCTCCCATCACGACGAGAACCAATTTCTCACCAAGGCGATTCACCTTTCTGTCAACGGTACAGAACTCACTTTTGCAACGAGATACCCTCAAGCCGACGGGAGCTGCATGCACCTTTAGCTATATAACCGCCTGTCAACGAGCCCTGCGTCATCGTTCTTGGCGTCATATTTTCGATCATCCAAAGGACACACATCTACCTTGCGCATGCGCCCTGCGCCCCTGAGAAGCGACATATCGAACTTCCCGAGAACTTCAAACCAGCCCGAGTCCAAGAGGTAGCCCCTCTCACCAAGTCCCCAGAATGTCCGCGGTATGTTCACCCCTTCCCCCACGATCTATATGGCACGCCGCATGAGCCATAATTGTTGCGCAGCGACTTGGTGCGCTCCCACTTCCGTTTTCCCGATACAAGCCGAAACCGTGAGCGTGGACGCTTGTTTGTACGTTCCTGTCTTTTGACCTTGCGCTGACTTCTCCTGTCAGACGCCAAGCGCTAGCGGCGCGCCCTCGCCCCTACCCATACCAACCGTCGAGAAACTGAGCGCCGCCGACCAGTTCCGATCCGCAGTTTCTCAGCCTACCGTGGCTGCCTTTTGCGCTGGCGGTGTCGCCGGTGCCGTCTCCCGAACAGTAGTCTCACCTCTGGAGCGCCTAAAAATCCTCTACCAGGTCCAGAGCAGCGGTCGCGAAGCGTACAAGCTTAGTGTGGGCAAGGCGTTGGCCAAGATGTGGAGGGAGGAGGGCTGGAGGGGCTTCATGGCCGGTAACGGCACCAATTGTATCCGTATCGTGCCATACTCGGCGGTACAGTTCGGAAGCTACAATTTCTACAAGAGAAACATCTTTGAGAGGCATCCGGGCGACTCCCTCACGCCCTTGTCGAGGCTGACTTGTGGTGGCCTCGCCGGCATCACCTCAGTGACCTTCACCTACCCTCTCGACATCGTTCGCACGAGGTTGTCGATCCAGACCGCGTCGTTTGCGGAGCTTGGCGAGAGGCCACGCAAAATGCCCGGCATGTGGGAAACTTTGGTCAAGATGTACAGGACCGAGGGCGGATTCCCGGCTCTCTACAGAGGCATAGTTCCCACTGTCGCTGGTGTTGCTCCTTACGTAAGTCAAACTTGGCATGTGTCAAGGTAATCCGTATGTGCTGACCGTGGTCAATAGGTCGGTCTCAATTTCATGGTTTACGAGCATGTCCGCCAATACCTAACCTTGGACGGCGAGCAAAACCCTAGTGCCGTCAGGAAGCTGCTCGCTGGTGCGATTTCCGGTGCGGTGGCCCAGACCTGCACCTATCCCTTGTGAGTCCAATTTTCCCCCATCTTTCATGCGCATGACTAATTAGGGGGGAAAAAAAAGCGATGTTTTGCGCCGCCGTTTCCAAATAAACACCATGTCTGGTATGGGCTACCAGTACAAGGGCATATTCGATGCCGTGCGCGTCATCGTCACCGAAGAAGGGATCCGCGGCTTGTACAAGGGAATAGTACCCAACTTGCTCAAGGTCGCGCCTAGCATGGCGTCGAGCTGGCTCAGTTACGAGGTCTGCCGTGATTTCCTTGTGGGACTGAAGCCTGAGGAGACCAAGCTCTTACAATAGACGCCACGAGCTTGGATCCATACCACGAATCCAACGAACATCGACACCACCGAGGGCCCGCTGCCGAAAGCAAACAAAAACAGACAATAGAAGTCAGTAATAGAGGGGCAATGATAGAGCCCTTGCATTTCATGCGCGTCGACTTCTTCCTCCATAAGTAACTGGTGATAGTCCGTCATATCATACCACGCTTTAATCAACCGACGCTCTATATGAAATCACAGCATAAGTCAACCTGTGAGTTCACTGGTGGGAATGGTGTTGAAGTAGCTCGAAGCACTCCTATATCAAGTGATGACAGCGTTCTTATCAAATAACGGGATTTGGCTTCAGCCGGGCAAGTGTCTGTCAAGAGCAGTCTAATGAAGCAGTGGGTTGGATTGTGTTTCTGTTTTATTTTCTTCTCTTGCTTGAATGCGAGCTCGTTCTTATTGCATCGAAGGCCATGTTGCTTGTTGAATAACAAAAAATTGGCAAAAGCACAGCGAAAATCCACAGGCATGTTTCATACTGAAAAGGGGAGGGTCAGTAAGTAGCTAGAGCGGGGCATCTTTGCAACAACATGGAAAAAAATTGACGATAGAGAAAAGCCACAAGTGCAGATTCGCTACGTGTGGCAAAGGTAGATAGAAAGATATACTAGTGTACCGAATGCATTCTCAATTGGTGTGACTTTCCTCGAACGTTCGTGGATGATTGGAGGCGAGACCGGTGACAGCCGAACTTAACAGACGGGATGACAACAATGACGGAACGTCCCGCAAAAGGGGAAAACAAAACAAAGAAGTGACAGGGATGTGACTTGTGAGTGGACGCACGAGCCATGCTGAAGCTGTACGCACAGACTATTCCTCCACCAGCTGGCGCCTCCAGGCCCCACAACCCCAATTTCTGCCACAGGTGACCGCCCGCACAAAATCCGCTGGCGGTTGGACTCCAAAAACTTCTGTGAATTTTGCGGCACCTTTTGATTTCTGGATTTTGACAACCCCCGATTTCAGTCGACAATCGAGAGTCAGCCGCCAAGATGGGTACGTAAAAACAGCAAAACACCATCACCAACTGCCACCGAAATGGCCTCCATTGAAGCCTTTGTGTGCGAGTGGACGAGATTTTCTCAACGTTGAAAAACTGAGAAACTTCTTCGATCTGCGACCATGGCAATTTTCACCTGCGTTCCCGGTCGCTGGAGATGGTCCCTGTTGGCCCTCGATAGATGCCATACTGCACTCAACCAGATCGCTCCCTCTTTCTGAGAATGAAGAGGACGACGGTCTGATGCGGATTGGCTTCGAGGTGCAAAAACAACAACAAAGGACGTACTTCGCGCACTTGGTCGAGCAATGGCACGCCAGTCTGAGCATACCTGAACCATTGAAGGCTGACTGGGAGTCTGTTTGCGACGAATAGGTATCGATCTCCGCAAGCACCACGAGCGGTCCACTCACCGCAAGGCCCCCAAGAGCGACAATGTCTACTTGAAGCTCCTGGTCAAGCTTTACCGCTTCCTTGCCCGTAAGTTTTTTTTCTTCATGTCCATGGCCCTCTTCTCTTGCAAGACTCGTCATGATGCTAACAACGCGCGCTCCCAGGCCGCACTGACTCTGCCTTCAACAAGGTCGTGCTCCGCCGGTTGTTCATGTCCCGCATCAACCGTCCTCCCATGTCCATCTCTCGCATTGTCGCCAACCTCAAGGGCAACGAGAAGAAGACCGTCGTTGTTGTCGGTACCGTCACCGATGACAACCGTCTCCTGACCGTCCCCAAGGTCTCGGTTGCTGCCCTCCGCTTCACCGCCACTGCCCGTGCTCGCATCGAGGCTGCCGGTGGCCAGGCCATCACCCTCGACCAGCTCGCCCTCGAGAAGCCCACTGGTGCCAACACCCTCCTTCTCCGTGGCCCCAAGAACGCTCGCGAGGCCGTCAAGCACTTCGGCTTCGGTCCCCACAAGCACAAGGTGCGTCACATCATACACCTACCGAAAAGAAATAGATTACTGACACCCATCACAGAAGCCCTACGTCGCCTCCAAGGGCCGCAAGTTCGAGAAGGCCCGTGGTCGCAGAAGATCCAAGGGTTTCAAGGTCTAAACGGAGCAAAGATACCCCTGGCGACATCTGGTACAAGGCGTGGGGAGTCTTTTGTTGCTTTCTCTTGTACTGCTGGCAAGAATGGCTTTGCTTGGCTGTTTTTGCTGTGCGTATTTGGGTTTGCATGGGGCAATACTCCGGGCTGCAGCTGGTGTGCAATCATCATGGGGCAACTTTCTTCAGTTTATGACAAGGGAATTGATGACCACCACGTCTTTACCAGAACCATTCGATATTTGTGACTGCTGTGAATGCTAATGTGATTTGGGTATCTGATGTTCAATGTCTTATGCTGTGAACGTAAATATTCTTGCTCCCCAAGTTATCTTCCCGATAACGTCATTTTAGTCGTACAATGCCTTACAAGTCAACAATAGAGCGCCATCTTCCATCATACAGGAATATCCTCCAAAATCACATCTCCCCTCCTATTCAGAGCAACGAAATACGCCTCCTTCGACTCCTTTTTCCACATAAACCTCGTCAGTCAACCAAACCAGAATAACCCAAGTACTGTCCTGCGTTATCCAGACAAGGGATACCGGGGAAACGGTGAGAAAAGAAGGGAAGGGGAGACGTACACTCCTAGAACTATCAGGCTTATCCCTATGAACCTTGGTAAACAACTTCTTAAGCATGTTCTCCAACTTCTTGTCTTCTGATCCTTGGTAGAACTTGCAGACGAAGTGACCGCCGGGTTTGAGCGTGTCGTTTGCGAATGAGAGAGCGGCATAGCAGAGGTCCTGATTTTGGGGGGAAAGGGGGAAAGGGGAGGTGGAGGTGTTAGTAGTGTTTTGCTTCGAAGATGGAGGGTAGGAATTTCAAGGTTGGAGTTGGATGTGGGGAAGAAATGTATGATGAGTAGTTGGTGGTTAAAAAGATTCAGAAGATTGGGTGGGATAACGAGAGGGTGCATGATGACAAGAAACCAGACAAGAAAAATATACATACCATGCTACCAGCGTGGTCCTTGAACGAAATCCCGCTCGTGTTCATCATCCTGCTATACGGGTTACTCAAAGTCTGGATGGAGAAGCCGGAGGTTTGGGGCCAGGGTTCTGACATGTCGCTTAGTACTACCTGTTTGTTTTGTGTTCCGGACAAAGGGGATACGTTAGCGGTGTCATCAGTGGTTACATGTCAAGTGAGATTGATGTTCGCTCCCTGTTGTAAGTAACGGTAAAGAAAGGGCGAGTAGTGACAGTAATGGACACGAGGAATATTGACTGAGAAAAGGAATGAATAAAAACGCACATCAACCAACCGCATTTGCTCTGGCTGCTTTTTCTTCCTTGGTTGTTGCTGCTCTTCTTGTTGGTGTCCCTCTTCGGGTTCCTCAGTACTCTCTTCCCCGTCGAGTTTTCTTTCTGTTTCGTTGGCTGTGGTGGTCGCCTTGTCTTCCTCTCGTTGGTCTTGTTCCAGAACTTCAGGCTGCTGCAACTGAGCTTCTCTGACAGCCATCCGTTCCAACTCGATGTAACTCGGCCGGTCGGCAAAGATCTCTTGCTTTGCTACATCCTTTTGTTGCTGCCGTTGTTGCTGTTGCTGCTGCTGCTGCTGCGGCTGCTCTTCCCGCCTCTCTGTGAGCTCCAACTTCTCCACCCCTTGAACCATCTCCTCCACCACGTCGTTCTTCTCCCTCTGCCTAGCTTCACTTCCAGCCACTCCCTCGCCCACCTCACCCACTATCTCCCTCTCCAGCCCCGACCCCCTCGCGGCCTCCTCGATCTCTTCCCTCTCGACCCTTTCCTTCTCCTCCCGCTCCTTCGCCTCCTGTTCCACTCTAGCTGCCTTTTCCCTTTCCTTCCTCAATAACTCGACCCTCCCCCGTCCCTCCTCCTCCCTCAACCACCCCTTCACCAACCCCCTCACCCCCTCACTCAAGAAATTCCCCTGAATGGAACTTACTCCCCTCGGCGGCTGGGCGGGGATGATGTCGATCCCCACCACTTTCCCATCCGGTTTGGTGAGGTCCAGCGCGACCTGCGACCAGCTGCCGGGGGCAAAACCGAGATCGACGACGATCTGGGAAGAATTGCGGCGGAAGAGGCGATACTTTTTGTTGATTTCGAGAAGTTTGAAGGCGGCGCGCGATTTGAGCCCGGCGGTGCGGGCGGAGCGGGCGTAGTAATCGTTGGATTGGCGGGCTTTCCATTGGGAGTTTGAGGAGGAAGAGGATAGTCTGAGCTGGTTGGTGGTGGGGACATTGGTTGAGGGGCTGGGCGAGATGGGGTTGGTGGTGGTAGTAGTAGTAGTAGTAGTAGTAGTAGTAGTAGTAGTACTAGTGATGGGAAACAGCGAGGCCCTTGTGGTGGTTGAGATGGGCGTTGGTCGAAGGAAAAGGCGAGATGGTAATCGTCGAGGCACCATCTTTTGTGTCTATTGGGATGTGACTTTCTTGTCGAGGATGGATGGATGGATGTACGCGTCGGAAGAAAATAGTGAGGAAGATCGAGATAAGACAGTGGATATTTTGGTTGTGTGGATGTTCTGCTTTTAAACCCAGTGTGATGGAATTAAAGTCAGAGAAGTGGCTAAGCTTTATCTGATGAGGGCGTGAGCAGTTGATGGTGGATATAATGTGCAGTCGTTGTTTGGGAACTTGCATGCAATTTGTGAAGTTTTTCCACATTGCTTTTGTTCGGTTTGTGGGATACCCAATTACAGTAGCCAGCCAAGACATCCCGATTAACTCATAATACGCATCGCTTCATAAATTCCCCAACGTCATCTCTTGACGCTCACATCAGCAACCAACCCTTTTAGTTGTACACAATCACCTGAAGCATTTCATTAGGACAGGACGTCAATTCGCAATGATTCACAAATTCTGGTATGAAGCCGATGATTGGCAAACCATGTTCCGCTATCCTGAAAAAATTGGCCCGTCAAACTGTATTGACCACCGACAACTGACAAGCGCTATGCGGGCTCGCTCGAGGCGGGTATCCATCATCAAGTTAGAATCCAACTGTCAATGTCAGAAAAGGTGTGAAACTTCGCTATCCAGAATCATGAAATCCTGGAATTCGACACACGAAACTTCCAACATGACGAAAAAAAAAAAAAAAAAAAAAAAAAAAAAAAAAAAAAAAAAAACAAGCCGATAACGCCTTCCCCAACTCGAAGCTCCTCTCAATGGGCAACGCTTCCGGATATGTATGTTCCGCTCAATGATTCTGCCCTCTCCTTCATCACCAGTCAGCGTGTTCTAGATGAAGAAATATGGCGATTGGAGCTCGCGACACCTTGGCATCTTTCTATCTTAACTCGACTCGGAATCCACCCATCCAACCTTCCTTCGTTGCCTTGAAAGGACTGGTATTTGGTTCGTCATCGTCGGCCAAAAGTCCCGAAAAATCAAAATTTTGCGACATCTCCGTCCTACTGTTGCCTCTTTGGACAGAGAATGACTCGGAATCCTTCCACCCATCCTCCCTTCGCTTTGTTACCTCAGGAGGAGGAGGAGGAGGAGTCTTTGGTTCGTCATCAGTAAGAGAGTCGTAACTCTTCTCCACCGGGTTTGCTAGAGCAGCATTCATGTGCACACAGACGTTGTTGACGTTGTTGGCCAAGTTGTTAGTGGCATCTTTGCTTACTGCTGCGTTAGGAATCCTTTTCTCGTCCAACCACTAGGGGGCCGAAGGAGATGCCTGGTGCGGGTCCTGTTCCCCTTGTCCCAAATCGGCAAGGATTCGTTGAAAGGCCGCCTCGCATTGTTGAAGGAGATCAGCATGTCGCCTTTCAAATCGCTGCTGATATGCCTCGGCTTCAAGTTCGTCTTCTTCCGCTGTGTTTGTGGAACGGGCCCTCTCCCGGTTTACATATCCGACAGTAACCACGCGGTGGTCGGTTTCGGCAACCTGACGAGTAAAACACTGCCTCAAGGGGGATGGTTTTCCCTGGAAGTTCAATCTGTGGTGTGTAGAGGTACTCACCTCATAAACAAGGCGCGTATCCCCGAAGTAGCCGTGGTCACGCATGATGCGATACTTCTGGCGGAACATCAGGGCCACTGATGCCTGTCCATGACTCATTGCGAATCTGGCTTTAGCCCGAGCATCCCTCTGCATGATTCTCTTGGTTCTTTCCATGTCGCATTCGGGATAGAGGTTGGGGTCACAGTTGCCAAGGAAGGAAGATTTGTCAACCATCTTTTTCGCGCGGTAACGTTTGAACCGTTCGATGGTGCGCCAACAGGCGTTGATGTTGGCGTGCTTCCTGAACTGTTTACTGATGTGCTTCTCAAACTCGTCAAGAAGAGCGGCCTTTTCAACGGGGGTAGGCGCCCTCCTGTTATGCTGTTGCCATTCAAGCAACTTCGCATTGACACCGCCCCAGAGCACTCCCCCCTTGACAAACCTTCTTTCTGTCTTGTCCGCGAAGATCAGGTACTCTTTGTATCCGTTCAGAAGTCGGCAGTCACCACAGGTAACATGCGCGGAAAGCACGATTTCGACATCAGTCTCCATGCTCACTTTGCGGTAGGCATCCCACAAGTGATTACCCTCCTCTGGAATTTGTCTGTGTTGATTGGAAGTAGGCGGTTCTCCATTGGAAACAGTGGGAGCAACAAAAAACGGATAAAAACACTGCCTCTGCGCCAACCGGAGCGCACTCAGAGCCTTGACCTGGAGCCGGGGGTAGTCGGGATTGCGGCAGTGTCCGGAGCCCTGGCTCTGAAAATGGCAGCTGAAGCAACGCCCAAAGGCCGAGTCATTGACCGCGTTCAGCTTCAGGCAGTGGCAGCATTCCCAGAAAGCCACCTTGGAGCGGTCAATATGGTCGGACAACGCAGCCGGAATACCAATCCCAGACATGATGGGATGATCTTTGTGGTTGATCAAAGTACATTCGGGGCACAGAGAATGCGGAAAGGGGTCCAACTCGTTGCCGTAATGATCTCGCTTCCTGCTCCGACAATTCACCTCAGCACAGGGTTTCAAGTGGTCAGTGTTTCCAGGCTCGATCTCCGCAGGCTTGCCGTAGGCATCGGAATGGGTGTTGTTGTGCTGGCATTTGCAGCAGATCCAGCCTACGGGAATGATTCGGGGGTCACGGCGATCCGGAAAACCATATCGAAGTCGGAGAGAGCCAAAACGGACCCAGTCTGCGTCCACGTTCGGGGACTGTGATGGACCTGGGTCGGTCATGACGAAGCCGGCTATGTTGTTGGTATCCTGGAAACGATGCCGCCACTATTAGTCTGGGGTTCGACAAGAGTGGTACTTTGATCTGGACCCCAACAGACAGTGACCAAGAAGCCAGTTGAGACTAGAAGAGACAACGTTTTGATGAAGGGCAAGTCAACGATAGTGTTGGGGATGTGGGAACACACTGACCGAAACTAATTATCCGACATAAGCATATCTGCTGGGATTTTGTTTGCGATGGATGACGCTAGAGTCGGGTAGCAGGAAGCTCGTAGGTAACGCCGCCAACAGATATCAGAAGGCTGTTAGTCCGAGACAAGAAAGCACAGGACTATCTATGCCTTGGAAGAGATCAACGCTGGATACGAGGGAACTGTTCGCAGCCAGTGCTGGAGGTCCGATGGGTAGGAGTGCAAGTTGTCACCAGAAATCGACCTTGTACCGAGGATTTGGAGAGACAAGGGACAGCGCTGCTACTGGTGGCAATCTTCCCAAGAAGGGGTTTGATAGGGATGCCGCTTCAGAGGGTTCAATAAGAGGGAAGCCAAGAGGCAGAGAGGAGTATACAGTCATTCACGCTGGCTTCAAGACCAATCAGCGCTACTGTCTGGTGGAAGAGGGTGATGCTAGAGGTAGGAGGAGGCCAAAGTGGACGAAACAAGCTGAAGGAAAGTTTGGATACTCAACCGCAGTGCCTGGAGGAGAGAGAGGAAGTCCAAGGCTGGTTAGGGCTTCATGACCCGTTCCTTCTGCCACTTCCAAACACACCTTCAAGGAAAAAAAATGGAAGAAAAAGAACAAAATAGAAACAGCTCGTGGCTGAAGACTCGGGCATCGAGAGATGCATCATTGATAGCATTGCATGGAGCGGACCTCCGGAATCCGGTTTGGAAAAGACGGGGGCGCCGTGGAAGATACAGCGGACATGAAAAAGACGTCCTCAGACCTTAAGCAGCTCAGGGCAACCCACCATGTATGAATAAAACAATGGAAGCTGGGTGTTGGTTGCGTGAAATTTCTACTGGACTCCTCACCTCTTGTAGAGGTTGGTCAAGGAAGAATTCTACAAGTGTCTAATATTGCCAGTGAAAGGAAGGGTTTGTAGAGCGGATGCATTGTGTTATGCGAATTCCGAGATCAACAAAAAAAACAAGAAAGGAAAAAAAAAAAAAGGGTTAGAAGAATCATGTCCGACTGTTGACCAGCGAACGTAAGGTATATGACTATCATGCAGGCTACCCCAGCCATGCCCAAAACCTACAAAATTCTTACACCCTCGGTGTCTTCGTCTTGCTCGATACCAGCATTTGAGACAATATAAAGTGGCACACATCTTCGTCCGCCCAGTAACTCATGTGCGAAGCAATGGTGTTGATGGGATTGAAGTCCAGAACGCTTCTGTAAAGCCAATGTTAGCCATCTGCCGTCTTAAATCACAATACTTGAGCACGCGAAAGTGATGACTTACTCTTGGATACTGTAATCCACTCTCCCATTCCTGTTCAGCGCCCGTACCTTCATCTCCTCTCTCTTCAACTTCTGGGCCTTGGCCTCCTCCTTGACCCATTCCTCCTTGGCCGCAGCGGTGCTGCCCCCTTCCTTGGCGGCGTGAACCATATCCAACCTCTTCCTCTCAAACCTACTAAAGAGCGTCTCCAGCTCGTCATCGATCAGCGCCCCATCGTGGCCGGCGTTGGCCAGTTGGCGCATCCTCTCCGCCGTCTTCTCGCTCCGTTGTGCGTCTGACATTTTGGGGGATTCGGGAGATATGACACCGCCCGCAATATTGGTACCAGCGCCAGGACTGGAATTCTGGTGCTGAGCCTGTGAGGCGTTAATATTGGCTACATCTTCCTGGCTAAAACCGAGACTACGGTTGAGTAAACTGCTGGCAATACCGGCACTGAGACTGCTCCATAGTCCGCTAACGCTCTGCCCGACCTTGGCACCAATACCCGTGAGACCCTGTGGAGCGACAGAACCGAAGATGCTCTTCTTGGTATATGGCAGAGCTTGGGGCTTGAGAGTGGACATGGCGGGGGAGATCAAGGGCTCCAGACGATAGGAGATGGGATCTGAAGGGTGAAAAATGTTGAATAACTGAGCAACCTTGGGAGAGGAGATGCTGTACGGAAGGTTGGTGATAGGAGAGAGACTCTGATCACTGTTATGGTGGTGGTAATGGTGGTGATGCGCTGTAGCGGCAAGGAAAAATGGGTCATCCATGTATTCGGGATTCAAGGGGCTTTCCGAGGGATAGGCGTTGGGCAAGTGACGAGCCGCAATTGTTCGTCCCTTAAGCATCTGGAAAAGGCCGATGGGAGAGCCGAGAGCGTAGAAATCTTCCACGTCAAACTCGAACGCAAGCTCCTTGGATTCTTTCGGTTCGTATCGGTCCTGGGTGTGTGTTGGCCATAATTTGAGCGGGTTCTTAAACGGCTCGGTTTCTGGTCGTTTTTCCCGTTGCCGACAGAGGATATCAAACATGATGGCAGACCCAAGGGAATGACCGATGACATGCACTTTGCCGTTGAAGTTAGGATTGCGGTCTTTGAACAGCTTGTATATTCGGTTAGCTTCTCGGAGAACGATCTCCGCAATTGTTTCTCGGTATGCGCTTTGGTAAAGCAGGACGTCGAGAGCCAGATCGGATATGAGTGACCTTGCAAAAGCCACACCTTCGATCGTAATGTCATCTAGGGATGGGTCTTTTGTAACAGTTTAGCACTGACTTGTACTTGAACTCGCGTCAGAACACGGGAATCACTTACATTCGTCCTCTTCGTATGGAGCCTCACCCAAATCGTGCTCTCTTCTTTTCGGTTTGCGCTTTGGAAAGTCGAGGAGATGTCGCCAGACGACGGGCAAAACTTGAACGCGCGAGTTGCCAGGGCCTTCTACTTCAATCTCGCCGTTCAGCGCCCTGAGATCGGCCGAAGAAGAATATGTCTCCTTTAATGTTTTCCGAAGCATGTTCACGTCATGGACAAAGTTGACACTCTCGATCTTCTTCCCCAAAAGCTGTCCGATACCGTGGGTGACGAGAACGAGATGCTCAATTTCGCGGCCCTGAGTCTCCCCTAGTCGCGCATTATAGTCGTCCCTGATCTCCTTCTCTTCTCTTTTCCGAATCGCTTCCGCCTCTGCCTCTGGATCCTTGACACCCTCTATCAGGTTTGATATTTGCCGACTGAGCCTGGCCCTCGTACTTTCCATCTCGTCGGGCACCTCCTCTTCGCCCTCTTCCTTGACCACCACGGTCTCTTCAGAAAGTGAATGCGCACCTGCTGGAGCAGAGCGTCTCTTGAGGGCCTTTTGCAGCTTCTCGTCCTGTTCTGCGGAAGTGCTCTTGGTTCCAGTGGGAGTCGAGGGCCGCTTATCATCTTTGGGCTTCTTTGTTTCCGTATTATAGCCACGGACGAGCTTCACGCCGCTCATATAACCACCTCCAGCAAACCTCTCGTATACGGTCGAGGTCACCCAAGAGAGCACACCTTCCGATGAGAGCCATACAGTGCTTTCGTCGTGGTATGTTGCGATGTTGTTCATGTAGGCGCCAAACAGCCGATATGTCTGGGGCTGATGTTGGACAGCCGTGGTCTCCATTTTGGCTGGGGTTTCTTTCTGGGCGGCAGCCGCAGCCTTGAGATTGCTCACTGAAGCCTTGGGTGTGACGGTCCTGGTACCCGAGTCGCTACGCGTCCGTGTTGGGTACATCCATGGTCGTATCTTCATGTATCCTTCTTCAAGCTGGGCGGCAAGATTCTCCTCGCATGGGCGAACAGTCGAGCCTTCTTGGTAGAACCAAGTTCCTCGACGCACCTCATATACTGGACCCTCCCAGTAAACAGGGGCTAACTCGCGATCGTCGAGGTCGACGTCGAATAGAAAGTCTTCGTTGACGGGGACTCGAATGTGATTCTTGGCCTCCTCCTCAGTTGAATCCAGGTTTGTGTTGTTTGCTTCGTCACCCGAGACGACGCGAGGCCGCTTGGAGCCTAAACGGACACTGGTCGAGCGTTTCGGATTCGCCCTCTGTTGCTCTATCTCTTCGAGTCTTGCTTGGTAGGCAACTTCGAGTGCTCGGGAGTCTCCGGGAGAGAAGGGCGCATATTTCTTTGGTTGCGTCTGGGTCTTTTTGTCATCGTCGGTCTTGGACTGGAGGAACTTGGGCTTGCGCTTCGGGACCTAGAGGAAAAGAAGTTTGCGTCAGGGCGTTTTCAACCCTATACAAGTGATCAGACAGACAACGTACATCTACGGCATGGAACCATTGAACATTTAGTGGAGGGCAATCAGGGGGATACCGCTTGAAGCTGTGGCCGTAAAAGGGGTTGGTACTATGGTCCCCGGGGTTTGGGTTCACAGGGACCACTGGTTTGGGCGGAGGTGGCTCCTTGGGCGTTGGAGTGGTGCTTCGGTTGGCCGCCCAAGGATTGATGGAATCGACGGCGGATGCGAGATACGACTTTTCTGGCTTCTTGTCGGCGGCCGCGCCGGGGCCAGTTCCGCTAGCTGGCGCCATCGGATTTTTGCTGTGACCAGAAGGCCACCAGGCAGAGAAAGAAGGCGAGGAAGAGAACGAGGCTCTGGGGCCTCGGCTAGACGCAAAGGTCAAGGTAGTTGGTCTGAAGACTGCTGGCAGAGGGTAGAGAGCCTGACGGGTACGAGGACCCAGGCCAGTCCCGCGCAGACGCAACCTTATCGCGGAAACAAGCGCCAACGTTGCTGACTTTTGAAGTTGACAGGCTGACTTTTCTTCTCACCAGTCCGGTCGCCCTGGAAGTATTCAAAGTATTCGTTCGGTATCTGTATGCACCCCAAGGGAGAGGATACGAGACAGTTGGTCTTGGCCCAATGTTGGTTGGTGGAAAAGGGTTATCTGGCAACGGAACCCCAATTCTGACTCCCGCCGTCTTGAATGGGTTTGTCGGTTGGCTCGTTGAATGTCAACAAGTCGGTTTCGATCGATGTTTGGTTTCTAGGTAGTTGTCGTTATTGTTGTTGTATGATGGAGTCTCATGGGTGCAGTGTGTTGTAACAACTGAAGGAGTGAAGCTTCCTCGGGAAAGATGCGCGCACATGCAAGCGAAAGACGGACGGGACGGGAGGGAGGCTAGATGAACAAAGTGTAGATTACCTAGGCAAGGTAGATATATAGTACTTGTAGATGTTAAGTTGTGTATGACACTTGGAGTGTATGGTATTATGTACGGTAAAGAAGAATTAGAGCGAGGGAGGAGGAAACATCGGAAAGTAACAGCTGGTCTTGGCTGCTGCTGGCTTGTGACTTTTCTCATCTTCCACGGAATGACAGGAAGGGCCAATGGAGCTCCCTTCGGTCTTGGACAACACGGCAATGACGATTCCAGCAGATCAGAATCAAGCGGTGATTGGCAGCAGCTGGTCCTTGTCCCACTCTCACCCATCAGTTCCGGGTACTTTGAAAACAGTTTGAGGTACTTGCGCGGCTCTGTCTTGGAGGCTCGGCTCAGAGGGAGTTCAGGTACCCCTCTCCTAAAGCATGTACCCCTACAAGATAACGGATGGTGGGGTATCAGCGGCCTGGAAGGGGCCGGTCGATCAGATGGAGGCACCGCGTGGTGGGGCACAGGTTTCGAAGTCGGTCTCCAACTCGCGACCATTGGACCAGTTCCAGGACGCGGAGTCATGCGGGCGGCGACGGCGGAGGGTTTCTTCTTGACTGCCGTGCCGCCCGGGCCCCGCCCCCCCCCCCCTCCAGTGTGCCCGTTTGCACCATGGGTGCACCACTGTAATGGAGACGCAGCGCGCGCAGCGACAAAATAATTTTCAAAAGACGGGTCGCGAATTTGTCCCAATTCACTTTTTCCAACACCATCGGCTACCTGCCACCTCATTCCATTCCATTTTCACTTTCGACTTCCATTGTCTGGGATATTCAGCACACGGCGACATTTGCTACGGCATAGTGTATTCTAAAACCTCGTCGGAAATCCCACTACGACAGGCGTCAACTGCAAAATTTCATCGATATAAGCCTCGGCCGATAGCGATCTCTACCCCAAATCTCCAACCGCCTGGGCACCTCTCGTCGCCCACCACAGTCTCAATCGACAGCCTCTGGCTTCCGTTTCGCTCTAGGTTCTTCACAGCGACCATTGCGACGGGTCTTACAAGCACTCGATAACTTTCACTCGACATCACCTCCATCAAACAAATACAGAGAGTCCGCCATGAGCCGGTAGCGACATCGTATGATCACCAGAATAGGGCACCCGGACTGCTCTCTTCCAGTAGCCACCTACTCTACCTGCTACGCATGCCCTGTTGATGGCATTGCTAGTCTCGACAACTGAAATACGATTGACATAACAATGGGTGCCGAGCAGAGAGCTCCTATCAAGGAGCAGCTGGCCGACCAGCTCCCTAAGCGCTTCAGAGCCCTGCAGTTCGGAGTCCAGTCACACCAGGATATAGTAAATCAGGGTGTCCTCGAAGTCTCCGACAACCTCCTATACGATGTCGAAAACGGCCGCCGCACTTTCCCCCACGGCCCCCTCGATCCCCGTCTCGGCACTTCGAGCAAGACGGGCACCTGCGAGACCTGCAACCTCCCTCTCCAGTCCTGCGCCGGTCACTTCGGTCACGTCCGCCTCCCACTTCCCGTCTTCCACATCGGCTATCTCAAGTACATCCAGGCCACACTCCAAAACATTTGCAAGACTTGCTCAAAGGTCCTGCTCGAGGAGGAACCCAAGGCCAAGTTCCTCAAGGCTCTCCGTGCCCCTGGTATCGACAACCTCAAGCGATCAGCCATCCTCAAAAAGATCAACGATGAATGCCGCAAGCAGAAGACGTGCCCCTACTGCGGCGACACCCAGGGTGTTATTCGCAAGTTGAGCGTCATGAAGCTTACCCACGACAAGTTCTCGCACTTCAACAAGTCGACTGCCCAGAAAAAAGTTCCGCCCGTTGCCAAGGCCGCCTTCGATTCCTCCTTTATCCAGGCAAAAACATTCACTCCGGACCTCGAGAAGCACTCCAAGAAAGCTATGGACGACATGGATCCTCTCAAGGTCCTGAAATTGTTCAAGAAAATTACCGCCGAGGACTGCGAGTTGCTCGGATTGAACCCTTCCGAGGGCAGACCAGAGATGTTCTTGTGGCAATATCTTCCCGCTCCCCCAATCTGTATTCGTCCGTCGGTCCAGCAAGAAGCCGCCAGTAACGAGGATGACATTACTAGTAAGCTCTCCGAAATCATTCTCTACGCCGGCCATTTGCGCGAATCCCTCCTCAAAGGCGCTGCCCTCAACACCATCATGGAACAGTGGGAGTTCATCCAGCTCCAGGTTGGCATGTACGTCAACAGTGATGTTCCCGGTCTCTACCAGCCAGGCTTTGGCAAGCCCATCCGCGGCTTCTGCCAGCGTCTGAAGGGTAAGCAGGGTCGTTTCCGTGGTAATCTGTCGGGTAAGCGTGTCGACTTCTCCGGCCGCACAGTTATTTCGCCTGATCCCAACTTGGGAATCGACCAGGTTGCCGTTCCCGAGCGCGTGGCCAAGAACCTCACTTATCCCGAGCGGGTGAACCGCAACAACATTGAAAAGCTGCGAAAATGCGTCATGAATGGACCCAAAGTATGGCCCGGTGCTCAGGGCGTCATCAAAAGGGACGGCGGCATGAAGTTCAACCTAAACTTTGGTGATGAGTCCATCCGGGAGGAACGCGCGCGGGAACTCAAGTTTGGTGACGTTGTTGAAAGACATTTGGAAGACGGCGACATTGTACTCTTCAACCGTCAGCCCTCGCTACACAAGTTGTCTATCATGAGCCATCGTGCAAAGGTTAGACCCTGGAGGACGTTCCGTCTCAACGAATGCGTGTGCACTCCCTATAACGCCGATTTCGATGGAGACGAAATGAACCTTCATCTCCCGCAAACAGAAGAGGCTCGCGCCGAAGCCATCAACCTCATGGGTGTCCAAAACAACTTGATTACCCCCAAGAACGGTGAACCTATTATCGCCGCCACGCAGGATTTCATTACTGCGGCATACCTCCTGAGTAGCAAAGATTTGTTCCTCGACCGCAAGACCTTTACCTACATCTGCACGCAGATGCTGCTGGGTGAAACCCATCTCGACCTTCCCCCGCCTACCATCATCAAACCCGTCGAGTTGTGGACGGGCAAGCAGGTTTTCAACGTTTTGATGCGTCCCAACAAGCAATCACCGGTCCTCGTCAACCTCGAGGCCAAGAACAAGGTCTACAAGGCGAAGCCAGGCGAGCTTCCGGATATGGACATTGACGATTGCTACTTGGTCGTCCGCAACTCCGAGGTTATGTGCGGAAGAATGGACAAGTCGACCGTTGGTGGTGGCAAGAAGAACTCGGTCTTTTATGTTATCCTTCGTGATTGGGGCCCGGAGCACGCTGCTCAGGCCATGAACCGTCTGGCCAAGTTGTGTGCTCGCACACTAACCCTCCGCGGGTTTTCAATTGGTGTTGGCGACGTCTATCCGTCCAAGGATTTGACAGAGCACAAGGCTAAGCTGGTTCAGGATGCGTATGCACTCTGCGACGACCTCATCGCACAGTTCAAGTCTGGAAGGCTTGAAAAGGCTCCCGGTTGTAACATGGAGGAGACGCTTGAGAACAAGATCTCTGGCATTCTCAGTAAAGTCCGTTCGCAGGCCGGTGACTACTGTGTCGGCCATTTGAGTCGCAACAACTCTCCCTTGATCATGGCCAAATCCGGTTCCAAGGGTTCCGACATCAATGTCGCTCAGATGGTTGCCCTTGTCGGACAGCAGATTATTGGTGGCAAGCGTGTTGCGGATGGATTCCAGGATCGTACCCTCTTCCACTTCCACAAGAACGCTCGTCAGCCCCCCAGCAAGGGTTTCGTGCGCAACAGTTTCTATACTGGTCTGGTGCCCACTGAGTTCCTTTTCCACGCCATCTCTGGCAGAGAAGGTTTGGTCGATACCGCCGTCAAGACAGCCGAGACAGGTTACATGTCTCGTCGTCTCATGAAGTCGTTAGAAGATCTCTCAACTCAATACGACGATACCGTGCGGACATCCGAAGGAAATATTGTGCAATTCCAATATGGTGCCGACAGACTGGATCCAGCAGACATGGAGGGTAACGCCAAGCCTGTCGATTTCGAGAGATCATGGAATCATGCCGAAAGCTTGACAATGAACCACAATGACAGGTCGCTGCTTCCGGCAGAAATCTCGGCCATGTGCAAGGAGATTCTGGACGAAAGGCGGAAATGGTACGTGCGCAAGCACCTTGTCACGGGCGAGTTGCTGCACTACGAGGACAAGACGATTGCGGAAAGTGACGATCACGATGTGTTCATTGCCATCGATGAGCATGAGGGTGCCAGAGTCTATCTCAACACCATTCAGGCTGAGATGGACAAGCGCGCACTCAAGCTGGCAAAAGCACGCAAACTCGCCGGCTTGGATCCTTGTCTGCCCCAGGACAACGCGGATCTGCTGAAGGAATTTGCTGCATGGGAGAAGAAGCAAAACGGCGGTGATATTAAGATGTTGGATCCGGAAGAAGAAGAAATCCAGCAAGCCCACGTGGATCGTGTCGCCAAGGTTTCGGAGGCTACCCTGAGAAAGTTCATGAACCTCTGTCTTTCCAAGTTCGATAAGGCAAAGGTGGAGCCTGGCCACGCCGTCGGCGCCGTTGGTGCGCAATCTATCGGTGAACCCGGTACGCAGATGACACTCAAGACTTTCCATTTCGCCGGTGTCGCCGGTATGAGTATCACTCAGGGTGTTCCCCGTATCAAGGAAATCATTGGCGCCTCGAAACTCATCAGCACGCCAGTCATCAGCTGCGAGCTCGAGAACAACCGAGACATCAAGGCCGCGCGCATTGTCAAGGGCAAGATTGAAAAGACTTATATCTCGGATGTCATCACTTATGTTGAGGATGTCTGGCTTCCGGATGTTGCCAAGATTGTCCTCAAGATCGATATGCAGGCTCTTTCAGACATGCAGCTCGGTATCGGTCTTCGCGAGATCATGGTCGCCATCGTCAAGGCTAAGAAGCTCAAGCTCAAGGTGGAGATGGACGATCTCAAGATCGGTCCCGATAATACTATTGAGGTCATCGTGAGCAACGACTGGAAGGATCTGACCGCACAAAAGAAGGCGGCGCGAGTTCGCGCTGCAGCGATTGAGAAGGGCCAATTGCTTCTCACCACCTCGGACGAGACCGCCGCCGACTTCCAACTGCGCGTCAACTTCCTCAAGCGCATGCTCCCTGCTGTGCCCATCTCTGGCTACCCCGAGGCTTTCCGTGCCATCATCCAATCCAGCGAGTCCAATGAGCACAAGGTCCTCGTTGAAGGTTACGGCCTGCGCGCCTGCATGACCACGGAGGGCGTCATTGGCACCAAGTGTATCTCCAACTCCATCATGGAGTGCCGCGACGTTTTGGGCATCGAAGCCGCCCGCACCACCATCGCCAAGGAAATCGGCAGCGTCATGGGCGACATGGGCATCGATCCCCGTCACATGGATTTGCTGGCCGACGTCATGACCTACAAGGGCGAGATTCTCGGTATCACGCGCCATGGCCTTGCCAAGATGCGCGACAGCGTTCTGCAGCTTGCCTCATTCGAGCGCACGCCCGATCACTTGTTCGATGCGGCCGCGGGCATGAAGACGGATCGCATTCTCGGTGTGTCGGAGTGTATCATCATGGGCCAGACCATGAAGATCGGTACGGGAGCGTTCCAGGTCGTCAGACGGCTGGGCATCAGGGATCATCAGGTTAAACCCAAAAAGTCCATGTTCGAGGAGGTGTGGAAGAAGGATGAGGCAGAAAAGAGGAGGGCAAAGATGGAGATGAGGAAGACCACTGCGGCTGCGGCTGCGTCTACCGGGCGTGGGGGAAAGATTGATGGTATGATGCCGGCAGCGCCCATGGTGGCTGTCGCCTAAGCAGTGAGTGTCATTTATAGTTTTTCTTTTTTGCATGGTAATGGTGTCAAACGGAAAGCTCTTGCACAAAAAATATCTCAGGGGATATCAATGCACGATATGGGGATCTTGGGAGCCGTCAGGAAAAAAACTGGCTTCATCAAACTGTCTTGATATCTCTTGATGGGGATGACAGAATGCGAGATCATGCGTCAAGAAGGACGGGATAAGAGTTGATACCCTGGGGTTTCGAGCGCGCGCGCGTGTGTGTGTATGTTTAATCATAGAGAGTCAAAGCTGCGCGTGGAAAGGGAGGGTGGTGTTTTGGAGAAAATGGTCTTTGGCGGTTGGTCATATATGTTTATTAGCTCCTTCATGTAAGACGAAGAATGCCCTTTGATTAAATACGGCGAACAACCCACATGTGTTAAAGTGAGGTGAGCTTGTTGGTCACATGATCAGGCGTTCTGATCTTGCAAGTGAGCAACCGTTCATCGTGCGTGCTAAAGAAATGTTACGTCATTATTCCATTTCACATTTCTTTTTCCCAACTTTACTCCTACCGCAAGCTCTGCACTCGGGCAATCACCATCTCATCAACAATCCGGCTTTTTCACAATGTGCGGCAGGTACGCCATCAACCTGCGGCCCTCAGAGGTGCGCCGCATGTTACAAGCGGATAACATGCCAGTCGATGACGCGCCGGACGATGAAGGCGACGATTCGCCACGACAGAGCTACAATTTTGCGCCGGGATATCGTGGGGTTGTTTACAGGGCCCGGATAGGTGGCGGTGGTAGTACTCGTGGAGCTGGAGGGCGGAGGAGAGCAGCACATAATGATAGCGCTCAGGAAGGAACCGAACCGCTAGCCGAAGGCGAGGAGGAGGAAGAGCACCATCAGAGCCAGTCTCCGGAAGAAGAAGAAGAAGAACAGGAGCACGAACAGGGAAAACAACAAACTCAGCAACAACAACAACAACAACATGACAACGAGAACCAAGATCAAACCAAGCACCAATTCATCCTCCAACCAATGAAATGGGGTCTCATTCCCTCCTGGACCTTCAAATCCAAGTCCAAGCAGCAGAAACCAGGATCAACAAACTACACAACAAGCCTCAAGACCATCAACTGCCGCGACGACTCCCTTTCATCCTCAAGCGGCATGTGGTCCCGTATCAAACATCGCCATCGCTGCGTCATCCCCGCCCAAGGATTCTTTGAGTGGCTCAAGACCGGTCCTTCGGGAAAAGAAAAGATCCCGCACTTTGTGAAGAGAAAAGACGGCAAGTTGATGTTGTTCGCTGGACTCTGGGATTGTGCCCATTACACCGACGAAGACGGCACTGACAAGGCAATATGGTCGTATACGATCATCACGACATCGAGTAACGACCAACTCAAATTTCTGCACGACAGGATGCCGGTTATCTTGGATGCTGGGTCGGAGGAATTGAAAAGGTGGTTGGATCCGGCGAAAGATGTGTGGAATAGGGAGTTGCAGGATGTGCTTAAGCCGTTTGGAGGGGAATTGGAGTGTTATCCAGTTGATAAGAGGGTTGGGAAGGTGGGGAATGATGGGGATGATTTGATAGTGCCGGTGAGCGAACAGAGAGAGGAGAGGAAGATTGAGACTTGGTTTGGTGGGAAGGGGGGCAAGCGAGAAGAGAAAGAGGGGGAGAAGGAGGGGGAGGTCGAAGTCAAGACCGAGACAGGAAAAATCAAGGTTGAATCCGTCGACGAGTTGGCACAAGAAACGGACCAGAAAGGGAAGGAAGCTCGTTCGCCGCCGCGAAAAGGTATCAAGAGGGAGCCAGCTTCGGAGCTGGGTGGTGATGGGCAACCGCCTGCTAAAAAGTCGATGGGGGCTGGAGACAAATCTTCACCACTCAAGGGGAGTAAGCAGAAGCCGCCACCACCGACGGCGTCGAAAGCAAAAGGAAGAAAACCAATCAGTGCAACGAAGAACAAAGGGAAGGGGAGTCCAATCAGGCCCAGGAATGCGCCACCGCCGGGGACGCAGAAGATTACCAAGTTTTTTGGGAACAGTGCTTGATGAGAAGAGGTGGAGGGATCAGATCCAATATAGTATTCAGCTAAAGCACTCATCGATTCCAGAGGATTTACGTCCGAACATGGCGGTTGCTGTAAGGCCGTGGTAGAACAAAGCACTTCGTCTCGTCGCCGTCGGTCACAGCAACCCACCTTTTCTATGCCGTGTCCAGTCAGTTGATGACCCGGCCAAGGGGCCGGCCAACTGGTCGCTCGAATGAGTTTGCTGCTCTTCCGCACAAAGCGACAATATGTTCCTCAAACTTGTAACATTTTATACTTTGACCGGCGACGACAAAGACAATGAGCGGTTAACTTCCTTTCCTGAGCCCCAAAAAGTACCCAGTGGCTAAGTTCAACATCACTATCTGTGTGTTTAAGGAAGGTAAGACTATCCAAAAAATAGGAAGATTTCTCAGGTTACAAAGTCGAAAGGTCTTGACATAAGTAAAACGTATCCAATCAATTGTCGCCCAACGAGCATTATCAGCATCTCAGAGAAATTCAGTGGTTACCGCCAGGTTGGGTACGTCTGCTTTGAAACGGTCTTGTGTCACCGAGCAACAACCCAGCCAGCCGGTCGGTCGGTTGGTGACCAGTGTCAGGTGTCACTGTCAGTGAAAAACTGCTTCGGTGCGGTGTTGCCTGCCTGTCGTCTACCTGCATCTCTTGCCCCTCTTACCCCGAAGCATGACCACGACGGTTACTGCCCGTGGTGTTGTTGTCGACTGTTGTGCAGGGGGGAGGGACGACCGGCCATGCGTTTGCCCACTGCAGAATTTGAGGCTATGGGTAGAGAAAAGGTTAGCAACCGGGTGTGGATTTTGCCTGGCAAAGAAGGGACTACATCATCACAAGTTTATAGTCTGCTCGGATCCATTACAGAGCTCAAGCAACTTCGTTCTGTTTACCATCTTTACGTGCCTCCATTTTGGTAGATACAGCTTTCTCCATCCACAGGTCTTGTTTTGGCATATCGCGTGTACCAGACACCGCATTTATAGAGATTTTTCTCTCTGTCTTTGACTTGACAACCAGAGGTTGTCTGAATTTCCATACAACCAGCAGCTCAAACTATCTACCAACACCGACTCTAAAATGGCAGACGAGCAGAACAACAACAACAACAACAACAACAACAACAACAACAACAGCCATGACAAGCTCAACTTCGATGAGTCCCAATCTGCGATGACAACAACCTCCATGGCCAACGGTACCACGGCCAATGAAACTACCACCAACACTACGAACGGCTCCAACACTTCATCTAACCCAGCCTCAACCTTGCACGCAGCCGCAAGAAAACTCCCCGCAACAGAGATTCCCTCATCCATCTTCCAGTCCCTCACCAAGCCCACTCCAACAACCACGCACCAACAACCCAGCCTACCACGCACACTCTCAGCCACAAGCTCGGATATTCGCCGCCGCATATCCCAATTTGGCAACGACCTCAGGGTCTTGGGACAGGTTTTCGGCGAAGATGTTAACCGGTACGGTTCTCTTCAGACTGCAGAGAGGTTTAGGCAGGTGTACGCAATGTTTGTTGAGGTTGCGCAGGGGGTGTTGAGCGAGTTGGATGAGTTTGATAGGGTGAATGGAATAGTTGGGGGTGAAGAGGTGGGAGAGATTGGAGATGTGAGGGAAAGAGGGGATCAAAATGGCGATGAGGAGGAGAAGAATAATGGTATGGGTGAGAGGGAGCCCAACGGAGAGGCGAGGAATGGGACTTGAGACGACTATGGGAAGGAGGGTATGGGGAATACGTCTAGGTCGTGAATGTTAGTCTGGCTGTTGTGCCAGGGCACTTTCTGTTGTATGAGTGTGTTCGTTGTCTTTCCTCTCCTATTCTTACTTTTCTTTTCTCTTTCTTTTTTTGTTCTTTTTCCCATCATTTTTCTAGTCCATCTTTTTCTGTCGTACCCGAGTAAAGTACACGATGGACGGCCCTGTTTTCCCACTTCCATTCGATCGCACAGTATTCTTTAAGTAGCACGTCGTGCTGGTCGTGTTACTTACCTGTACGATATATACATGGGGAAGACTGCAAGGTCTTTTTGTCGCGTCAGCAATTGTTGGCTGTTGGCCGTCGCTGCTTCTCGGGTCCGTTTCTTTGTACGCATACCCGCCAACTGAGAGCTGGGCGGCAGACTTTCCTCTAAACAAGCAGGCATTATCTGGGATAAAGAGGTTCCCGGCGTCACATCTACCACCAACAAGCCGTTCAAATGACGATACAAGACAACCGGTCCCTCACTGGTCCAGAACATAGATGCCTTTGCCATGCGCCAGACGGAGCATAGCGTGCTTGGAACAACCCCCATCTTTCGACCTGAGTCCTGGCTTTACGGATTATCGCGCGCCTGTCGCATAAGAACTGCAATGATTACATTCACCTTCCATTCACAAAAGGTCACGGTGACCCTCGACCATTTCTCACATGATCCAAGCAGACCAACTTGGCCTCCAGCAGGTCATCAATCACTACAATGAAGATAAGCATGGGTGGTCGTCCATCGCCCAGGATAAGCAGGTTATATTGCGTCCATTCAGCATAACCACGGAGCGGATGCAAGCCGTCACTCGATAGCAAGAGGATTCAGTAGGCTCATGGAATTTCTGAAACGTTGAGATTCGTCGCACCCGCCATTTCCATTCTCCAAACAATGATCAGCAGAAGTAACGAGATGAATCGTTTTCGTCGTTGTATTTTGAGTTGTTGTTTTGACGGGGGTGATGATGTCCCTTCACCGACACAACGCCGCATCCCACGACACCCACAGAACCAAACAGCTCCCTATTTTCAGCAAGCACAATATCAGAAGACACAACTGCGGTCTCGATATTACGCAGAGACTCAGCATCGGGAGTATGGACAAACATCGCCAAGTCCACCAAGACCGAAAAGGTCTCTACCTCCATCAAAGTCCCCGATATACCAACACCATCATATGAAAAACGACCACCAGCCCCCAGCGCGCCCCATAACAGAATGGCCCGCTCCTAACCTCGATCAGCGGCCAGGAAAGATTTCGGAAAGTTTGCCTTTCTGGTGGGATGACGCGGTATCACAGGACAGCTACCCTGAATCACCCGAGATTGACTTCGATCCCGACCTAACACCGCCGCCTTTATATCATCGGTATCCACCCAAGCAAGAAGTACAACAACAACACACGTTTCCAAAACCCTTTGCCGTCTTTACACCAGTTACAAGGAGGCGTAAAGTGCCGAGCAGCTATGACATTTCCTACTATTTTAGAAATAGTCCCAGCGTAGTCACACCATGGAGACCACCTACACCACCCCCTTCTCAACCATCATCACTTCCCCACTACGAAGACTCGAGCGCTGTTGCTAATTGGGCACTGGGAATAGAAAAAGGAAAATGGGAAGAGGATGTATGGGAAGAAGAAACAGAAAGAGATAGAGAAGAGGCCAGGCATCAAGACCCACGGATTGTATCGGGTGTCTCTTCCTTATCATACTACTCAGAGGTTGCACATCAACACCGGCGCCCTGTATCAGATGTTTCTTCTGTATCGTCTTATTATTCTGAGTACCAGGAAAGCAGGGCGTTGACCCCCATACCAGAGGTGAGGAAGTGGGGGGATGCTAAGTATGAGGACGCAAGGCGGGAGGAATCGAACTGGTTGTAGACATGGGACATCATGTGGTTGTTTACAAAGTCATGGTTACGATGGCATGGAAATTTGCAGAGAGCAGAGAGATGATTTAGACATCCTGCGACGAAGTCCCTGCCGACTTGTTTCCCCCTTCATCGTTTTCCTCTCGCTCGTCAGATCCCTTGGCCAGGGAGTCAATCATTTTCCACTTCGACGTAACAACCGCATTCAAGCGGCTAACCTTAAACAAATCGTGAAGGACACTTCTTTCGTACACTCTAACCGCCCATGAACAAAGGTTAGAGACCCAACCAGTTCACGAGATCAGTTCTGCACGAGTGTCTACCTCGAGGTCATTGGCTCCACTCATCCGTTTGGTAGCAACTGTTGTTCTATGAAGCGGGACATACTCCGGCCATCTCTACTAACTCAACTCATCAAGCCCGATCTCCCAATACATCCACAACATCTTGCAGAACGTGATAACCACCATCGTTTGACAACTCGACCTCTCCTATCCCGACCTCAACAAAGTAACGATGAACACCCACACGGGAACTACCAACCAAGCTCCTCAGGACCATAGAATAGTTACCATGACTCGAATGAAATAGTACGCGATCTCAGTTCAACAACGTCGCCTCGCTATCATCCGTATCCACCGAAGCAACAAGAGCAGCACATCTTCTTGTATGCCATTTTGGAATCAGGGAAAGAGCAGTCCGATATCGTGTCGAGGAAGGTGCAAAGTCGAAACAGGAATCAAGGAAGGAGCGGGATGACGGCATTCATCGCCCTACTTTCCTTCCTCTTCTTCGTCGCTCTCACCCTCCTCCTCCTCCCACCCTTCCAGTTTCTCATGTTCATCTATATCCAGGTTCCATTCTCTCCAACGTGAGTAAGAAGCAAGGGAACATATCGATCCCACGCCATCACACCGTTTCAACTTTCTCTCCTCAGCTTGTCATCGAGCTGGCGGGGTGAAGTGTTCTTTGAATGATGGACAATTCAGGTAGTAGAAAGACGGCTTCTTTCGTTGATCACGGGTCTCGAGGATCGACTCGTCACTCCCTTTCAAGGGCAACATTCAGCACCAGATGAGAGTCGGGATAACCTCATCTGCGTAAAGAGCTTGCGTTATCATTTACACCAAGGAAGTGCCTGGCTTGTCTGCTTCTGCTTTTCTGACCCAACTTTTTGCTGATTGTTACAAAATTGGCGATTGGTCACCTTCCTATATCTTCGCTCCTTCCCTCTCCAAAGTGGAGGGCGGAAAACATCGAATGATTCCTTGTCCTCATGCGCCAACCTTCACGGCATCAATCTTCTCACCAAGATACAGTCCCCTTAACAAACTCCTCAGGCACCGGTTCAAGCCCCCCGGGACTCGGAATCCATTCAAAGACCCTTCTCAAATGTTTCTCTTCATCCCATCCCTTCTTTGTTGGTTTCTTCTTCTTCTTTTTCGGTCTCTCTTCTTCCTTCTTCTCCTCCTTCTCTTCCTCTTCCTCCCTTGTATTTTGCCCAAACCCCTCCTGCATGTCCATACTCATGCTCATCCCTATAAAGTCCCTCGTAGCTAGAGCCAAGGACACTGCGGCGGGATCCTCTTGCTTGGCTTGACACCACTGTGCTGATGTCATGGGAGTATTTGCACTGGGAGAAGTAGTTGTACGGGTTTCGCTACGAGGAACGGCATAAGCACCAGTACGAACGTCGTGTGCGACAGTTTGAGTAAGGTGATTGCTGTTTCTATGATCTTGTTCAGATAACGTGGTGGAGGTGGTGAGCTTCTGGAATCGAGGCCTCGATCGGTGGAGACGCTTGATCTGTCGGGTACTGAAGAGGTCCTCCGCTTGAGGGGACGTGATAGTGAGAGGTTCGTCGGTCTCGCTGTCCAGTTCCGGCTTTGTGCTTAAATTGAAGCTGGAGCTTGGACTCGGGCTTGGGCAACGCTGGCGTTTGAAAGAGGTCAATGCTGGGAGATAAACGGGCTGGGTCGAGTGGTTAAAGGTTGTTGATAATCTCAAAGAAGACGTCACTTCTGGACATTCGGTCTTGGAGCTTTGCTTCTTTGCAATGGACATCATGGGTTTGGTATGTGGGTGAGTTGGGCTAAAACTGAAACTTGGGTCGGGAGGTGGATGGAAAGTAGCGAAGGGACCATTGAGCCTTTATGTAGGTTTGTTTCTACGTTGTTATATCTGAGATTGCTCGGGACTAATGTGACCCGACAAGCGCAAAGCTGGCTGAGATGATGACCATGTTGACAAATATACAAAGGTTTGCTTCGCGAGTGTTCAATCTAAAAGATGCGTCCTCGTCACTTTACCTGACCTGTTATTCTACGCGCTCTGTCGTTACCTAGTCCAGTGAATCGTGTCGATTCATAGTATGGTGCGGTGTGTATATTGTAGGGGCCGAGGTGGAGAGTCAAGAAGACATCAACTAAAGAGTGGGCAAAAAGTGAATGAATGGAAAGGTATCTGGGTAGGATCATAGGCAGGCAAAGGGAAGGGAACGTCAAGATTTGGTCAATAAGGTCATATTCATATTTTACAAACAAATGGCAAACGCTCTTCTAACTGAACCATGTCCATTTGTGCAATAGATCTGGCACTCATGAGGACTTGAACTCCCAATCGAACCATTTCACCGGCCAAACACCAGGTAAAATATGCAACCCAACCAACCATAAACGACGCACTTCTTTTTGAGCGTCAACCAAAAACTGAAAAGGCAGGGGGATCTAGATTATCTTCATTTAAAGCTCGTCATGGCCAGCAGGCTCGTCATCACCAGCGCCACCTTGGCTGTAAAGCTTGCTGGTGATGGGGTAGGCCACGTTGGAGAGCTTCTCCTTCTGCTCATCGAAATCCTCGGCGGAAGCAGTGGCGGCTGGGAAAAGAAAAAAGCTTGTTAGCAATTCGTCTTCATGTGTCAAAGGGGATCGGAATAAAGCTTACCATTCTCCTCAAGCCAGTCTTGGGCCTCCTTAACGGCGTCAAGGATGGTCTCCTTGTCCTCCTCGTCAATCTTGCCACCAAGACCATCCTCATCGTTGACCTGGTTCTTCAGGGAGAAAGCGTAGTTCTCAAGACCGTTGCGAGCTTCAATGCGCTCACGGGTGGCCTTGTCCTCCTCGGCATACTTCTCGGCCTCAGCGACCATGCGGTCGATCTCCTCCTGGGTAAGACGGCCCTTATCGTTGGTGATGGTAATGGACTCGGCCTTGCCAGTGCCCTTGTCGTGGGCAGAGACCTTGAGGATACCGTTGGCATCGAGCTCGAAGGAGACCTCGATCTGGGGAACGCCACGGGGAGCGGGGGGAATGCCGGTAAGCTCGAACTTGCCAAGGAGGTTGTTGTCCTTGGTCATGGAACGCTCACCCTCGTAGACCTGGATAAGGACGACGGGCTGGTTATCGGCGGCAGTAGAGAAAATCTGACTCTTGCGGGTAGGGATGGGGGTGTTACGGGGGATGAGCTTGGTCATGACACCACCAGTGGTCTCAATACCGAGAGTAAGGGGGTTGACATCCATAAGGACGATGTCCTCAGTACCCTCCTCACCGCTAAGAACACCAGCCTGGACGGCAGCACCGAAAGCGACGGCCTCGTCAGGGTTGATACCCTTGGAAGCCTTCTTGCCGTTGAAAAACTCCTCGATAAGAGCCTGGACCTTGGGAATACGGGTGGAACCACCGACAAGGACGATATCGTCAATCTCGGACTTAGAGACCTTGGCATCCTTGAGGACCTGCTCAACAGGCTTGAGGGTCTTCTTGAAGAGGTCGTTGTTGAGCTCCTCGAACTTGGCGCGAGTCAGAGTCTCGGAGAAATCCTTGCCATCGTAGAAGGCCTCGATTTCAATACGAGTGGACATCTGGCTGGAAAGGGTACGCTTAGCCTTCTCGGCCTCACGCTTGAGCTTGCCCATGGCCTTGGCATCCTTGGTAACGTCGACACCGTGCTTCTTGTTGAAGAGCTTGGCGAAGTGGTTGATGATGCGCTGATCGAAATCCTCACCACCAAGATGGGTGTCACCAGCGGTAGACAAAACCTCGAAAACACCCTGCTCGATGGAAAGAAGGGAGACATCGAAAGTGCCACCACCCAAGTCGTAGACGATGATCTGACGCTCCTCGCCAGTCTTATCAAGACCGTAGGCGATAGCCGCGGCGGTAGGCTCGTTGACAATGCGGAGGACGTTGAGACCGGCAATCATACCGGCATCCTTGGTGGCCTGGCGCTGGTTGTCGTTGAAGTAGGCGGGAACGGTAACAACGGCGTGAGTGACCTTCTTGCCAAGGTAGCCCTCAGCAGTTTCCTTCATCTGTTGTGGGGGTCAGTCTCTGATTACTGTTTCAGAGCAAAAACGATGCGACGTACCTTGCCGAGAATCATGGCGGAGATCTCCTCGGGGGTGAAGGTCTTCTCTTCGCCCTTAACCTCAACCTTGACAACAGGCTTGTCATCCTTGGAGACAACCCTGGATACTAGAGTCAGTGACGGCTAGGAGGGAGTGGTTTGTCGACAGTGACCTGAGCTTACTTGTAAGGGAAGTGCTTGATGTCATTCTGGACATCCTTGTCCGAGAACTTGCGACCGATGAGACGCTTGATGTCGAAGATGGTTCTGTGGGGGTTGGACGCAGCCTGGTTCTTGGCGGCGTCACCAACAAGTCTCTCCTCATCGGTGAAGGCGACATAAGACGGGGTAATACGGTTTCCTTGGTCGTTGACGAGAATCTCGACCTTGCCCTTCTGCATCACACCAACGCAACTACGAGGTTGTTAGTTTCCTTGTCCCCAAAAGACAATGTGTATCGTTTGTCGAAACCGGGACGTAGATTGGTGGTAGAGGTTGATAGCAAACGCCGTATGCCCCGCGGGGTGATCGTGTTTATGATGGTGTCGGGTAGCGAATTCGTGCACGGGTAACTTACGAGTAGGTGGTTCCGAGATCCTGTCAAAGAAGCGTTGTTAGAATGCTTTGCCCAACACGAGGGATGGGAAGGGGGAGGAGGGAAATGCGGGCAACCTACAATACCGATAACAGTGCCCATAGCCTCAGTGTCATTGGCGTGGGCCTGCTGGACAAAGCCAGCAGAGAAGAGGAGGGCAAAGAAGCCCAGGATGCTGAGGCCCAAGGCCCAGCTTCGCGTTCGGTGCTCCATTACTGGAAGCTCTGGCGAAGGATAATGGAAGGAAAGAAGAAAGAAAACAACCCCGCTGCTTGTGTGGTTAAGGAATTGGGGATGGGGATGGTTGTAGTAAGCAAGAAACAGAAAAGCAGTGGTTCCTTAGGCCACTTTCAAACTCTTCGAATGTTTGCAAAAGGAAAGGGAGATTGGTGATGGATGGAGGGAGGTTGTCGGGTATTTGAAGGCGAGTGGGACCAGCAAGCAAGCTACGTTAAAGGTGTGGTGTCCTCTTTCCAGCAAAGGCCACTCGTCAGGTTGCGGGCCCGGCCTGAGCTGCTACAGAAAATAGAAGGAATAGGAAATCTGTCCTCAATCGGATTGGCGGCCAGTTCACAGGGACCAGGGGGTATGTGGTTTCTGGGGGGGTGTGGCCGATGGCCCGCATTGGCGCGTTTCTGGAAGATGCACTAACCAACAACCGCGCTCTCGTGCCTCCGCAGCGCCTCATTGGGATGAAGCGCTGCTTGTGTTGCGGGTACACTTCTTGGACCGTGAAATGTTAAACATCATTCAATCGGTGATGTACAAATGGCCTACCGCAGCGGAGCGACATGTTATGCTTGAAGTGCCATCGACGGGTACATTTCATGATATGTTACGATGGTGAGGTACGGTTAAGCCTGTCTAGTGTATACTGCATAGTAAATCACCAATTATGGACCCCTCGCTCCCTTGACATCTGAACCTTTCTCATCCATGCCGTTCACCATTGTTGTACTCTTTGTTTCCCTTTCGAAGCAGCTCTTGTCCGGCGTTTTGAGTTGTACTGCTTGGCTCATCCCATAATCAACGGGATATTCCACCAGTTTCCATGAAGCTGCTCCGTTTCTTGCGAGGCACCGCCGTTAAGGTTGCATAACCCTGGCCCGGGGGCAGCTTCACGGCAAAGGGGAACTCAACCTTGTGCCCCACTGACAGCTAGGGGTGGTGATCGCTGTGAGCCAAGAGGTCCGTTCCACTCTTCTATCGACGTACCAGATCTTCGTGAGATATCTTGATGTTTTGCCTCCCGTTGTGAACAGCGTGGCATCTTCAGAAAGAACAGTCACGACAAGTTCGAAATGAGGAATTGGCTCTTCATTGTATCAACTGGACTATCACGAGATGAACAAAAAGAGAACGAAACCCAAACGACCTACAGTACAAGGCAGCAGAAGGAAGATGAGGCAAAACGAAGTTGCAGTGTTCGTGATTGTGAACTCGATCCGTCTTCTGTACATGTTGGGAACAGACCCCCCACCCACTTGCACCAAGGAAAGGGAACAGACCCCCTTGCAGTTACTTGTCAGCGCTGCGGCTGCGGTGCGGCTCTTCTACCCCCATTCATTTCCCCCAAAACTGTTCAATCTGGGAAGTGGACATGTTGGCATTTTTGACAGCGCCGTGGTGAGTGATCCAGGGGAATGCGCGGAGGTTCCAACCGTTTTCTTGCATTGGGCTAGCTTTCATCTCTTCATCGGGGTTCCCGAGGATTATACTGATGGCTGCAATCAATCCATCTGGATGTCAAACATCAACGTCAAGTTTCTCCATGCCCTGTGAGGAATGAGCACAGACAGTGCCGAATAGGCTAGGAGGAGATCGAACCTTCCACCAATATTTTGTAGCACAGTCAATTCGATCTCGGGAAAGCTGATAAGATAACGAATAGCTTTGATAGCTGGCATCAACGTCACAGCTCAACCCTCTCTCGCTTCCCCATGTGTTTCATTGCGGGGGTGCAGGGATACCAGGAGGAGGACAGCAAGAGACCAGATTTGTGGTCCATGTCCACATGCACAACCGAGTACCAACCTGTAGGGTACTGCGTACTGTTCGGCATGGAGAGAAAGTGGAATCTCAGCCTTGTATCGTTAACTTGGTACAGGTACAAGTTCTCCGTCCAAAAACAGCTGTGAGAATCTTATTCCGCTACTTCCAACCGCTGGCTTTCACGGGTAAGCACCTGTGGCAGAAGACCCCAGTCTGTGTAGGTATGTATTCGAAACTTTCTTCCCTTCCAATTCCCATGTCTCTTCGCCCGTTTTACCCCTTCTGGACTTCCAATCCATTAATTCCCACCCCCACCCCAATCATTCCAACAATCCAGCTGCCACCGTTTGTCCACCACTCCTAAGCACGACCCTCTGTCCTGCCTCGAGTGGTACCTTTGAGTGTAGCGTGACCCTAACCCTAGAAACCGTTCCTGGTTTCACAATCATTGGTTTCTTCTTCGTCACCTTGCCTGTCACTTTATCCAAGATGGCATCGATAGCCTCGATCTTTCCAGCCGCATGGAGTCTTCCCCTGTGCACATCCACCTGCATGGGCATGAGGATGTCGAACGCCAAAGCCTTAAGCGTGAACGTGTCCACACACTGAATCGGCTTGGCAGGGTCGCATACAATGTCTCCGACGCGGACGTGAATGGGATCGATGTTGCTGAGATGAAGGACCACATTCTGCCCGGCAACGGCCCAGTCCGCTGGTTCTCCGTCGTCAACCTGAAGAGATTTGACGTAGGCCTTCTCGCCGCTTGGTTGCACCAGAAGCGCATCGCCCATTTGCAGTGAGCCCGCGTCGATGCGGCCAGTGATCGATATGGAACTCTGGGGTGTGCGCATAACCTCCGAAATGGTCATCCGCAGGGGTTTGGCCAATGCCCTCGCACTTGGTTCCGAAGCCTCGAGCTCCTCCACCAGTGTTTTACCGGTATACCAAGACGCTGCTGGGTCTGTGGATTTTCGGACGAGGTTATCACCGTGGAGGCCCGATACGGGTACGAACGCGATGTTCTTGGGCTGGAACCCAGTCGCTGTCAAGAATCCCGAAACCTGGTGCGTGATCTCGTCGAATCTCTCCTGGGACCAATTGACCGTGTCGAGCTTGTTTACAGCCACGATGATTCTCGAGACACCCATGCTGCGGATAAGAAGAGAATGTTCTCTGGTTTGACCCTTAAGACCAGACTCGAAAGCTCCTGTGCTTGCATCGATAACCAGGATCGCAAAGTCTGCCTGACTTGCGCCAGCGATCATGTTGGGAATAAAGTCCCGGTGGCCAGGAGCGTCAAGAATAGTAAAAGAAGTAGTTTCTGTCTCAAAGCGATTGGTAGCAATATCGATGGTGACGCCTCGGCTACGCTCCTCGTGGCGTTGATCCAATACCCAGGCAAGAGCAAAAGACGTTTTGCCGATCTTTTCCGCCTCTTTCCGAAGTTTGTCGACGGTCCGCTGGTCGACAACATTGAGGTCGAGTAGTAGTCGCCCCATCATGGTGCTCTTGCCGGCATCAACGTGGCCGACAACCACAAAACTGGCAGTCTTCTTACCCTTCTGCTTTTCAAATTCAGAGAGAACATTGAGATTGCGGCTCTTTGGCAAGGGTGTGTCGTCTATCTTGAGCTGGCTGACTTGGTTGGTCACGCCATCTGCGGAAGATGACCCTTTTTTGTTGTGGACGTTCGCAGACTTCTTTCCGGCTGTGGCGACTATTAGTGACTGCGTTAGTGCTGTTTCTTTCCCGTGAGCGAACCTTTCGCCTGAGCCGCAAGGACCACGTCATCTGGGCTGGGTTTGCCAAAGGCATCCGGGCTGTACGAAGAAATTGCCATGTATGGTAAGGCGAACACTTCGCGGGGTCTGCGCTTGGGACTATCCGATGAGGGGCCGAAGAGAGTCGACGCGAAAGCAGACGGTTGAGCTTTTGGCGGTGCCACCGCCGGTTCCGGGTCGATTGGATCCTCCTCCTGGTGCTGACTTGGACTAGCCTCCGGCGCTTGAGCTTGTGGTATTTCGGGTCTTGTGGGCTCCGCCATAGTGAGAGGGATGCGTCCTTGAGCAGTTGTCTCTGATATCTTTACCCGCTTGCCAAACACGCCAGCCAGCGGACGATTCTCCTTGGATGCTTGGTTGTCGTTGACAGTGAGCTCCGTCATCTTGACTTGTGTCTGCTCAACTTCTCCTGAGGCGCTCTTCTCTTCGGCTTTCTTCTTCCGGGCGGCTGCTAGCTGCTGCAGCTTGGACATCTTCGGGGGCGCTCCTGAACCTCCAAGAAGGCCTCCAGGTAGCTGCGGAGGCGGTATGAGAACCGCCTGCCGCTCGGGTGGAATGTTTCCCCATGGCAAGTCCCGGAACAGGTGGGCAAATGACTGGCGAGAAGCACTTGCAATGGCCGCTTGACAGGACGTTGTCAATGAGGGTTCGCAAAGAGCAACGGGAGATGACCGGCTGAGCGAAGTCGGCCACCACGGCCCAGACCCTTTACCCAAGATGCAGGTGCCTTGCGTCCGTTGGCAGCGGCACTTGACTCGCTGTTCACAAGGAAAGGAATGGTGATGGAAGGGTCTGGACTTACCATCTTGCTTTGGTGCTGTCTTTGGAGGAGCAGTCTTGGCAGGCTTCTTGGGCGGGTCGATGTACTTGGAGATGAGATAGGTGATGGTCTTGTCAACATCCCAGTAGTAGTGCCACAGCGACTCTTCTATCTGCGCCTTTGTGACTTTGTGTGCCTCAACACCAAGTGCTTCCAGTACCTGAGCTGTGCCTTCCCTCATGCGGACCTGGTCTTCTGGGCTGAGCTCCTCCTCTTCCTCATCGGAGAACGCTCCGTACTCCTCAAGTTCTGCCTCGTAGTCGAGGTTTCGGATGTTTTGATGGCGTGCCATGATAATGACTTGTTATCGATATGTGTGTGCTGGATCCTGAAAAAGAGCGATGGTGAATGCCTGAAGAACGAGACGGGCGTGACGCTCTTTTAAGGCTGAGGCAACCCTGATTCCGACCCCAGATGCCTGCGCTCGCTGCGATACGGCGACGATGACGGAAATAGAAGTTGAAGGTGTGGTGAAACAGAGATTAGATATTGAAATGAATGCAATTGATGTGTATTTTGGGGTTTGATCTGATCTATGCGGTTCGGTTGTTCAGTGTAACAATTCTCAGGTTGTGAAGCATCCGTCTCTACAATGACATAAAAGACAAAGTTCCTGCAGCGGGAAGGTCCAGGCGGCCGTGCGACTGAGCAATCAAGGTGCTGCCCCGCCACGACCTTGGATTGTGCCGGTTGACCCCACCAAAGCAGCGTCACAGAAGCTGCCTGGTCGAAAGCGGTGAAAGGGAGCAAAAGCCTAGGCGTTTAAGGTGCGTCAAGCAAATGACCATATGTGGTCATATCCGCTTATGCCAGAAGTTTCCCCAAGTACATAGTACATACCATCGGACCCTTGCCAGCTGGCTTCTCCCCGTCAATTGCCGGGCAGCTTTCAAAGCACACTCAGCAGCCCAGAGCAGCGCACACGCCGGTGGAGCTGACCGCCTTCCTGCTGGCGGGGCGGTTTCGTGGAAGCTGGGTTCAATTTTTTGAGATTGGCGTAGGGAAAGCTGAAGGTGCCCGCCAGCAGCGGAGGTCGCAAAGAGCTCCTGTCTGACCGGACGCCCATTCCACCAGCGTTCAACAACAACACCACCATCATCCAAACCCAATCCCCTTCACCATACCTGCAATCGCCCCGACTGTCGTGCCGAAGCTCTACGAGGTCGACCACATAATCAAACAATAATAGTGATTGCACACTACCGACCGCAGTCGTAATATTGCCCAAGATGGCGTTGAGTATGTCCTCTGAGCCCCTCCTTCCCCCTCCCCCCCCCCTTTAACCACCCCTCCCCACTTCCCTGAATACCTCCCAGACCGCACTGTCCACCGGACCGCGACAGCGTAACTAACTTCGAGATGTGCAGATTTGGATTTGTCGAACGGTATGCCGCGACTCTTTTGGTTTCTCCGTCAACCATCCCGATCCCACGCCGGTCGAAAATGCTAACGCCTCCCCGAAACAGCGGTGATGATGAAGGATGAGCAGGGCCGCCCTCTCATCGTTGTCAGAGAGTTAGTCCCCCTTTCCGCCGATATCTCGAGCCTTGGTCCTACGGTTCACTCTAACACGACAATTCCTACTGCAGTCAAGGAAAGAAGAAGAGGCAATACGGAAACGAAGCCGTCAAGAACCACATTCTCGCCGCCAGAACCGTCGCAAACATTGTCAAGACTTCCCTGGGACCTCGTGGCCTCGACAAGATCCTCATCTCGCCCGACGGCGATATCACAGTGACCAACGATGGCGCGACCATTCTACAACAAATGGAGATCACAAATCACGTTGCCAAGCTACTAGTCGAGCTCTCCAAGTCCCAGGATGACGAGATTGGTGATGGCACCACAGGTGTTGTTGTGCTTGCTGGCGCGCTGCTTGAGCAGGCGGCAGAGCTTATTGACAAGGGCATCCACCCCATCAGAATCGCCGACGGTTATGACCAAGCTTGCGACATTGCTGTGGCCGAGCTTGACAGAATTTCCGATGTTATCGAGTTCAGCAAGGAGGAAACCGCAAACCTGGTCAAGGTCGCGAGGACAAGTTTGGGCAGCAAGATCGTCTCCAAGGCCCACGACCAGTTCGCCAACATTGCCGTCGATGCGGTCCTCTCCGTCGCCGATCTGGAGCGCAAGGATGTCGATTTCGAGCTCATCAAGGTGGACGGCAAGGTTGGAGGTGCTCTCGAAGACACTATCCTCGTCAAGGGTGTTATTATCGACAAGGACTTCTCGCATCCCCAGATGCCTTCCGAGGTTAGGGACGCCAAGATTGCCATTCTCACATGCGCCTTCGAGCCTCCCAAGCCCAAGACTAAGCACAGACTCGACATCACCAGCGTTGAGGAGTTCAAGAAGCTGCAGACGTACGAGCGCGAGAAGTTTATCGAGATGATTCAGCAAATAAAGAACACTGGTGCCAATCTGGCCATCTGCCAGTGGGGTTTCGACGACGAGGCGAACCACTTGCTCCTTCAGAACAACCTTCCTGCTGTCCGATGGGTCGGTGGTCCCGAGATTGAACTGATTGCGATTGCCACAAACGGTCGCATTGTTCCTCGCTTCGAGGATCTCAAGCCTGAGAAGCTCGGTAGGGCTGGTGTTGTTCGCGAGATGACATTCGGTACGACAAGGGAGAAGATGCTTGTGATCGAGGAGTGCGCCAACACCAGGGCCGTGACTGTCTTTGTCAGGGGTAGCAACAAGATGGTAAGCGATGGAGTTCTGTTGCATCACTAAGGTCTTGACTAACTTTTTTCACCCAGATCATCGATGAGGCTAAGCGTTCTCTTCACGACGCTCTTTGTGTCGTGCGCAACCTTGTTCGTGACAACCGTGTTGTCTACGGTGGTGGTTCGGCCGAGATTGCCTGCAGCTTGGCCGTTGAGGACGCTGCTGTCAAGTCCCCTGGCTTGGAGCAGTACGCCATGCGTGCCTTCGCCGACGCTCTCGACACTATCCCCATGACCCTGGCCGAGAACAGCGGTCTTAACCCCATCGCTACCCTGGCCGAGGTCAAGAGCCAACAGGTCAAGGATCCTGCTGGTCGCGGCCGTCTTGGTGTTGACTGCATGGGCCGTGGCTCGAACAACATGAAGGAGGCTTTCGTCATTGACCCCCTCATCGGCAAGAAGCAGCAGCTCATGCTTGCGACGCAGCTCTGCAGAATGATTCTCAAGATCAACAATGTCATTGTGTCTGGGTCGGGCGAGGAAGATTACTAAGCTATGAGCAAGGGAAAGAGAGCGATGTATGATGCGTGGGGGAAGGGACAGAACCTATACATCCAAGGGCTGTCCCTCTTGGGAGAATTATATGTGGGCGTTTGACATTAACCGAGTCAAAAGGAAGAAATCGCAATGTCAAGATAAGATATTGTAGGAATATCATGGTTGTAATGACCGCTTGGTTCAGACCATGCTACGCATATAGAGAAGTACTTGTAGATACCAAAACAAGACGTGTGAAGACGAAGGATGGAGCAAGGTTCCTTTATCACAGTTGTGCCAGGATATCTGAATTTCAATGCGGTAAATTTTTCTTCCTGCAAGAATTATCTTGGGATGAGGGTTGGGAGCCAAAATGAGAAATCTGGAGCCGATGGGGAGTCTTATATTGCTAAGAGATTTACAGAAATCTTCTTTCCCTTGCAGCATATAAGGCTATCTTTATCCTTTTGGCACATACGACCACAGACGGTAGAAAGCTCGGGATCCCGTTCGCTCTCCCATAGATAGGCTACTAATCGGAAGCAATGGAGTGAGTAGGGAGGCAGGGCTAGGAAGATGAATATACAGGACGTCAATAAGGCAAGGCCGGTTGGATAGATGCCATTACTAAGAAAATCTTAACATCCCGCCGGTTCGAAGTGAGATTGAGAGATGGTTCAGTGGAAAGTGTAAGTGTGCAGTGTTCAAGGCAGATTGAACAAAAGGGAATTCGAAAGAGCAGCGGACGAAGAGGGGAAGCGAGAAAGATTCGTGGGAGGGGCTAAGTAAAGTGCTTTCCTTGCAAGAAGAGATGCCCTCGTGTGGAGCTCCTTCCGCTTTAAACACAACCCCCATTACGATGCCTTAAGAGCCAAAAGGCACCATCAGCATCACCAACCGCACTCTATATCCCGTCCTACAGCTCACTCAGCAGTTGCGAGCAGTCGTACAAAGTCGTCAGGTACCTCTACGTATCTATCGGAATACCACAGATTATGTCAAGCAAATGTAAAACTCATTTCTCAAATCAATCCGCACAAAATAAAAGACGAGATTTATCTAATCAAGTCCGCTTGAAACTACTCCGGTTCATAGTGAAGGGTCCTCTTTAGTCACTCGCTCTCCTCCAGCACATCCCCCCGCCCCAGGACCAGTGCAGCCTTAGGTAGTCCCGTCATACATAGCCGAGATTATACCCCCCGCCGACCTCTAGCAAAGGCTTCCCGAAGATCACCAGCACAGTCCTCCGGCGTCGGTCTGGTATTCTGCTCATCACAAACCCTCGCCAGCGGCTAATAAGGGTTCTGCACATGCCTGCGGGCACCAAAATCAGCCTGGCCGGCTCGGCTGCTCAGGCAGACGAAGACGCCATTCTCACAGCATCAGCACGCTCCTGCTCGAGGCCGACTTCGGTGCCAGCATGCTGCCTATTCTCTGATCCGTGCAGCTCGTCTGGAAGCATCGGCCGGAGACCCCACCGGTCAAACATGGCCTTGTCCTCGTCCCATCCACTGCACGGTGTAGTCAGCATCTTTTCTCCTGTAAAGATTGCATTTGCTCCAGCCATAAAGCAAAGAGCCTGCTCGGACTCTGTCAAATTAATTCTCCCTGCCGCAAGCCGAATCACCGAGCCTGGCAGAACAAGCCGTGCAGTGGCCACCATCCGGACGGTATCGTGGAAGGTTACGGTCGATTCCGGCTCCCCGCTTTCCGATTTGGCGGCGCTGGCGTCCCCAAGTGGGGTTCCCTTGATGGGAACGAGAGCGTTGATTGGGAAGCTCTCCGGGTGGCTTTCCATCGTTGCAACGGTGTATAGGAAGCTCACACGGTCCGCGTCATCTTCACCGAGGCCGAGGATTCCACCCGAGCAGACGTGGATTCCGGCCTGGCGGACGTTGTTGATTGTCTTGAGTCGTTCGTCGTAGGTCCGGGTTGTGATGACGTTTGGATAGTACTCCCGGGAGGTGTCGACGTTGTGGTTGTATGCAGTGAGTCCGGCATCGCGCAGTTCCGCCGCTTGGTTTTCGTCAATCATCCCTAGAGTGACGCAGGCCTCCATCCCGAGCTCCCTCACCCCTTTCACCATCGCTTTGATGTTCTTGAGGTTCGTCTTGCGGCCCCGCATGTCCCTCCAGGCGGCCCCCATGCAGAACCGAGTCGATCCATTTTCTTTTGCGATTTTTGCAGCCTGGAGGACCTCATCGACGGATGATATCTTTGTTGCCTTTACACCCGTCTTGTACCGGCTCGACTGGGCGCAGTAGGAGCAGTCTTCTGAGCATCCACCTGTCTTGATATTCATGAGCGTGCAGAGCTGGACGCTGGCGGGGTCAAAGAATCGTCGGTGGAGGGTTGACTGGAGAGGTGAGTGTTAGACTACTTGATAAATGTTTTGTGTTTCCTTATCTTCTTCTGGTGCGCCTTACAGCCGAGTAGACCAACTCCATCAGCGGAGTTTGGTATATTTCTCGGATCTCCTCCTTCGTCCAGTCATTCCTGGGCGCGTCTGCTGCAATGGTAGCCTGCAGGAGACTGTTCCGGCCAGCGAACGAGTCCGGCTTCTGGTACTTGTTTGGTGCCGGGCTGTTCACCACCTGGGAGCCTGCAGCCGACGAGAGTGAGCGGAATTGAGCATGTAAAAGGCGGGATTGGAATCGCAGAGTAGATGAGGCGCTGTATCTTAACTGGGAAGTGCTGTAGAGACTCGCCGCTCTCTTGAGAGTCTGGTGGGTGTTTCTCATTTTGATATTCTGGGCGGGCCGAGATTGACGGGAATTCGTGGATAAAAGAGTGAAGGAAGGCAACAGTAACAAACAATTCAGACTAACAGTGAGCGAGTGACAAAAAGAACTCAACAAAAGAGTCTAGTGGAAAAGTGTATTTTTATCTACAAACCCATTCGCCCAACCAGTCAAGTCGGGTTGAGCCCGTCCACCCCAACAAAGCTAAGTGTGACCTACCCGTTGAGGGGCTGTCCGGTCAGGTGGTATGGCGGTAGTTGAAATCCAGTTTTGATGGCTGTAAAGGCACAGTCGAGTCATACAGCTGCTTTTTGTATTCGCTTAGGTTCAGTTTCGGTTAAATCTGCAAGTTGCTGCACGCAACTGCAACCACCTGCACTTACATTCGACCAATTAGAAGGCTAGGATCCTTACCGCGATATACCACTTTTTTACCATTTCAAAGCTCCTCGACCCCATAGTTAAGGAAGTAGATATGAACCAAAACTTCAACAAACAGGGCAGTAAAGAGGGTTTTAGCATACATTACCGTTTCATTACCGTACATTGTCCGCATCAATTTCTCTACATAACAATACGATATTTTCACTACCGTTACACCGCCTGACCGGAAAGCTCCTGAGGTATCTGGCTCTGACTGGCCAGACTTCGAGTGCTACCTTAAGATGGCAACCTGTATGGGACCGCTCGAGTCGACTCGAACTACAGCGCCGCAGCGTTCTCAATTTCCAAAACCTTCTACTATTAGTATGGCAGGCTGGCAGGCACTTACTAAAGTATACGGACGGTTTTTTAAGGGCTGGCAGCCATGCGCCTCTTGAGCCTCAGGGGTAATTTGCGACTTTCCCAAAAGGGCGCTTTCTGGGATTCTGATTGGCTGCTCTTTGGCCACACAGATGCTAGACCCGGCCGGGGGTCCCGATACCTTGATCGGCGGCGACGGACAGTTGAGTGGTCGGGTAGCTAATGCCCGGCTTGAATGGTCGCCAATGGTAGCTCTAGGCGGCTGTCGCATCACAAAAACTCATCTTGGCTTTTTACCTGGTGGCGCAAGAACGGTCTTTTTGTACTCGAGCTGTTTCATATGTCATTTGTCCATTGCTGGAGATCCTGTTCGGGAACCAACCCTCTGAAGATATTAGGGGGTGGGTGGCACACAATTTGAAAGTTCCTATAGGCGTGATCTATGCTTCGAAGTAGGAACGGATTGATAGGTTAATGGGAATGGACATCAAGCTTTCTTCAGCTGGGCAATATAGATCTATATCCCCAAGCCCAAGCCCAGCTCGAACAGTGCGATGAGCCCCCATCGCTTTCCCACTCTTTCTTCGCCTCGATAGAACCCCCAGAAGTTCATGACTTGTGCTTGAAGGTTGGCGGTGGTCTTCTTTGGTTTCCTCTTCATACGTTCCTTTTCCGTGTTGATACCACTCTCTTAGCACCTGCTGGATCCAAAATGTTTCCAAGCACCACATTCCTTTTTATTTCACTTACCTTCTTTTCGCTGTCTTCTGCTCTCGTAGACTCTGCATCCCTAGGCGTCAAGTTTGCATCCCCAAGTGCATTGCCAGTCCTTACTTTGCCATATGGCTCATACCAAGCGTCGAGCTACCGGTCGAAGAGCGATATGTGAGTGTCCAGGTCGTTCTTCTCGCTTCGGCTTCGAGGCTAACAGGCGCAGATACGTGTTTCGAAACATTCGCTATGCCGCTCCTCCGGTAGGAGATCTCCGTTGGGCAAAACCTGCGGCGCCACGAATCAACAACACCATCCAAGACGGCAGCTATGGACCGCAATGCATCCAAACTGCAGTGTCTGGACTAAACCTTATGGGTCCAGGCAACAAGTCCCCCATCGGTGCTGCGCTTAACCAGTTGTATGCCCACCCATATCCCGTAATTGAACGACTTCGACGTCGCTGACATCAAATGGTCACTGACATTCAACAGCCTAGGAGGACTTCCCATCCCGCTCTTCAGTGGCGGTTCTGAGGACTGTCTCTTTCTGGACCTGTACGTTCCTGGCAGGACACTCCGCGACCTTTCCGGTGCTTCAAAGAAACCTTCGCCCCTCCCAGTAGCGTTCTGGATTCATGGCGGCGCCTATCTCTTTGGATCAAAAGAGTCCCTTCAACCATTCTTTTATGATGGTAGCTCTCTCCTCACTCAATCGGTCCCATCTCCCGGCTCTATGATCTTTGTATCAATCAACTACCGCCTCGGCACTTATGGCTGGCTCGCCGGCACATCGATGGAAAATTCTGCGGTTCCAAATGTCGGATTGCATGACCAGCGAGCGGCCCTCCAATGGGTTAAAGATTACATTTCGCTGGTGGGTGGTGACCCAAAGCGCGTAACAGCGATGGGGGAGTCTGCAGGAGCGGGTTCGATCATGCACCATCTAGTGGCCGAGGGCGGCAAGCTCGATCCTATGTTCCAAAGGGCCATCCTGCAGAGTCCAGCGTATCAAATGGCCTGGGATCGGAATGGGACTGTAGATGTCATCTTCAAGAAGTTTGGAGGGTTGGCAGGGTGCAGTTCTAGCTCTGGGAAAGCAGTAGTGGATTGCCTCCGAAAGACCTCGCCCGATGCGCTTGCAAAAGCCAACGCCGCGCTCCAAGCGTCGCAAATGCCTGGAACATTTGCCGTGGGACCGACGCCCGATGGAAAATTTATTCGTCAGATGCCGCTCCTGGAACTCGCTCAGGGAAACTTTTGGAAAGGACAGTCGGGGAGCGAAATGAGCTTGTTGATATCGCACGTCAAGGACGAGTCCAGTCTCTTCGTCAGTGGTGCCATCAGGACGAATGAACAGTTTTCCGGCTTTCTCGACACCGTCTTTCCAAACTACACGAGGGAAAGCGGACATGCTGAGAAGGTCGAACAGTTCTATCCGGTGCCGGGCAAGAAGAGCGCCGATGGGAAGAGGAAGTACGACAGCCAGGCGACAAGGATGGCGGCGTTTCTGAGGGACAGTTGCTTTACGTGCAACGTGAGATGTGAGTTATTCGTTCTTCTGTGTCGCTGCCCCCCACCCTCCTCATCAAGTACAGCATCATGTACACTTGCGTGACAAGGAACCGCGTTCCAACCGCGCGTCTTCTTCCTACACTTTCCTGTCCCTACGGCCCCCTGCGCAGTGCTCGAGCAAGTACCGCTGGAGAAGGGGTTCAGGTTTCCTTGTCTGTTCTCCAACTCCGTTCACCCCCTTCCCAACCGGTATCACCTCAGCCATTCTTGGTGAGACATTCCAGCTTGGATCACACAGCCTTAAATCAACGTCACCACATTCTCCATTAGGTTGAACATCATCACCAATTCCGCAATTCCATGCTGACTGAACCACCCTACCCTCCAGATCTAGCCGAAGCCTACACCCCATCGCGAACCTACCTGATGCAATACTCTGTCTTCCCCTACTTACACGCCACCGACCTGCTTCCGACTTTTTTCACCTCCACGCCCGCGTCCTCCTCTTCCTCCTCACCACAAACCATCCTCGATTGCCTCTCGACGTTTTTCGCTCCTGCCCTCGCGCCCTTCGTCTCCGGCATCAGCACGGCCATGCAAAGCTACTTTGCCTCGTTTATTGTTAGTGGCGACCCAAACACGTACCGCAAGGGACTGCTGAACCTGCCGCCGGTGATCAGCTGGGGAAAGCCTTCGGGTATTGCTACTGCTGGGTCAAAAGCAGCTAGTAGTGAGGAGAGGATGGGAGGGGTATTGAACGTGGGTGATTGGGGGTTTACTACGGTTCGTGACGATCAGAATGAGAAGACGCCTTGTGAGTTTTGGGAGGGGTTTGCAAGGGACGTGAGTGAGGTCGGAGGGTATGAACTTTGAGATGATGATGAAGCAAGGGAAAGCTTCGAGTAAAAGTTAAATGGGGGGTCGTATACGAAGTGGTCTACTGTCTGACATAGGTAAGGTTGCACAGTCACATACTGCTATTCCAAGATGTACTTAATGTTTAATCCACCCATCACTGTTCCGAGTTGTTGCTTGAGGTACAAGAAGTACAAATGTGAAATGCGAATCTCATTCGCAGAGAATGAAATATCAAAGTGACCAAAACAAAAGAACCTCCGCGGTTAAGAGAAAGACCAAAGACAGGAATCCCCCCCCCCCCAAAGAAAAAAAAGGGAGATAAAAAGATTTTTATGAAACATAGAAAGCATTCCAGACACCCAGCGTTTGACAGGCTCATCAGATAACTCAAAACCTGTACTGAGAAAATCGCAGCTCGCCCTTCTCCTCCTCCCTATCATCAGGGGCCAACAAGCTCCTGGTAGCCCGTCCATCGTTTGAGTTCTCGCTCGTCCCATCCTGGGTCCCGGACGCCTCCCCTGAGTCTTGTTGGGGATCTTTGTTGTCATCGATAGAGAGAATATGTCTCACATTGTTCCAACCCCGAACCCAGGCTTCCCAGCGGGGTTGCGATGTCTCGGTTTCCGCAGACGTTGTTGTGAAGGAGCTGTAAAGTCTCCACAATATTTTCCTTCTCCTTCTAGGATTTTGAGACTTGTTCCTTCTGCTCTGCTGACCAGCTGGAATAGTAGCCGGGGCAGCAGCTTGGGAAACAACAGAAGAAACAGCTGCAGTTAGGGCGGGGATGGGATGCCTGCTCTGTATTCACGCATTTGGTCCCGCAGCTCATCATAGTACTTGCCATCCAAGTTTGAATCCGACATTTCAGTTTCGTTGCTGACTTGGGTTGAGTAAGATGCAGGTGGTGATGAGCGGTTGGTTCGCTATCTTTGATGATGAATGACAAAGAAGAAAGAAGGATGGTTCAGAGTCTTGAAATGGCTCAGCCGAAGACTTATAACATAAATTCCGGAGACAACTCTCGTGTTTTTAATTAATGTATGTATTTATTTTTCTTTTCCCCTTACGAAGCATGCTGCATTCATGTTCTGGTACTTGAAACACACATGACGGCACCCCCCCCCCCCCCCCCCCCCCAAAAAAAAAAAAAAAAAAAAAAAAAAAAAAAAAAAAAAGAGAGAGTTTCACCTGGAACATGTGCCGGACATGCAATCTTGAAGAAATCAGCTGCAAGATATGTGACACTGGCTCCGGGGCTCATGGAATATGGTCTATGGGAAAAGATACATGGGCATATATCTGTACGGGATGGAGCGCATACAGCGGCATGTATAGTTGCCCGGTTCTATGTACAAGACGGTGAATTTCATATACCACTACTCCTCCGAGATTTCTTTGCAGTAGAGAAAATGGCTGTTTCAAGAAGAAAATGTGATGCTGGCTGACCTACGTGAGGAAGAAGGTTAATTCCTGACGGAACTGACGGGCATGAAAAGATAGAGTAGACGTACATATCTGTGCTTAGATGTAGCCAGCGAAAACTCGAGGCCGCATTGGACTAGACAAAAGACCGAAAAATACCCCGCAGGTAAGAACGGGGTTATTCAAAGTTCCTGGCTTCAACCCGTGTGTTTCTGGCTGCATCGTTCCTGGTCATTTCATCATAAGTACCGGCGATGGGAATATTTTGATTCTCCTCCACATTCTTACAAAATCATCCTGGAACGGCGTACAGGAAATTACCCATGCAACCAAGATGAACAACGGGGAGTATTTTCTCCAGAATCCCGGTGTGAGGCCGGCTTCGACAACTTTGATAAATGTTGGCAACGGAAGACAAGCAACTATTACCAGACCGGGGTCCTTCCTCATTACCCCGGGGCTTGGTTTCTCCCTGGTATCCGTGCACGTTCTCGCTAGCCTGGGTGTTGGCTTCAACAGATTCGAGCCCACCTCCAACCTTATTGGTTATATTGCCAGTCCCTCCGGCCGAGACGTCGTCGCAATTGGAATTTGATCGTGATGCTAGAGGTCAAATTGAGGGTGCCGGTCAACGCTCACCTGGTCCCTCGGTTTAATGGCCGCGTCAGCTTTTTTGTCTATCAAGAACCTCAAATACTAGCGGATGGGTTGTTCTCGATGGGTCGGTGCAGCCTCTTTTGCTGCTATGGCTGGGACCAGATCCCAGTGTCCCACAATATGAGTCTAGTACTCTAGGTACCACTGCCGTTACAGCAACAGCACAGGAACGGCAACATCGCCATAAACACCAACGTCAACACGACATCCAATACAAATACCGACAGCGACAACAAGGGCACGCGTTGGATAACAACCACGGCTGGACCAGCGACTGGGCATACATGAACGCCGAAACAGGAAACGGCACCTTGAGCCGCTGATTGTCTCTCACAATGGTAACATCAAGACTTCGGCTCATGCACCCAGACGCTCATATTAGTGATCACAAGCTGACAAGAAAACGACCACAGTATCTCAGCCGAGGACTTCTTGATAACTCAACGAGCGAGTTCGCCCACGAGTGGTTATATAGTTGTAAGCCGTAGAGACGCCAGCCCGAGCGAGTTGTTCATGTCACGCAGGCGAAGGAATTTCTCTTTTTCTTCCGTCGAAATTGGATATGTGGTACAACCATTATTCTAGCTTCACAAAAACAGTTTTTTTTATCTTCCCTAATCTGATCTGCCATGTGAAGACCAAATCATTCCACGTGCCCCAGATAATGAAATTGTAGGTGCATCTATTTGAATCTCACCACAGAACTTGGCGGGACGGTTTGCCGCAAAACATCGATTGTTTGCAGATTGGTCAAATATATGCCTTGTATGGAATTGCGGTGATGTAGAGGTAGCACCGGGCGACTTGCAGATTTTACGGAAATCCACTCGACGCAACAAGTGCAACTCCGCTCAGCTGTAAGACTGCATCTTACAGCCACCAAAACTGGGTTTTCTCGGCCGCACTACTACAGCCACTCCGAACACAACCGTACCTAGCTTTTCGGGACAGTGAAAATTGTCCACACTGCATAAATGCGCTACTAGATGGTAAGTTTGCCAAAGGGAAGGAACGGGATACCCTAGGGCGAGCCTCGGGTTAAACTTTTCCGAACTGAGAAGACGTGCTCGCCACTCCCCAAAAATGACAAATTAACAACTCGTAGATGTTGCAGAAGGCACGTTTACGTAACTAACAACGGTCAATCAAACGAGCCATACAGTTGATACGAGCTTTGGTAAATGGAGTTTCCAGTTGTCGTGGAGTGTCCCATTGTGACCTTGAGGTTTGACGGCCTGCAGAGCTTATGGCCGTGATTGTGCGAGAAACCCCGTACGAATTTGCAGGGGCCACTATTAACATCCGTCCGACACTCGGCAGGCCCGCGCAAAACGCACAAAAAGGTAACTACGATGTCGATACATCAAGACGAAATCATTGAGGCCGGTCAATGCCAGCTGTCTGCCCGCTACCTGCCGGAGCGGTCCTGAGAACAAACCGAACATCCACTCATCACCGAGGCATTTGCTCATCTTCCTTACGCATGTACACCATTTGAGCAAAATTAAACACGTTTACTGGATCAAAGGATTCCTCGATAGACTCTGCCCAGTGTGCTTCCACTGGTTACAAGGCATATCACGGAATTTCAACGGCATCCTCCTCGCCAAAGGGAGTGATATGGGACCTTTTGTGTTCGGTTTACTCTTGCGGCCGCCCGCTGCAAGACGCAATAATTCGCCACTACCAGCGGAATTTGCACTGTCTGTCCGGAGCTTTATCCTCTGTTATGAGTGTTGGACAACGCGCGAGTGCCCCTTCTCATCCTCATCCAGGTCAGAAGCACGCCATGTACAGAATCGAAAAAAAAAGTGCATTCAGTGTACAACTAAATACTCGTACCGAATACGTATGCGCTCTCTTTCCACCAAGTACCATCAGTCGCTTTGCGGCCTCGCAACGTACAAATCCATAACCAGAAGATCCGGGTAAAATGATTGAAAAAGATGCAATGACCGCAAGATGCAAAATCTATGATTGCTACGCTGCTTTCTCTAGCGCCCATATAACACCCTGACAATTTTCACTCTGAACTGATCACTCAGAAGGAGGGTGACGAGAAGGTCGAGATAGATCTAAAGAACCAAACTGCCTTGAACACCAATGACCAAAGACCTTACCAATTGCCGTATTTCCGAACCCAACGAAGGGTTGCGAAAAGGCAGAAGATCGATTGGAACCAGACTAGAGCAGCAATCTGCTTTCCTGAGTTCACGAAACCAGGGCAAAACAAGAAGAAAAGAAAGATCCCAGAAGAACCCACACCGAACCATGCTGCTGAAATGACCCAGAGTCCAGGACTGACCCGCAATGAACCTGATACAACACCATTCCCCGACGGTATGAAAAAACATTGTTTCCCTTTTCCAGTTGTAACAGAAAGTCGACTTAAGATGGTTGATGCAAGGATTTGCAGGCGCAATGTGGCGTGAAATGACCGGCGAGGGATGTGCTGCAAGCCAATAGAGAGAAGAGGAACAGAACAGAAAAGCGGAAGAGAAGAGGCGCTGCCATTTTTCGCCATCGGCGTCATTAGGATAGTCCACTCCGGTCCAGACCGTGTTTATTTGTTAAGGAGAAAGAAAACTTAATGATACCCGCTTTTTCCTGTCGAGCCTACCATCATGCAAAACCTATCGTTCTTTTCGAGATATGGATTAACAGAAAACACCAGGGAGATAAAACAGAAGTGGAAATCTTGTTTGAAGGTTCTCTCCTATGAGCCATGGAGAAATTTGGTTTCCATACCCTCAAAGGCTCCCCCAATACAGAGATAAAGGTTGAAACTCAAGTTCCAACCAATACTCCAACCCCTCCTATTATAACACGGATTCTGCAGTTCCACGCTTCTCCCCTAACCGCGATCTGGCAGGACATTGCTCGATACCGGCTAGCTAGGGTACTGGATCAAAACAGACTGAGCTGTTACTATAGGTGCTCTGATCCTGGGAACCGACAAGGGAGTCCGGGCCACGATCCTACAAATGGCACTAAGTATGATAGGAAGGGTTCTGCGGCTCCCCGCTCCCGAGACGTCTCCCAGTCCCAACCGCGCTGTCGTAGAACATCTGACCGGCACTGGCGCCAGGAAAAGGTTCTGGATCCGGATAGACATAGCCGTTACCGCTGGGGCTTTGAGCTGGAGATCCGACACCCCCAGGAGACGCCCAACCCGCACTTCCAATCTGAGGACTGCCGGCCGCACTCCCGGATCCTTGTTGAGTTTCGACGGTTGGCTCCATTGTTGCGGGAGGAACATACCCGGTAGGGTGCGACGTGGGTCGGGTCAGTCCGTTGCTGTAACCTGGCGAGGTCGTTGGTGCATTGGAAACGTGAACGTCCCCACGAAGATGCGCCGGGAGTGTATTGGTTTGCAGATACTGCATCTCCATGTTGGCCAATCCCGCACTTGGTGACAAGGACAAGGGCCGCTGTGCCGGTGAGGGAGTGGTCATGGGTGTCGCTTGATTGGAGATCTGCTCGCTCTCCGATCGCTCCTTAGTCCGTGCCAACGTTCCCCTAGCAAGAGCTTCTGCCGTAGCCTTTGCAGATTCCTCAACAGTGCCAGTATGATGATTCTGGTGCCTCGTCAGTGTCGTCCGGCGGGTGAATGTTTTCTGGCAATCCATGTATGGGCACTTGTAAGGACGCTTTCCGGAATGGATCCTACGATGACGCGCAAGAGAACTGCTGTCGCTGAAGGGCTGTAGCGCCGTTAGTATGTTTGTCTCGCTGTGGCCTTTGGGAGTCAAATATCTTACCTTGCCGCACCTCTCGCATTGGTGGGGCTTCTCTCCAGTGTGCACGCGCTGATGGACGGTGAGGGCTGATCGTTGGATGAACTGTTTCCCGCAACCAGGATAATCACACACGTGAGGACGAATACCGCTATGAATTCGCTCTGCAGAATAGTTAGCGGAGTTATGACAAAGGAAAAACCGATGGTTACTTACCGTGACGAGCAAGATCACTTCTCCGTGCAAAAGCCTTGGCGCAGGTGGAACACGCGTAGGCCTTGGGGGGCGGTCCTGGTGGCGCACCTCCCTCGACCTGAGGCTTGTAAGAAGGGTGAAGAGAAGGTACCATTCCGTTGTTTGACGGGACGCCTGGTACAGTAGGCATAGCAGGAATGCCCATCGGTGCAGGCGCCATTTGAGCATTGGGAGCCATTTGAGCACTAGAAGCCATCTGTCCGCTGGGAGCCATCTGAGCATTAGGAGTCATTTGTGAATTGGGCGCCATCTGGAGATTGGGACCCATTTGGGCATTGGGAGCCATCTGGGCATTGGGAGCCATCTGATTATTGGGAACCATCTGCGCATTGGAAGCCATTTGTCCACCTGGGGCCATGTGTGTGCTAGGAACAGTGGAAACGGGCATTGCGGTTCCCATTCCGGTCGGCGAAGGGTAGGACATGCTGGGTTCGAATTTCACGGAAGCGTGCGGCGAGCTGGCACGCTCCATAGGTTGCTGTTGTGTGAGCGGTTGCGAGGGTTGCTGTTCAGGTGTAGCTAGTTGGGGAACAGGAGCAGATTGTTCAAGCTGCTGTGTCGGTTGCGCGACCTGAGCCGCCTGAGCCGCCTGTGCTAGAGCGGCACTAGCCTGGGCGCCCTTAGTGTTGAGTACGCTACCGATTCCCATAGCGGCGGTAGCAGATTCCGGTTCTGACATTTTGAATGTCGACTGATCCCGCGAGTATCGTTCCAAGGAATGTGCAGGGTATTCTTTGTCTGTCAAGATAAACCTCCGCACAGCTGTATGACAATTTTAGACCCTGATCTTACGTATAGCAGACAACTGCAGGATGATCAAGTGCTGTCCCTGATATAGATACGAGCTATAGCGAGTGGTCAGCAGGCGGTCGATGGTGACTTGAGCGGTGAGCAAGCTCTATAAAATGGATCTAAATGCTCAAGGAGATGCCAAAACAGTTGATTGGGACTTGGCAAGCCGTGGACCCTGCACACGTCTCCAGGTGGCCCTGGAAGCATGAAATACAACAATTCTTTCGGCACCTGCCGGGACTTGAACGATGAGGAGGGAAAGGAAATATGGCAAATAGCGAGAAACGAACATGAGAATTCTTACCTCAGGAGTAAGCCAGAAGCTTTGGAAAAAGACTTCAGAAGTAGACTGGCAGTCTCGTGTTATTGGCTTGGTATCTAAGGCCGATTCTTGAAACCGAATATGGCTTGTCGTTGAAGGTTCGATGAGGTGAATCGTGCACGGTTCAAGTGTGATCCAAACCGGGGTCCTTTACACGCGGGACGCCCTGACCACCGATCAATACCCAAATATGACGACGTCAATCTAGTCGTTGCACCGTCGCAGTATCCCGATTGCTGATCGAATTTCGAGATTTCGCCGCACAGCCCGTTCGTTCTACGAGCGTGAAGAAAAAATCTCAAGAGATCGTGACCGAAATTTCCGGGTCCGTCAGTTGATAAGGCAAGTGGGTCACAGACGCTCCGCTTTCTCCGTTAGCTACGGGTATAGGCTGTGCTCTTTGCGAAAGGACGGAAACGCCGATGTCGCGATGCAGGATGAACCGCCAAACAAATGGCCCGAGCAAATCGTAGTAGACGAGCTTCTATAGATAAGTTCGAAGTGACCTGTCTCTTGCCGCTCAAAGAGAAGACTTGTGCGAAGGCCTTAGCTTTGCGAGCTCAAAACGACCTGCAAAACAACTGTTGCTGAGCACCGACGGTTGTACTGACAGCTCGAGCCTTATGTCCTGCGCTTAAACAATCGCTGGTCGTTCGCACGTGGTAGCTGCGTCGTGTTATTGATAACTCGAACCGACAAAGTACGTGCACGATACTGTGTGGCCTTCGGACCGTTCTGGGGATTGTCGATTGTCGTAGTGTGGACCAGTGACAGCTCCTGGGAGCTAGGGAGGAAATGCAAGTTAGCTATTCGGGTTCCGATCAGGTTGGACGGAAAGCGGCACAATCGAAAAATGGCAAGAGTTGTATCTATCGGTGCTGAAAAGGCGAGAGATAGTAATAGTCGAGTAAGCACCGCAGGGTGGTTTGGGAACTGCCACAAGATAAATGTATCTTTTTAGGGGCAACGGAGAGAATGACAAAGAGGACGATGCAGGTAGTGAAAGGCAAGCGCGCTGACCAAAAAGCGTGTGTTTAATTATCGATGTCCGATGAGCCGATAGGCAGACACCGAGACAGTGCAGCGAGACCTGCTAAAAGCTGCGAAAGTAATGCAAACAGCCAGCTCCGGGACGAGAAGATGCAAACGCGCGTTGGCCACCGGTGGTGCAATTGGAGGGTCGAGGAATGGTGATGGGAAAAAAAGATCAAAGTCGCTCGGGTGATTTGTTTGTTAAGGAACTTGAAGCTGAAGCCGAAGCAGCACGTCTTGTACCGCGCTGGGCAACTCCCACTACTAGTAGTCCGTAGTGGTAACAGGGCGACGGGGGTAGGTGAAAGGTGCTACTGCGGACTTGACGATGCTCGGACCACTTTGTTGACATGAGTCCAAATGAGAAGCACGTACCTCTTTGGCACTTTGATATTCGTGAGATCCGTGTGTCTTCCGTCACGATGGAGTACGAAGCACCGCGTTTCAATGCAACACGACGAACCGCCTAAACAGGGTGACGTGGAATGAGCGCGCGGGTTTGGAGGTGCGAGAAAAATGCGTCGCGGGGGCAAAACAACTCGCAGAAAAAAAAAATCGAGCCGCTGGGAAAATTTGGCGTACGGTGGAATGTAATCGATGTTAAAGAGACAATGGATGATGGAGCGCCGTGTCGCTTGACCGCCCGGGAGTCCTGGACGTGCGTGTGGCCGTGTGTGGGTGGATAGTTGGATAGGTTGTGGTGGGCACGGTCGAAAAATAAATCGGTGGAATCGAGGCTGCCAGTGCCAAGACGAAGGAAGGGCCAGCAGAAAAAAGTAAAATCGAAACGGCTCCGCGGGAAATGGAGTCAATCAGTGGCACTAACGACGGGTGGTTGCTACCGTAAGGTGAATCGTCTTCCCTACCCTTGTGGCTTGGCAACTCGGCATGTCTCCACCCGATATTTGGTTTTGCCAAACCTGTCCGTGCGTTGTTTTTCCGCAGCTGTCAGACAGCTGATGCAGTCAAGGATGTCGGCCAAAGAGGAGCACGTCCCTCCCAAACGCAGCTGGCAGAGCTAGTAGCTGTGAGGTCGTGTAATGTACAACAGCTACCTCTACGCTACGGATCTCGAGTCCATTTATCATCCGATTCCTACGCGGCACGCGCAATAAACCATGAAACCCTCTGCAAGCACAACACCAGTCGACCCGTTCACCAGTCACGCACAATCGGACATCCGGATAGAGTGAATCTCTGAAATTCAGATGAGAGGAATTGGCATGCGAGAGTCTGTGTAAGTATCTTGGCAGCTCAACCCTAATCCTCACCAAGGGTTCCCAGCTTGCAAGGCGTGTCCGTATTAAGTCCATGTCAACTGTCGACTTTTTTCAAACTTGCTGAGGAGTCGGATATGCCAAACGAAACACGAACATCAGAATCACCAATATAAGGTGCTATCATCAGCCAGAAGCAGGATGTTACGCGGTAACTGACCAGGTCATACTTTTATTGTTGCTACCCATGCTCAGATAATCTCTACTGGTTTTGAACCATCTAAACAATGAGGTTGCCCTTGCGATCTCATATTACCCAAGATGCTTCTACCGACGGGTACGCACACATGCCAGGAACTGTTGAACTTGATTGTTTGTAAAGCGCGTTGAGCTCGGGCCTCGTGGTTATAAGGGTCGGTCGCATCGAGTTTTTCGAGGGTTGGTTAGTGACTGATTTCGCGAGTTTGCTGCGCACTTTTCTACATGTGTCTGTATCATCATCGATTGCAAAGCTCACATATTTGCGCATAGGTATGCATCGAGCCTGGACTGGACCTGTCGGTTATGATCGCTATCATGAAAAGGCATACAACATAGTCAGTACGTTCGAGGACACTCGGGCCTCACCACCATGCATGGGTAGTATTAAATATTCGACGCCTGCTTCAATCTACGTAGGCTGCATGCCCCGTCGTTTGCCATCATGTCGTGATAGTACCCGGATGTGTTTTCCCCCTTGTACCAGGCTACAGCACAGTGAAATAGCCGCGAGCTCACGGCTGGAGAATGACAGATGAGAAGGCTTGAGGCTGGCCTGTCACGTCCTCGTCGTGACTTCTTTCGCGGTTGAATGGACGTTGGTGGAGGAGCCTGCTCGACAAACCAGCCAAGCCCGTTTCCTGTTTGCATGAAATGGGCATTTCGGGTGGTTGCATTGAAAAGAATGGCGCTCCTGTGGACGGACTGCCATTCACACGCCGTGGGTTCCTGGACAGGGGTAGCGGAGGCGCTGTTGTGGTACTTGAGATTGGCGAGAGATTGAAACTTGTCCTCTTGAGGAAGGTTTCGAGAAGGCTTCCAGAAGCCCCATGATTCCCGCTTGTTTTGGATGATGCACCTCGCCTCGCGGCAATCCATGGTGGCTCTTGATGCAAGTCGCATCCATCTTCTCACGCAGCCATCGTAGCTACTGCCCAGAGACCCTTTCCATCACAGATTAGTGCCAAGATGAGGTGGGTATCGCATCCAGATGAGAGAAGTTGAAACGATGAGAGAAAATGATCAAAGGAGATGACACACAATACAGGAACAAATCAGACATAGCGGCCTCTGATCGACACCACGATGAATCTTGAAATGAGCCCCAAATAGTATCTGGGTAACTGACAAGCACGCCTGGATCCATGGAAACGTGGAGGGCGGCAGTTCGGAACCAGGCAAGCCATGCACGCAGGACCGGGCGAGATTACCAGGGCAGGCCGACGTTCTAGGGGGGCACATGGACAGGCACACGGGGCACAGAACGTTTCGAAAGCTTCCAGTGGTCGATGATCGTTCTATCAGGTGGACCCCTGATTCATGCCACACAAGACGGGATGGATGCCCACCCAATTCTGTCAACTCTGGGCAAAGCTCCATTCTCCAACCAATTTCCTGTTACCGTCAGCTGAGAAAACCAACGTTACAAAGAACCCACGCTAGATAGTCAATAATAATTAGAATCTCACACAATCGATCGAAACAACCAATGGATGTCGTGGTTTCTCACCGCCGCGTGACATTAACACAAATGTAGAACAGGTTGGAAAGATCATGATAGCCGGCCACACGCCTTTCGTACTTTCCGCAACCCAAAGTCGCGGGAAGAATGGTTCATACGTATCGTCAAATATTTGGTAGCCTAGTCGTCAAAGACGGTTCAACGGACGTTGTCAGTGGGCTGGACACGGAGATGTTTCGGCAAGCGGCATGAGGTGTTGCTGTTTTAGTGTTATAGATGTGTTAGTAGAACCCCGCCCTCAAGTCTCAGATGACCCAACCTTCTCTGATGAAACAGTACATCAGATGCTGATCTGCCGCATGGGAAAATCAACACCCAACCACGCTCCTTTTCCCTTTTAGATGAGTCATTCGTGATGCTTCCCACGAGCGATCGCTAGTTCTTTTCCCCATTGTACGGGCTCAGACCAGCTGTTCCCGCCGGCTGCCAGAAGCTGGAGAACAGCATGCGTGCCCCACTATTTCAGAGGGACAGAATCTGGCTGACCATTTCCAGAGCTGGGTTTCTGCGCGACGGGAGCTTCGACGACAACATACACTGGACTCGGGGCATTTCATTGATACACGAACTATCGGTCTGGGGGACATGGAACTTATTTAGCGGTGAACAACCCATTTTCTGTCTATGAAGCCATCTCAACATGGTCTTTAGGTAGGAGTATGATTCTGTCGCATGAACCCCCTTCTCCCTTGACAGTTCGCTGAGTTCAACACTACAACCATCGCATGGGTCCAATTCCATACCCGTCACCACTCACAATATCATCGGTGACCTGTAACCTATGTCAGAAGTTTCGGTCAGAAAATGATTCGTACCGACAGATTTGGGTTTTGAACACCCCTTTTCGAAGGCTTCAACCCCGATCGACATGCCAAGATCCGTTACCGATTGCGCCGAAGCATGGTAAAAAGCAGTGCTGAATCACTCGTATCCAGATTGTCGGTATCGCCGAAGCTGGGGGAGAAGAGAAGTCAGTTTCCCGCTTTTCACTTTCTGATATGGCTAAAAATAGAGAGTCTCAAAGAAATGTGGTGAGATTCCCAAATGTCTGTTTGCCTGGCATTCCCCAACGTTTAACGCCGACACGGACACTTCGTTTCACGACTGCCGAGATATTGCGGATCTGGACGAGCCCCGGCCCGGGCCCACCTGTCATCACTTTGTCGACCGCTCGACCACGTTCTCGCTTTCCACGCTCTCCCCCCGGCAACCGACAGGGTCCCGACTGGTCCGACGACCGAGAAACTAACTAAATGGTCCGTGACATCCGTGACCGACCACGTTCGACATGCGGAACAGTGTTTTGGTCGGTACGTCATTTCTCGAACTCCTAAAAAGGGGAACCACGATACCACACCGCAATCCCGGAGCCCGGCATGGATCTTTTTTTGAGACTGACCACACTACACTACCCACTGAGGTGCGGTGCCATGTGGCATCTTGAATCACAACAATTCTCCGAAATGACACGGATTGCTTCCGTTTTCGTTAGACCATACACTGCAGCGGTGCGATGAAAATGAGCTTGAAATAGGGGATGCGAACATCCAGGCTCATTTGGATCGACCTTGACCATTTGTTTCATTCTCACCACGAAACATGAGCTTTAGGCAAGCTTTCTTTGAAGTTTAGGTAATGAGGTCGCTAACCACATATGTCGTGCTCTATCTCCTTATGATAAAGTGACGTCATGCTCGGATTGAAGAGAGCGCCAGATAGTATCGATTTGGTCGACTCGCTACTTACAACGTCACGGTAGGTGTTCCTCAACAAAAGAGGTTCAGATCCGAGACGGGAGTTATTGCGATGGGAGGTCGCTCCCTCCCTGTCTAGGGGTATCTAACTCAGGTACCTCCAAGTAGTCAGCGCTGGGGCACCTCTACCATGCCATTCGGATGGTACTTACCAGTGGAAGGTACTGCTGTAGTGGTACGTAGGCTGTACAGGGTGAGAGCAAGTATCTCACAAGCATCACTCTCTAACAGTTAAGTGGGAGGGTGGTGATCAAGAGGAGTGGTGTAGTGCAGCAGTCCCAATGATCGATACGAGCGATCTTGGTTATAGCACCAATCGTTTCGCAAGTTTCGTTTTCTGTACATTTTGGTGACTATGGAAGCATCGTGGGTAGCGAGGTCATCCATCCAAATTTTTATTTTGTTTTTTTTTGAGGTTAAACAAGCCAAGGTGTTCCTGAGTCAACCTCCATGGGGTCTTTTCGCGAGAGGAAAGGTCTTTAAGATCGCAAAGTAGGTAAGTGCTGTACGTGCGATGTACAAAGTTTAGTTGGGAAGGAACAGGATGACCACATCATTGATCTCATATCATCGGGGGACGAGCGGGATCGCGAGAGGTATAGTAGTAGTGGTAGTGGCAGCACACAATTCATCACGGGAGGTCGAATCTGGGTCGACCCTTCCGTCTTTTGATAATATTCGATGTTAGGAAGGTGCTCTCGTCTTAATGACTTCCCAGACTACCTAGGTACCTACCTTCCACCGACTCAAGCATTGTCAACGAACACTAGAGGTACTTACCTAATCTTCGCCTTCAAAGAAACCTGGAAGGTACGAAGTGTGTAAGTCTGAAAGACCAAGCAGTCGCCGACTTGGCTGGTAAGGAGCATTTGATGCAGCCTCTTCGTTCCCACGCACTTGCCTTGTGACCCAATTGTGACTGGGAACAAGTGGATGGAAGTACCGGGATCACACCGGAACTTCAGTTTTTTACCTAACGCCCATCATCATTCATTCCCCGGTTATTTCTCTGTTCTCACGGTTGCTTCCAAAAAACTGTCCTGGCTCCAAGGCTTCATATCATTTCGAGTTCTACCATACGTTCTGTTCTTGTAGCACGCATCATTCGTTACAATACTCGGCCTCATCTGCTGGTGGGCCCAATATTGTCCGATATCCTCCCTTTCACCACCTTCGCGATCGATTATAATGCTCGAGTTACGCCAAGCTGTCTAACATGGATCATCCACCTCGCACGAGACCCTTCAACTTTGAGAACTCGGAGGACAATGCACCCGTCGGGCCGACAACCTATCAACATGCGCAACTCGACAGCGGTAATCAAGTACCATACTCCGGTACAACGAGCCCCAACTCAGAACACAACGCTGCATACCAGGACAAATCACAGACGTCACAAGATGTCATTCAAGAGACGCCCAGGAGCTTGCCACTTGCTCCCGAGGAGATGGGGCTGATCGAAAGACCAAAGATGAGAAAGACTTTCGAACTTGACCAAGAATTCGAGTTCGGTCCTCCGCTCCAGATTAACCCAGGACAATTCACAAAGCAGTTAAAGAATCCTATCCCACTCTATCAGAGTACTCAATCACCAGTTGTGACTTCCCAGCCAGCTAACAAAGACAACAAAACTCGACAACTCCCATTCCTTCTACAAAAGCCAGGGCCAGGGAGGCAAATCGAGGAGAGAACTAGCAACATTGTTGTCTCTGCACGCGACCGGCTGCCTTCTGAGACAACAGACCATCCGAGCTCCGTCATTTTCCATGAGCACGGAGCGCAAGACACTGAACAACATCCGAAACGGACGGTTGACACTCGCCCTCCACCAAGGGGACCTCCTTCTGTAGATGCGTCCCCACCGTCCGCCCAAAGACCTTCAAAGGTCGCATTGCCCCTATCAGGGCCACACATCAGTGTACCGCGTGTGAATACTACAAGTAATCGGCATTTTACGTCAGACCAGGAACCGGGTGACTCCCGCTCACAAACCAACCATCAAGCCTCTGCCGTCAATGCGTCAAGACCCTTAGAACAACACAGAAATCATGCCGCAACTGTTAACGAAGTAGATATCAGCAGTGATCGTCATCAGTTTCCGTCATTCAATGACACAGGGATTGCCCTTGATGGGGAGTATCATTCTGAAGAAAGGGACGGCCAGTCAAAAGATCAGTCTTCACCCTCGAGCGCTACCATGAGAAACAATGTCAGACTGTCACATACTGACACGTCTCACCACCAAGACATTGACATGATCGACTATAGTCATTCCCGTTACCCTGAGACCGAGGACGTTGTCAACGTGGAGTCTAGAGGGGCACATGTCAGATCTATCGACTACCCTGCCAGTCGGCAGCCCAAAAGCACTAGCTCACACTTTGAGTCTCTCCATCAAGAAGAACCGTCCAACAAAAGCCTCCAAAAGTCCCACACATCACATGGCGTCTTGGACGCGAACACCGTTGGCTCGGGCAAACCATCCAAACGAGGAGCTGGAAAGGCGCACTCTTCTTCGAAGCCTCAAGCTGTTTCTCCAATCCGTCTCCGGGCAGCTGCACCGACCGCTCGCTTGCACAAACAGCACACGTCGAGGAATCCTA